CGCGAGGACGTGGGGCGGCTGAGCCGAGCCCTGGTGGGTGAGCGCCTTTAGTGGCGCGGTGGAAGTTGGCAGGGTGGCTGCCGATAGGTGGATAGGCGGAGAGCCTCGACTCTGGGAATGGCCGGAGCGAGGGATTGGATGAGGAAAGTGTGGAGGACCAGCCTGTTGCTGAAGATGAGATGGCGGAGGGCCGTCTCATAAAAGATGTGAAGAAGTGGAAAGAAACGAAGGAAAAGAGCAAGGCCTACGTGTTGGAGTTACGGCTACAGCGACTACGAGCAACGACAACGTGTGGCACTAGGGCCCCTCAATGGGGTCCATGTCAGTGAACGCGACGAGGGACGTCGCCACTTGGTCTGAGGGCGGCGCGCTTGGGCGTCGCTGTCCGAGGCCTCGGACTGGAACTGCGCTGTGACCTGGCGCGTTCGATCGACAGCAGCAGCCGAGCCGAAGGCGAAGACGATGGAGTCGAGACCAAACTGGGAGGCCTGCACCCGTGACGCGTTGATTCCTCGGCTCCGCTGTACCGCGGTCGGCGGGCACCCGCTGAAGCTGGCGGCGGAGTAGACGCCGGACCTGGACGAAGCGTCGGACCTGGACGGTGCGTCGGAGCCCGATGAGTATCCGCGGTTAACGAGGTCTTAGCCTCAGGACCGGAAACGGGGGCGGCAGAACGCACGCTGACACCCGTACTCGATGTAGTGGAGGCGAGACAGGAGCAGCGGGAGCCGCCGCTCGGCTTGACTCCGCAGGCCACAGCGTTTATCTCCACCGCGACGGAAGCTTCACGTCGACGGATCAGGTCGTAGGTGTCAATGTGCCCACCTACGGACGTGACCACACCGGCAAGACGTTCTGGAAGTCCATCGCGCGCGTGCTACGCCATCTACCAACCTCGACGCGCTTCCCGAAGCACCCGTCCTCAAACCGCGTCGTGCTCGTCGCGGTCCTGGATGGCCACGTCGTGCTCGTCCTCCAGCTCGATTACGTGAGCGCTGGAACGGTGGACTTGAGCGCTCGCGGCATCTCGCCGCTGCGACGTATTCCCAGCTGCGCGAGACATGGCCTGAAACTCGCCGATTCCTCCAAGTCGCGGATACGCGTCGCGCCCCGCCGGAGTTCTTTGGCGTGGGTCACAAGGAACGCGTTATTGCGCCGAAGGTCTACTAACAGCGGCTCGCTAAACGCTGCGCCGACTCGGCTTCCGCAGGGCTCTACGTGGGTGCATTACGGATAAGGGTGAGATGCCCAACAAGGGTAGTGCGTCGACGTCCGAGCGCGACGGACCTGGTCTCTCTCGGCGACGGCGGTGTTGCACTCCTTTTTGGAGAGCCGAAGCTTGACGCACTTGGTCCCTCGCGATGCTGGAAGCGTCGTGCGCTTGCTCGACGACCGCCAGGGCTTGATGCGCGCGGTCTCGCTCGGCAAAAGCTAGGCCGCGTTGCTGCTCTGCAGCTACGAAGGATTGCTGCGCTTGATAGCATTCCGCCACGGTAGCGCCGAGTCGCGACCGGGGAGAGGCAGTTTGGGCTACCGCGAGCTGATCCGACGGATCAGGGAGGCGAGACCGATGTGCTCTGCTTGCATAGACGACGATGTCAGCGTAGCCTCGAGGTTGCCCGTGTCGGGCCCGCTCTCCTCGACGCAGAAGGCCTCAGCGCGAACCATGATGCTTGAATGGCAACGAAGCGGACGGAGACGACAAAGAAGTCGACGAATCGAGATGCGACCAACACGCGGGGCAGGTTCTGCAACGGCACACCCACCTGGGGAGTGCGCGTGCGTGGCAGCGGGACGGATGTGGTGTAGTGCCCAGCGAGGAAGCGGGCACGTCGGCGTCGGTGAAAGAAGCGCCGAGACGAATGCTGATGAATGCGGATGATGAACTCGACGCAGTTGATGAAACGCGACGCAATTGATGGTGGCGACGCGCGGCAGAGGTCGACGGAAAGTCGACGCGGGTGATGGGCCGCGAGACACAGCGACAGAGTCCAACTCGACGCGTAATCATCTGACGAGTCGACCAGCGCCCGTCTCTGAAAAAAGCGTCAACCCTAATCCCCGCCGAGCAAGACGCGCCGAGTAAGACGCGCCGAGTTAAACGCGCCGACCAAAACGCGTCGAGGTAAGATCTTGATTACGCCACGCAAATCAGGTTGACGGACGGCAGTGGAAGCATGACAGAAGTAGGGATAGGCACAGAACGATAGGCTTAGCAAGCAGTAGTACGGAGTAGCCAGTAGCTAGGGCATAGGATAGGGTAAGGACTCAGTCCCGAAATTTCTCTGAACCACAAAGACCTCCCGTCTTCTCCGAGGTTCCAGGGGAACCACCAAGCGCCGGCAAGTAGAGCCGCCTCGATATCGCGGCCCCCCGTCGTTTGCTGGTTCGGGTGCTCACCCCCCACAGACCCGTGCTGGAACAAAGGCACGTTAAACGTATACCGTTTAGGTGGGCGCCCGATAACGCGCTGCCTAGGCGAAGGACCGCACTGGCCTGATAACCGCCGTGCACAAGACCCCCGTGTAGGCCCGATAACGCCACACAAGCCCCAGGAAACGCCGGCCCGATAACGCCGCACGCCCGACGGGAACGCCGAGGAAACGCCGGCCCGATAACGCCGCACGCCCAAGGCTCGACGCCCTACGACAAGGAACAAGCGTCAACACAAGAACCCCCAACTCCGAAGCCTGCGAAGACTTGGGCCTGTATTTCGAAGATACGCTACTCCAACAACCGGGAATAATTCGCTCGGCGCGACCCCTATCCAGACGCGCCGAGTTTGTGCGAGATCGCATTCGCGAGATTTCTGCGAGGGCGCTGCCCCACAAATGTACGGGAGAGCTGGTCCTGAGTGATGATGCTGAGAATTCTGACGATAACTTACCTAACAGTGATGATATGGCCGAGTATGGTGATCAGCAGCAGGATGTGGATAGTGATTCGCAGTCAGATAATAGTCGCAAGAAGCGCAAACCTGGCTTGGCCAAGTACAAGCGCAAGCCTGGCTTGGTGAAATACAAGCGCAAGTCTGGCTTGGTCAAGGTGAACCAGCCTCGTCGTTCGAAGAAGCCACCGAGTGAGCCTCTCCGGCGATCGACACGTCTCCGTCGGAAGAATACACGACTTCATGGCTATTCGCTGGCAAACTATTTTATTTCGACCATGGACAAGCTGCCTACGTCGGTTCGTGCAGCAATCTCTGGTCCTGATCGAGATAAAAAGTTGAAAGCGCTGGAAGTTGAGTTCGGTCTCATTCAAGCGAACGAAACGTGGAGATTGGTGGATCGCCCACCAAATACCAAGGTTATGACCAGTCGACGGGTCTTCGTGATCAAGAGAAATCAGCACGGAGAGATTGAGCGGTATAAAGCGAGGCTCACACTTCGCGGTTTTGAGCAAGTATTTGGGTCAGACTATTGGGAGATTTATTCGCCGGTAGTCAGTATGGAAGCGATTCGTGCGGTGATCGTATTGGCATTCTACTACGATCTGGATCTCCGCCAAATCGACTTCACTACAGCATTTCTTAATGGCTGTATGGATGTCGATGTGTACATGGAGCAGCCAGAGCTGTTTGACGATGGGAGTGGCCGTGTGTGCTTGCTGAAGAAGAGTCTGTATGGTTTAAAGCAGGCGCCCCTCATCTGGAACGCAACTCTGAAGAAAAACCTGGTGAAACTTGGCTTCAAGGCTAGTGTTATTGCAGATGGTGTCTACGTGAAGTGGATTGGCGAAACCCCAATCTTTCTCACAGTCTACGTCGATGATGTGGTCATTGCAGCGAAGCCCGAGCACATTGAGTGGCTCATCGAGGAGCTCAAGAAGGAGTTCGAGCTGAAAGATTTGGGAGAGGTGAACCTGCTGCTAGCTATGGATGTGAAAGTTGAGGCGGATCGAGTGACTCTTTCGCAGGAGTCATACATTCGTCACCTCGTCGATAAGTTTAGTGCCAGTGATGCTCGTGTGGCACGTACTCCGATGGATATGAAGGTGAGCCCAGCCAGGCCCAAAGCGCCGTATGGACCTGAGGTGAATCGGTCTGATTTGCCTTACCGTCAAATTGTGGGTTCGCTGCAATACTTGGTGCGCTGTACGCGACCTGATATTGCAAACGCAGTTTCTATCCCGAGTAAGTTCATGAGCTGCTACACAGAAGAACATTACGCACTGGCGCAGCGTGTGTTGGCGTATCTGAAAGGAACTGCTTCGTACGGGTTGGTTTTGCCGAAGAAAAATGCCAAAGATGAAATTTCGATTGTTGGTTACACAGATGCTGACCTCGGAAATGATCCTGATACTCGTCGCTCAATTTCGGGTCAAGTGGTGAAACTTGGTGGTTGTGTCATTGCTTATCAGAGTAAGCATCAAGATACTGCTCTCACTGACACCTGTAGTGCAGAGCTGACTGCTGCAAGTTCATGTGCCGACCGAATTCGATGGCAACAGAACCTGCTAGTCGAGTTGGAGGTGCCTGTGCAGTCTCCGGCAACGTTGTGGACAGATAACATGTCTGCAGTTCAAGTGATGACACACTCAAGCGGCCACCACAAGATCAAGTGCTTGGACTTGGCGATCTACAAGGTCATTGACTATGTGGATGCTGGTTACATGCAGGTCAAGCATTTGCCGACAGCGGAGATGCCAGCGGATGCTCTAACCAAGGCACTGGGGAAGAACAAGTTTCGCAAACACCGAAAGCAATTGGGTGTTGAGTGCCTGTGCACTGATGAAGCTGACGAGGATCAAGAAGACTGAAGATGCAGACTACAAGTTTCGGGGGAGTATGAGTCCTGTGCTGCACAGAGCCTCAGAAACTAGTAGTTTGTATGGTGACTGTAGTACTCGATACTTAGTTGAGTTTTGTACAACGCGTTTTCTGCTAAAGGAGCCTGAGCTCCCGCAATCCCAAATCTGCTAAGTGGGGCGAGCACTGCGTTGACGTGTTTGCTGTGCGTGTTCACGACCTCTGCAACTACACCTGTGGCAGCGTAAAGCTGTTAGAATCGCTGCAATTCCTTTTCGGCATCTGTCTTCGTGTCACTTTTGCTGGCCTCGCTTGTCACCTCTACAAGTGGCAGCTTGCATGCGTCTTCGTCATTTTTCTCTTCCACTTTCACGTCGCTACCGGCACTAGCCTACGAGTTACAAATTGCCGAGGAGGCATTGTTAACGACGCAGCAGTATTTACTCAATGTATGTATATAGCTCTTCTCTTACTTTCTCAAGGATCGAGTTTCTGACGCTCGCCACCAACTGCTTCGTCGTCGCGATCAGCTTGTTCTGCACCTGCTCCAGATCGTCCAAATACCGCAAGAGATCCATTTGCTCTGACTCATCTCCGACCACGAGCGAGCCCTTCGAGATGCCTTGGATGTACTCGCACGCCTTGAATAGGCGCTGGCCCGCCCCACTTAGCTTGGCTGAGAGCGACATCTTGGCTTTTGGAGATGATAGGCTTCTTGAATGGGTTCAGCTAAGTGCGATAGTTGCTGTCAAGAAAAAAAGCAGACCAAAAATACAAATTATCCGTGAAAACTAACTCATTGCCACACGTTTGTTGCCAGCATCAAATGAATTGGATAGAGAACCCCCAATCTATCGCCGTCATCCCGTTGTGTCGACGATAAGATAGCACCCCTCGGCTACTACTTAGTGGTGCTTCAGTCCATTCTTCACTCCCTGCTTGGCGCCGTGGTGGTGGTCGGAAGGAAGTTGCTGCTTGGCCTCGTTTCCGCCCAAGTTGCGAGTCTTCTGCTGAGTCGCGTTGGAAGTCGAACTCGGACCAGTTTTTCCCTGCTTCGTAGGAGGAGCAGCAGGCGCCTTCGGCTTCTTGTTGGCAGGAGGTGGAGCCACGTGGTGAGTGCTGCTAGTGGTCGTGGGGCGAGGTGTCGCGCTGGTAGTCGTCGACGCTGGGGTGGCTCTGGGCGGGTTCGCCTTCGTCGGAGCGGGCGTGGCTCTCACGTTGTTACTGTCAGTCTTGGTCGGAGCAGGGGTGGCCTTGGTCACAGGAACGGTGGGGGCTGGTGTCGCTTGGGCCTGACCCAGGGCTCGGTGGGCGTTCTTGATGGCAGTCAGCTTGTCCAAGCTGGTGGGTGTCCTGGGCTTGTGGGTGTAGTCGCTGAGGTGCCCCAGCTGGGGGTAATCCATCGACCGAAGAGCGCGGAACGGCACCCAGGTCCTCTCATCTGCCACAGGTTCCGAGGTGACCAAATGGTCGGAGGCGTGGGCGTGGTGTGCGATGGGGTTGTCGTCGACGTGCACTCCATTGGCACCGAGAGCGGCAACAGCGAGCAGGGCCATGGCTGCGAGGATGGAGGACGAGGTCTTCATGCTTGGTGAGAGGGGGGAGTTGATGTTGGTCGAGTTGAGTGGGTTGGGTGAGTAGTTGCGGTCGAATTCGAAAGTGAACAGCTCAAAATGCCATCGTAATGCATGCGTGCACAAGAGCCACAGCTTGCGGGGAGCTGAGCAAGAGGGATCTACCCTCAAATGTATGTCTTTCTTGATTTCGTGTTGGACCGTCGATCTTGCCCCTAGGAGCGTGTGGTTGCCATCCATTGACCTCGGATTGTCATGTCAACCTTCCACGTACAAAGGGGTAAAGGCTGAATAGCAGTCGTTAGTTTGTCAAAGATGAAAGAGGATGTTGCGCCTTCCGAGGGTCCTATGATGAATCCACGAGTGTCGAAACCACGAATGGACAATGTTATTATATAGGTCGATGGTAAGTTTGAAGCAGTTTTAACAGCTTCAAAATTAAAACCACACTCAGTGAGTGTGGTAAAAAAAACATGAAGTGAAAACCTAGTAGTGAATTATTATAAATAGAGAAGCAATCCTGGACGCCTTTTCATTCTCTTGAGGTCCTTCCTAATGGCGCTTATTGCGAAGCTGCGTGACGTGGAGCAGCAGATCTTACGAACGACGCAAGTTGTCGAGCTGCATACCAAGCTCGCCCAAGGCTTGCTTAAGTGTGAGCAGGATGACGTGACTCCGACTTCTGAAGTTTTGGCTTTGGTGGAGAGTGTGGAGCGCGCTCAAACAGACTTGGCTGTGGTAACGCAACACCTTGTGCAGATCATCAAGCGTCGTCTCAATGCACTTGGCCCAGCACCAGACCAGCGCAGCCTGGACGGTGATGAAACAGAGACGGAAGATGAACTGGAAGAAGTTGAGCTCGATCCACAGGACGATGAGCCGATCGAAGAGTGGGGGAATGGTGATAATGGATTGACTGATACCACATTAGAGAATACTGGGCTGGAACAATCTGGTGCAGAGCACGCGGGTATAGTGGAACCGAGGAGGGGCGGCGAATTCGAAGCCGGCCACGAACACACCATGTTGGAGAGACCACGGATGCTGCCAGATCAAGCCCGGCTTGCGTACTCGAACGTTACCTCGCAGCTGCGAGTGCAGTGAAGGAATCGGTCACGGCGTCGGGAAAAGAATTTTCATTGACAAGCGGCGCTCTCGAAAATATGAACGACCCTATTGTGAAAAACTGGGCCGAGGCTGTGAAGCAGAACTTTAAGCAGGCGACATTTTTCTTTATCACGCGTCTGTCGAATCAAAGTGTCACCCACGAGCTGGCAGCAGCTTTTTGTGATGCATCGGGGCTGGCAGTGCCAATTATCGCTTCGTGTAAGGCGAAGTTTAGCGTGGCCTGGATCTTGCCTGCCATTGAATATTATGACACAATCTATCGGCTTGCAGGAGCGACATCATTTGTCCAAACGCTACTGCCAACGCTTGAATGTCGGAATATCTTGGTGAGATCTCTCGATGAGCGCGTTTCGAAGTTTTTGGAGGAAACAGCTTCAAACGTGGCGAGTTTGACGCAAAAAATCAAAAAACGAAAACAACGAGTATACTGGCTGTCCCAGTATGGCGAAAAGCTTCGCAATATATGTCAGTATTGCGCCATAAGGCATGATGTAGGCGATATGATACCGTGGACAGCAGAGCAGTGGGGAATCGTTGGAGATATTGGGCAGCATCTGTCGAATCTCACGAAAAATGCGTTCAAAACACAAAAGATGCCAGGATGGATAGACAAACTCCGCATAGCATTGGAAAAACTGGAAGTGACGTATCCCGGGAGGTGTCCGAAGCCTCTTTATGAGTAAGTTTTTTTTTTCTTACACGTCGAATTCGCCGATAGAACTCACGGTCAATCGCGGTATGGTGGATTTTTAATTTTTTTCTCTAGATTATGCAGTGCTGGAGATACGAGTACGATCGTTGCGGAGACGGATGGTCAAGTATTTGACTCAACACCGAGCACACGTAACCTTAACGAGTGTGACAGCGAAATGAAATCACCTGGATTAACCGTGGCTCCTGATAACACTCACGTTGATGCCGTCGGTGCCAAAAGATCGCGGGAAGACGCAAAAGCTGAGCTCCCTGAGGCTAAGCGCATCGCTATAAGCACCGAAGTCACAAATCTGCACGACGTCAGTGGCGCTAAACTCATCTTTGCCGAGGTGAAGGAGTGTCTGGATATGGCAACCCAACTGAAGAACGGCCTCGAGCCGGGCCAGCTCGTGGTCCCGTTCTCCCGAGCTGGAAAAGACATTCGGGGCTTGCTTCACAGGGTGACAAAGCTTAGCCAGCACTTCAGATACATTATTAGACGAGATGCTGAAGCTGAGGTTGCCTTTGCTGAAACTATAGCACTACAAGTGCAGTTGATTTGTCGCTGTCCGTGTGGGTTTTTTTGTCACGCTCAACTGAAAGGGCTACTGAAGCCGCTCTTTTCGATCGTCAAAGCCGCGATGAAAAGCCCCAATTCTGGTACTATCGCAGCGAGCTACGAGCGACTTCAAGCTTACTGGAACGAGTTCCATGCCGACCAATTCCAGGCCATGCGCAACCACATCGAGGTGACAGAGAGAGAAGGCAAGCATTTAGATCCTGCCCAGCTACGTACTCCATTGCGGCAGTTGTTCGTCCAGTTCGTCGATACTTGCGCTGTCTGCTTGCAAGAACTAATGCACAAAACCGCGCCCAAGCGAATCGAGGAGCTCTGGTCTAAGTTGCTAGAGATCGCAACAGTGCTGAATACCTGGCTTGAGCGCGTCATGGGAGGGGGGCAATTGTTACACAATTCACGAAAGGTTTTAGCAACACTCCTTCGGATGAACGCAAAGTTGCCGGGTAGCGTCCCGTCAGTGCTGGTGGAGTGAGTGGAGCGTTAATTGGTTCGTCGTCACGACATATTTCGTCAATAACTAACCTATTTCCTTAATGCTCGCGGTAGGAATGTGAAGAAACTGCTCGGGCTAGGTGAAGTCCAAGATCCCAATGAAAGTACTAACTCAGTGGCTTAATTGTAAACGAGGCAAAGAGGCATTTAAACAGCACTTCTTACGGTGTTACCGGCAAACCCTAAAGAGGCTACTATTCAATTCCATTGTCGTCATTCCATCGTGTCGACTGTCGTCCGTTGCTGGTTGGCCTTAGTGGTGCTTGACTCCGTTCTTGGGTACCGGTTTACCGTTCGGGTGGTGGTTCTGCGGGTGCTGCTGCTGCTGCTGCTGCTTGGCGTTGTCCATGGTGCGTAGAGCGCGGAGCGGAGCCCACGAGGCCTTCTCGTCCACAGCAGGCTGCGACGTCGAGATCTGGTCGCCCTCCATGGTCTTCAGAGCGCGGAGCGGCGCCCATGAGGCCTTCTCATTGGCTGAGGGTTGCGAAGTGGGCAAGGCGGCGAGAGCGCGGAGCGGAGCCCAAGACGCCTTCTCGTCGGCGACGGGCTGCGACGTGGGCAACGAGTCGTCCGTAGCCTCCAGCGCGCGCATCATCGGGGCCCAAGTGCCCTTCTCCTCCACCTCTGGCTGCGAAGTGGTGGTGTCTTGGTCAGCGTGCACATTGAGAGTTGCGACAGCGAGCATGGCCATGATGGCGAGGATCGAGGACAAAGTCTTCATGGTCGAGAAGAGAGAGAGTGGTGGTGGTGGTTGAAGTGAGAGGTCGACGGATAAATCGAAAGTGAGCACGGATGACGTCCGACGAGAGCGGAACTGGAGAGGACGGATACTTGGGCGTCATCCGAGGGCGCTTCGAAGGCTTTGGATTCCTCAATCTGTTATCAGTGGCAGCAGAGCCACCTCTTCCACTTCCGATTTGGCGTTCTTCTCCTCAGCAGTAGTCCATTCAAGCATCCGCGCAAGCTTCCCCGTCCTCCTAGCTGCAGCTGCCCTCTTCTCCAGCAGCTGCATCGCCTCCGCAGTAGATACAGACAAGGACCAGACCAAGCTCTCACAGGTGACCTCGTACGACGCAAGTGAGTTGATCGCTGCTTACCAGGCGAAAATGGCCGCGAAAAGGTTTCTGAGACGCAACAAGAAAGAGGAAGACTCGGACTCAGACGAAGATCGCACGGTACATTTGAAACTGCTCGACGATGTAGCTGCCAAGGCGGCACAGGCTGAACACAAGAAGGCCGTCGATCACATGTTGGCGAAAGCAATGCAGGCCCAGTTGAGCGGTGAATCGCTGCAGGGGCTCTTGACTCAGTCCATGCTCCGTTTCGCGCGGGATGACCGCGAGAAAACTCTGTTCAAGCAGATGTACAAAGAGGGGATTTCGCTGGAGCAGTTTGCCGCCATGATGCAGTACAACTGGCGCGACTTCGAGGACGTCTACAGGCTTTACACCTATTACACGGAGATACAACGAGCCGCCAAGAAGTTCCATTAGCTTAGGAACTACTCTGGACTGCAACAATACACGCCAGCCCCACATTTTTCCCATTCGTAGCACAATAAGCACTGCCCACTGCTGTTTGAACTTGTTTTAAAGTTTTTTTTCGAGTCTCAAATCCATTCTTCGAGGTACCGGATCTCGGATTGCACCAGCCACTCCGACTGGCTCCGCGGCTGCACAATAATTGAGCGCTTGGCCACCAGCTCAGCAGCTCAAAAGAAATCTGATAGATCCTTTTGTGGTCGACAAGTGGTGGCTCTGCTGCCACTGATAACAGATTGAGGAATCCAAAGCCTTCGAAGCGCCCTCGGATGACGCCCAAGTATCCGTCCTCTCCAGTTCCGCTCTCGTCGGACGTCATCCGTGCTCACTTTCGATTTATCCGTCGACCTCTCACTTCAACCACCACCACCACTCTCTCTCTTCTCGACCATGAAGACTTTGTCCTCGATCCTCGCCATCATGGCCATGCTCGCTGTCGCAACTCTCAATGTGCACGCTGACCAAGACACCACCACTTCGCAGCCAGAGGTGGAGGAGAAGGGCACTTGGGCCCCGATGATGCGCGCGCTGGAGGCTACGGACGACTCGTTGCCCACGTCGCAGCCCGTCGCCGACGAGAAGGCGTCTTGGGCTCCGCTCCGCGCTCTCGCCGCCTTGCCCACTTCGCAACCCTCAGCCAATGAGAAGGCCTCATGGGCGCCGCTCCGCGCTCTGAAGACCATGGAGGGCGACCAGATCTCGACGTCGCAGCCTGCTGTGGACGAGAAGGCCTCGTGGGCTCCGCTCCGCGCTCTACGCACCATGGACAACGCCAAGCAGCAGCAGCAGCAGCAGCACCCGCAGAACCACCACCCGAACGGTAAACCGGTACCCAAGAACGGAGTCAAGCACCACTAAGGCCAACCAGCAACGGACGACAGTCGACACGATGGAATGACGACGATACTTTCCTTTTCTCGAGTTATTATTCGACTAATAATGCAACTCAGCTTTCCAGCAACAAAGTTTCATTTTCCTGGTAACCCTCCACAAATGCATAGTGATGCCAATCAATAAAGCCCGATCTTCCACGAAACGTCACAACCGATCTTTCGCTTGTCATTTGCCGGTCGAGTCCCCATTTGCATTTGCACCATGCGCAAGCGTCCGACCGCAGCAGCCGCCGCCGTCTCCTCCATCGACCGGGAAGCCGTGTCTCTCAAGAAGAAGAAGCGCGATGGAAGGGGCATCTCAAGGGCCAACCTGGCGTTCTGGGGCCTCGTGGTGCTGTTGGCCGCCATTCTTCTGCGGTCTCCAGTGTTCACGCATGCCCCGACCGAGGACGAAAAAGTTGCGGCCTTTATGGACTGGTTCCACGCTGCTGGGGGCAATACCAGCAGCAAAATTAAGATCCAAACATTCCCCGGAATGGGGAGAGGTGGGTTGGCAACAGTGTTGCAGTTATCACACTAAGGGATTTGGTCTAACGAAGATGCATGGCGCAGGTGTTGTGGCTTTGGAGTCTGTGGAGGAGGAGGACGAGCTGCTTTTCGTACCGAAGAGCATCATCATGTACGTGTTGCTGAAGATTGCCCAATGGCGGGTTTTGGCTCATCTTTCTTGTTGTTAAATGTGTAGTTGCCACGATACGATCGCGCGGGAATGGGGCTCGCATCCGAAGCTGAAGAAGATCATGGGGAAGTTACAGCAGGATCCAGAAGAGCTGTTGACGGCATTCTTGTTGTGGGAAGAACTTTCAGGTCACGAATCGCGGTGGACTCCGTATTTGAGTCTGCTGCCGCCTTTATCGTCGAGGGACGACGTCGTATCGCCGCTGTTTTTCTCCAGTGACGAAGTGGTTGAAGCCTTGCAGGACGAGCGCATGGTCAAAACGGCAAGGGCGGAGAGACAACGAGCGAAGAAAGCTCACGGTCGATTCAAGCGTCTGTTTCGATCTTTCCCAGCTTTGAAAGCCTTGGAATGGCCGCAGTACGCTTGGGCGCGCTTCCTCGTAAACTCGCGAGCTTTTTCAATTCAAGGCCAGCGCGTTCTCGTGCCATTTGGCGACATTTTCAATGGGAAGCCTGATGATGATGCTCGTGAGCATGATAATGGTCAGCGCTTCTTGCAGTTGCATGACCTCCAGTCCATGGGCATGACCATCCGAGCTGATCGCGGCGCGGCTAAGGGGAAGCAACTCTTCGAAGACTACGGAGACAACAGCAACTACGTGTATTTCCTGCATCACGGCTTCCTCATGGGCGACGGATGCTTCGACTGTGCGGCTTTTCGTCTTCCTCCACTCACTGACGCGTACGAGCAAAATGCAGACGACAAGGAGCGAGCGGAAACTTTAGCTGCCAAAGTGCGGGTGCTATCGCGCATTAGAGTTGATGACGCACCTTTGGCTTGTATTTCTCGATCTGGAAAACTCGAGGACCCTGGCTTGGTGAGCATTTATACGGCGCTGTACAACATGGATGCTGGACAAGCAGCAGCCTGCAATGAGGCCGAAACGTTTTCCGAGTGTTTTCCGCCTGAATTGATGTCAACGATGAACGCTGAGCCTGGGACACAAGAAATCTCTCTAATGGTTGACGCTATCCGCCGCCAGCTCGCAAATTATCCGACTACAGTTGAGGACGACCGCCGGATATTAGTGCAGGACGGCGATGTTGCTGAATCTCGCGACATCAAGCACGCTACCGCTTTTCGATTGAGCCGAAAGGAGATTTTACACGAAGCTCGGTCTGTTTTGGAGCAACAATTGCAGCACATCGAGCAAGAAACTGAAGATGGCGACAACAACTATCCCTTGGAGCTTGAATCTACCGAAATTGATGAAGAAAGCAGCAAACTCGACAGGTTCCTGCAGTGGATAGCTCGCCAAGACTTTCCTGTGAATCATCTGGAGTTGCGCTACGTGAGTGAAGCGGTGGGTTACGGGACGTTTGCAACCAAGCCGCTCTCTGCTGGAGATGCGTATTTGAAGGTCCCTGTGCAAATTGTCATGAATGTGCACTCGGCTCTCAAGTCCCCGTGGGTACGCCAAACCATGCACGAGCTTCAAAAGCACCGCGCCAGTGTCTCAAGAGAGGAAATGCTGCTGCTTCTCCACCTTTTGGAGGAAAAAATCGGCCCGAACTGCTTGCAGTCGCGCTGGAAGCCGTACCTGGACATGCTGCCAGCCCTCGAGAGTACTCTCGGCTCGCCTTTATTCTACGAAGAAGACGAAGAGCAGCTCAAGGCGCTCCAAGGCATCGACCTCAAGTTTCTCGTGGTAAATTACCGCTCTCGCGTCAGCCAGGCGTTCACTGCTCTATCGGACACCCTCAAGCGCTCGAGCCACGATGAAACACTGGCGTGGCTGACCGAAAGACGCTTTCGTTGGGCCAACGCCATCCTCGACTCGCGCAGCATTTGGTGGAGCAGCCAGCGCCACCTCGTGCCGCTTCTCGACATGGTCAACTGCCACGAACTTGGCTCGGACCACAAGCCGCACCACACGACCCTCGACTCAACCGGCCGCCACGCAGTGACGAAGGCGTCGTGGGACTTTGTCGCCGGCCAGGAGGTCGTGGAGAACTACGCGCAGCCCAACTACATCTACCTGCTCTACCACGGCTTCGTACTGAGCGACAACAGCCACGACTGCGCCCATTTCCATCTCGAGATCCCTCCGACAGCTCGCCAGCGCCAATTCGCACCAATGCTGCAGAGTCTCGAGATTTACGCCTGGAGCTCCGACCTTTGCGTGTCCTTAACCGACGAGAAAGTTGCCAAGTTCACCAAAGTCGCGCTGATGGTGACGGATCCGAACGAGGCCTTGCAATTGTTCGGCTCGGGTGCAGCATGGCCCAAATCTGCGGCGTTGAGTCTAGTGGACGACCGACTGAATCAATTGCTCACCTCCAGCTGGGAAACTGCAACAACTGACTTCAGGACGCTGTCGATTCGTCGATACCGAGAGCAGCAACTGCAACACTTGACAACTTTACGCACGAAGTTGCAAGAGGAGAGGTGAAAATCGTTTGACACTTCAACACGGCTAACAAGGGTGAATTGCAACAAACCAAACCATACCACAACCAAAATGGGTGTCAAGGTCGAAAAACTCCCATCTTTCGATTGCATTAAAACCCTTCGAACTGTTGCTTATCACTGACTAAGCTAACCCAAAAGGTTGCAAGACAGCGTGGCAACAAGCCGCCAAGCGATTGCAGACAGACTGCAACTGCTTAACCGCGGAAGGTGCAGGGGCGCGAGGCCTTGAAGACCGTCTTGTGGTGCTTCTCGGCGGCGCGCGGCAGGCGGTGCGACAGCGGGAACGAGATCTTGGAGTCGTGGAACTGCTGCACGTTCGTCTTCTGCGTGTCCTTGGCAGCCACGATGGCGGTGCGCATGATCTGGATCGAGCGTGGGCGGGCGCGGTGGCGGCCAGCCAGCTCCGAGTACATCTGCTCCACGGCCTTGCACAGGGTCACGTCACGGTACTCCTTGTACATGTTGTGGGTGCCGCTGCGCGAGTTGTAGCGGATCCAGATGCCGTAGTTGTTGACGACGCGGCGGTTCTTCTCCGTCAGCTGCAGGTGATAACAATACAAGGGACAATGTCAGTCTTATCGCTCACGAGAGGATAGAGTATTCCTGGTCAGGAGGTTGGGAGACTCCCTCCGACGTCCGTGTTGCAGTTGTGGGTTGTTCAGGTTGGGCTTACTCAATAGTGGCCCCTCATTTTGGTCCGAATCCAAGAGAGCTAAACAACGGATCACACCGCGATCTCACTGAGCGAAAAGCGGTTTGCAAGCTGGAGTGGAGGTGGGCATGAGGGGAGGCCCCGCAACTCTCCACTCTCGTGGCAGGCAAGCGCTTGTGGCAGGTTCGCTAGGAGGATAAACACACACCTATAACCGTCTCTAAAGTTTAGAGACGGTTAGAGAGGTGGTTCATTGGACGAGGGGGAGAAAAGTATCACTCTGGAGAGAGATGACACCCTTCACGCTCCTGACCGAAGAGGCTGCAGACGCACCTCGTTGATGTCCAGGATCTCGCCCGTGGTCTTCTTCATCTTCTTCATCTGGTGCAGGAAGTACCAGAAGCGCGACTGAGCCAGCACCGGGTTGGGGGCGAACAGCTTCATGCGGTAAGCCGGCGGGTTCGGCTCCTTCTCGGTGGGGGCCTTGCGGCCAACGACTTGGAACTGACGGATCTGTTGTTGCGATGCCAGGTTAACACCATACAAAAAGTAAGTACACTGTCTTGCCGACGCATGTCCCAGTTAAGGTAAAAGCGGGCAACTTTTATTGCCGCCACATACCGGCATGGTTCTGCTTGAGGGAGTCTTCCGGAGAATGAGCGAGCGGCGGCAAACAGCGGGCGCCGATCGATCGGCACAGAGGTTTTACTGGCGGAGGAGGGCCACCGCCTTTCAGCCAATAACATACGCACCTCTAATTTAAGCCAATAATAAAGAGTTCTATTTTAAGCGAATGGCAAGCCGCGGGTTTACGGTCCGACCCGCGAGCAAAAACCCTGTGAAACTCGATACGCTTCAGCTCGACTGTATCGACACCTCCGCTGCTGGTCGTGGCGCTGCTGTTCCGCTCCAAGCCAGGCTTCGGCTCGCTTCCTCATGTTGTCGACTCCGTCTCAGCGTTCCTGGACTCGTCGGTGCAATTGCCGCTCTCAAAGGCGAGCAAATTCGGGTCCTTGGCGCTCTTGAACCGCATTTGGCACTGTCGTTTAGACCTCGAGGCCGAAGTTAACGCCCCCTGGTCCATCCGCAGCCTCCTCCGCTGCGAGGTCCACTACGAGCGGTTCCAGTTCACTGGCGCGCTCATTGAGGCCGTCAAGCGCCGCGACATGGCCATGAGCCGCTGGCTGTTCGAGCATTTCACGGAATTCTGGGTCACCGAGTCCATCGTGGAGGCGGCGGTGAGCGTCGGGGACATGGACATCTTACGGTACTTTGCAGAGCACGACGAGAGCGGCGCGGATGCATCCGATAGACGCGTTGCAGCCGACCAGCAGAGGCCGCTCCGTCTCGTGTGTTGGGGCTACCAGGACATGGCCAAAGCCGCCGAGGCCAGACACATCGACGTCGTGCGGTGGCTGCGGGACAAGGCGGTGGAGAACGAGCGCAACGCCGTCGAGGCCATGGAAGCGGCCGTCGCCAATGGGGACCTCGAGTTGGTGGAGCTGATGGAGCAGATCACGGGCGTTCAGCCGGTTTCGCACTACTTCACGGCCGCAGTTCATGGCCCCATCGCGCTCTTGGAGCGGATGGCCGAGGACTTTGTCATTAGTGCGAAGATGACGCTCGGGGCGTTGGTGACGACGGCTGAGAAGGGCGACTTGGAGACCGTGCGCTGGCTCATTGAGAGAGACTGGAACGATGAGGACTTGGACAGTGATGACGGCTATAACGACTGGGAAGACGACGACTACGGCTACGGCTGGGGAGCCCGCCGTCAAGAGAGTACACACCCTACCCATGTTACCAATGTGGGTGGAGAAGCGTGCCTGGCGATCCACACAGCAGCTATCAATGGGCATTTGGACGTCGCCAAGAAACATCCGCGCTCGCATCGACGCACCTCTGGATCGTGACGACGAGAAGAAAGAGGAGAACAGGCTGGAGAGGAACTTCAAGGGATTAAAGAGTCGATTAGGCGCGAACCACAACGCCGCAAGAGTGTCGGGGGCTACGATGCGTCTCGCTGCGGAGAGAGGGTATCTTGACGTGGTGCAGTGGCTTGTTGACGAGTTCAGTGTGGATTCATCCACCGACCTCTTTCGGGGCGACACGAGTAAGGAGGGCGAGGTGTACACTGCATTGGATCTAGCAGCGACAAACGGACACTTGGAGATTCTGCAGTATCTGCACGAGCTCGGGAAGTCGTTCAAAGTGACGATCAAACGGACGCGCAAAGGCTCGCTCGATTCTTTTCTCGAAGACGTTTTTGGAGACGATGAACCGAAGAAAGTGCCAACGACCGCCGCTCCGAAGTGCACTACTGAAGCAATGGACGGCGCAGCGGCTCACGGACACCTTGAGATCGTTCGCTGGCTGCACGAAAACCGACTGAAGGCTGCACCTCCGCTGCAATGGACCTTGCATCTCGGAATGGGCACTTGGAAGTAGTTCAATGGCTGCACCACAACCGATTGGAAGGATGCACAACCGAAGCGATGGATGGCGCCGCAAGTGGTGGTCATCTTGACATTGTAAAGTGGCTACATGACCACACAAGTGCAGGTTGCACGACGAACGCAATGGATGGGGCGGCATCTAGTGGGCATCTCGATGTGGTCAGGTGGTTGCATGAACATCGGTCGGAAGGTTGCACCACTAGAGCCATGGACGGAGCGGCTGCTTGTGGTGCTCTGGATGTTGTCAAGTGGCTAAACCAAGGGCTGCACGACCGCTGCAATGGACGAGGCGGCTCGACATGGCCACATCCGAGTAACTCGATGGCTCCACGAGCATCGGACCGAAGGCTGCACAACAGCAGCAATGAAGAATGCTGCATCAGCTGGAGAGTTTGGAGTGTTTCTGCTTTTGCACAGGACGTTAAAGCTGGATCTTACGGAAGAGGTGGCAAGCGGGGAGTTCTTATTGACGGATATGCAAGATTGGCTTGATGAGAATTTTCCTGCTGGGGAACCACAAGCGTAAATCCTGCCTGGAAGTCAGACCACCTGCAAACTTTGAAGAGCGGTTCGAGATGGTTCTGGGTTAAACGGGAGGAAGATCAATTTCAACAGTGAGAACGCTTTCGCTTATGGGTCTTCCCGGCCTATCAGCTTCAAGTACTTGACGTACTTGCGGAACAGCAAGTACTCCGGTTCATCGAACAAGAACTGCTTCCACCTGCTCGTCTGGTACGCGATCTTCCACGAGAGCTTGAGCCCCAGCTCCTTGTAGAGTTTCTCGGCGGTCTTGCCTTCGCCAACCCAGTCGTCAAACTTGGCGAGGTTCTCGAGGATCACTAGGTCTGTGATTTTGATTCCGCGCTCCTCATCGGCCGCTTCAGCTTCCGCTGTACTCGTGCTCTTGGTGTATCTGAGGTGCCTGTGGCCGATCGACTGATCGGAGATCGGCTGCACGTGCTCGGTCTGGATGAACTCGCTCGAACACGAAACAACCCCGAGGTTTGCCAGTAGTGCGGCCGTAGCAACCGCCAGGAGGAGGCTAGTGCGCATGGTCTTTCCGATGGTTGGGGAGTCTGCTGGACTGGTCTGCTCGTCGAGCAGTTTACTCTCAAACTCCCTTTTCTCTCGAGCACTGCTCGTGCTAGAGAGAAGGGAGTTTGAGACTAAACTCTGAGGACTACAGTAGTCGCGGCGCGTGAACGAACGTCGCGCAGCTCTGTACCCTGCAGATCCCGAGATTTCGTGCGGGCACCAAAAGAGCAAGCTCTTGCCACGGCGATCAGTGTCACACTGACGGCAGTTTGCTTTGCTGGGAATGTCCACCGCAATTGAAGAGTTTGTGCTCGAGGTGGAGCGAGACTAAATACACGTATTATAGGAGGATCAACTCCCTGTTGGTCGTATCGAAACTCGTTCCTGTCCACATGCGCATATAGATGTACCATTTCCTTTTGGCTGTTGCGAGCGAACCACACAATTCTTCATCATTGCGTTTGTGATCAGTCTCCCCGGGTTGGCGTAATCCGGTCTACCTGGCTGAATGACCTGGCTGTTAGCGTCGTTACCTATACAATTCTGTTATGCGCCTTCAGCGCCAACACGAAGTCTATTATACTCGCCTTACCTATTGGGTGTATCTGTCTGCAGCGTTCCACCAACCTTGGCTGCCTGTGTTCATGTTGATCACAAATTGCGTTTTGAAGCAAGGATTGGGGTAGTTTTATTAACTTTCGTGTCGTTTTTCGCTTTGCGCGTACCATTGCATCAAATTGTTTTCACTCGGGTTAGAATCAACAAAGCATACCACCGAACATGCAGATGTGAAGCCTATAGCACATTTCAGTCTTCTCCCTTTTTTCCTACGAGGACGCATTCGCGCGTTCCGCCACCAGACGCACGTGTCGTACGTGCCAAATCAGTAACAACACAGTCAAATCCACACCAGCAGTTGCTTCGATGAAGTAGTCATCGCCTCCGAAGTAGCTCTTCCTGCGAATGCGTCCCACCCGCTGGTACCGGCCTTGGTTCTCCAAAAAGTCGTTGCCCTTTTGAAGCTGCGAGAGAGTGGGGCCCCCACGCTCTAAGTGGCACAGCACCACTTTGGTACTGGGGCTCCCTCTGACCACCACACGACACGGAGTTCCAGTCTCTGTGTCGGTGAATTCAGCGACCAGCACCATCGTCTTGAAGAAGCCGCTGGCGTCCTGGATCATGAAACTCGGATCGTCGGTCTCGTCCCCTTGGAACACGCGGTACTTGCTGGAGAATGTTTTGTTCGAGATGGAAGCGATGATCTGCCCTTGGGGCGTCTCCAACACGACGCGGGAGCTGAACATTTTGCCCTTGAAGAGGCCGATCGTGCTGTTGGTCTCTAGGTCCGTCACTGTGGCGCGAGTTCGAAGCGACGATGCTTTGACGCGGAGAGTTGTCGGTTGTTCCGCGATGCTGCTGCCGTCGAGAGCTTTCATGGATCCTTGAGGCTCCTGCAAGGGGCTTTCGAGCGCGGCCGAGTTGGAGTTCCCCATGAGAGTCTGTCGGTGGGGAGGTAGGTGGAGAAGTGAGGGAGCTCTAGCAGCGTCTGAGTCGGTATTTCTCGACAGCCACTATAATATAATGGTAGGTGCTTGAAGGGAGAGCGTTTGGTGAACCCATAAAAGTCAGCTTGTCAGGCCGAGAACAAATATCCTACACAGTGTAGTACACACTGGAGTGATCGAGCGATTCGCCCTACGCACAGATGGGCCCTCTACACTCTACTGTAGTGATGAAGAATCAATGCATTAAGCAAAAAACCTATGCTGGTCGCAGATCTTTGCTAGTATGACCAGGCCTGGATGGTGTTTTTAGCGTTGACTCGCATGAAAGACGGGCATCTTTTCAGTCAAGGACATTCCTTCCTCTCGGAAGTCCTCAAATGCGCCCTCCTCGGGCTGAATCCACTCCATTTTCACGGCGATTTTTCTCGCTACATGGGCTTGCAAGCATAGGCAGCGCTTGTACGGACGCTGCAAAGTGGCTCCAAAGGAAAGCGCTCGACCGTCCACGCCTTTAAACGTTGTCTGAATATTGAATCCCATTCCTGGAACGACCCACTCACCTCCTTCTTCCCAGTTATGCGGCAACTTGTTGCCTCCAAGCAGAACCTCCCGCTCCTCGGAGCTCAGTTTGCTAAACAATCGTTCTCCCAGCAACGACTTGTCGAATACTTTCAACCGGAATTGGTCGCTGGCCTCGTCGTAGATAAAACTGACTTTATACTCGTCGAACATATTTATCAGCGGCCTGAACAGCACTAGGCCGTTCCCCACATCGTCAACGTCGTCGAAGCTCATGAACTTCTGCAGAATGTCCTGCTTATTTCGATGAAACAAGTGGAAGGCAACAACCAACTCCGACGGGAACACCTCGTTGAGCAGCATGCAACGCAGCTTCCCGTCCCCCATATCGCAGCTGTACGTCTTTGTGAGACTGGCCTTGAACTCGCTGCTGGGAGCCATCGACGAGCTCTCGCGCCATCGAGCGCCACAGTCAACTGCAACCACTTTTCGGTCGAAAATCTGATAGCGTGGCACCGTGACCAACAAGTGGATTTGGTCTTTCTCCGCTGGGCCCGCTCCCCGGCCATCCCCAGTGAGTTAAGCCATCTCTTGATGGTCTGCGTCGAATCCAGCTCCCGATCCTCGCGACTCAACATCTCGTTGACTTCGTCAGTGCACTCTCCGCGTCTCAGTTGCAGCGCGACGTTGCCGTCATCTGCCAGCCAGCGTCCGTCCTTGATGGCGGTGAAGAGCTGCATTAGCCGCACCGGACAGCTGATGTCTGGGTTAGCCTTCCTCAGCGCCTTGAGCACGTCAGCTCCCCATCGCTTGAGCGACACCTTCACGTACCTGGTCGGCGTAGAGGGAGCACCTCTCCGGCAAACCAGCGTAGGCATTTTCTTTTTATGGGGGGGGGGAGATTGCAGTGCAGTGCTATGATAGAAGGTGACCTTTTGCAACGGACTACCGCAAATTGCTCTTTGAAGAAGTGTTTGGAGATTCATTTCCCACGCTCCAAGTGACACAGCACCACTTTGGTACTGGGGCTCCCTCTGACCACCACACGACACGGAGTTCCAGTCTCTGTGTCGGTGAATTCAGCGATCAGCACCATCGTCTTGAAGAAGCCGCTGGCGTCCTGGATCATGAAACTCGGATCGTCCGTCTTGTCCCATCGGAACACGCGGTACTTGCTGGAGAATGTTTTGTTCGAGATGGAAGCGATGATCTGCCCTTGGGGCGTCTCCAACACGACGCGGGAGCTGAACATTTTGCCCTTGAAGAGGCCGATCGTGCTGTTGGTCTCTAGGTCCGTCACTGTGGCGCGAGTTCGAAGCGACGATGCTTTGACGCGGAGAGTTGTCGGTCGTTTCGCGATGCTGCTGCCGTCGAGAGCTTTCATGGATCCTTGAGGCTCCTGCAAGGGGCTTTCGAGCGCGGCCGAGTTGGAGTTCCCCATGAGAGACTAGGCTGATGAAGAAGTGACGGTCGAGCTGGAGGAGCATCTTGGCAGCCCCTACGCCTATATTAATAGGTGAATGATGTCCAAGTTAATAAATTTCCTACACTTGACCAGGTCAATAAGTTCACAAAAGCTTACGGTAGAGTTGAATGATGAAGGTATGAAGATGACCTCATACTAAAAAAATACTTCGAAGTACTAAATAGATTTCATTTCTCTTGTAAAATATGAAGGCAGTCCACCCCACAGACCAAGCAGATCACGGAGCCTCGAGTAGAATCGTCCCGGGGTGGCACTCCCACCACACGGACTCCTCGTTCTGATGCGCCATCCGCAAGTTGACTCTGCGGCACCACTCATTGAAGCGCCAGTCGCAACGCTCCACCTCAAACTCGCAGCCGTTCAAGTTGGCTGCGTACTTTGCGATCAGCCACTGCATGAGCTCCAGCGGGAGGCGAATGATGGAGTTCCGGTGGAAGACGAAGCCCTCCGAGCGGTGCGAATCAAGGAACAACGCGACTTCAAAGTGATTCCCCAGTATGGCTTGAGTCATGGCTGCAATCGTGCACCCTTCCTCTCGGTTCTCATGGAGCCATTTGACGATGGCAAAGTGGCCATTTGCAGCGGCTGTATCCATAGCGTCGGTGGTGCAGCCTTCCGTTCTGTTGGCGTGTAGCCATTTCACCACTTCAAAGTGCCCATTCTCAGCTGCCATGTCGAGCGCCTTGGTGGTGCAGCCTTCACTCCTGTTGTCGTGTAGCCATTTCACCACGTTGAGATGCCCGTTGCTTGCGGCCGCGTCCATTGCTGCCGACGTGCAGCCCTCGCTTCTGTTCTCCTGGAGCCACTTGACGACATCTAAGTGCCCATTTTCGGCAGCTGAGTCCATGGCAACATGGGTACAGCCCTCCCGTCGATGAGTGTATAGCCACTTGACGACGTCCAAGTGGCCTCGACTGGCAGCGGCATTCATGGCTGCGTTGGTACAGCCCTCACTTCTGTGTTCGTGTAGCCATTGTACAACCTCCAGGTGCCCTTCAAGAGCTGCTCCATCCATCGCCTGCTCGGAGCAACCCTCCGAGCGGTGCTCGTGTAGCCACTTGACGACGTCCAGGCGTCCATGCATCGCCGCGCTGTCCATAACTGCAGCTCGACCGTGTTTGTAGCCATTATCATGCAGCCACTTGACGACCTCTAAATGGCCATTGTCAGCCGCATGCCACACAGTCGGCGAGAACGGCACACGCAGCTCACTGTGGAGCCACTCGACGATCTCGAGGTGCCCATTCCACGCCGCAACCTGCAACGTGTAGAAGCCCGGGCCGCCGATCGAGCGTGAGCGCAAGTACTTCAAGAAGGACAGCGCTCCGTCCTTGGCTGGCAGGTCCCAGTCGATCCAGGGACCGATGATGTTGCAGTTGTCGAGGATCCAACTCGCCGTCCCCCACTGTTTGTTGGTCTGCGCGCTCCACAGAGCGTCCTCCGCGCTCGCGTGGCACTCCTTGAACAGCCACTCGACGACTTTCACATTGCCGGCTGCTGCTGCTGCTTCCATCACCTTCTTAAGACTGTCCTTGTGTGGCACAGCGTGCTGTTGTAGCCATTTCACAACCTCCGCGTGTTTGTTCAGCAGAGCTCCACACATCTCCGTGCAGCCCCAGTAGCCGATCTCGTGGTGGTTGTCGAACAACCACCGCAGTATGTGTAAGTGTCCGTTGGCCGCAGCTGCAGCCACCGCCTTGGTCAGGTATTGCTTGGGCTTGTAGCTCTCCAGGAGCCACTTGACTGCCGCCAAGTCTCCAGCCGCGGCCGCGATCTCCACCGTCCGGTTGAACTGAGACCGGCGGTAGAACGGATCCATCTCCTCGAAGGGCTCACGCGCTGCGACGTACTGCATGAGGCGGAGACTGCCCGTGCGCTTGTAGACCTCGTGGGCTTTCTTTCCAGCAGAGAAGTCGTCCAGCAGCGAGTCAATGGCGAGCAAGACGTGCGGCATCTCGCTGCTCAAACAGTGGCGACCCACTACCCGAACCTTCGTGAGCAGCGGCAAGTCGCACGTAGCGTGAGTACATGTATTGGAGACCATTGTGATAGAGAGGCTAGAGCTCGAGCTGGTGAATTCCGTTATGGCGGATCGCCGCACCCAGCGACTCACTGCGTAGCCAAGAGAACGAGACATCTCAGCCTCACCCGTTAAGTTTAACTCATCCGTTGAAACGTCCTCGCAGTGACGGGTCGCGAGGACTACCCAAGTTGAAGTGAATGTAGCCATGTTTTCTGCGCACGTCCGCATCATCCGCGCTTTGACATTTTTGCTCGTCATCTTCACCTACGTTGCTCAAGCTGTAATCATGCGAGTCTACTGGTAGTCTAGCAGACCTAGGGAGCTCAAAGCAGCTAGACTGCGCTAGTCTCGCAGACCTACGTTGGGATAGAAGTTGGTATAGAAGCTTTATGCGGTTGGGACACCAGCCTTGTCTCCAAGTTCGCAGCACCCAGCAAAAAGTTCTCGAAGGCGGCGTTGGAACTCAGCATTTATCAAATACGCAAAGCAGCCGAATCGCAGACCCACCACGTGGACGTGTCGTACTCGCGCGCGCGGTGCAGCTTCACCTTCTCGCACCACTCGTTGAATCGCCAGTCAGAGGTCGGCACCTCGAACTCGCAGCCGTCGAGCTTGTCCGCGTAGTGGCACAGCAGCCACTGCGCCAGCTCGATGCACGAATGCCGCACGAATGTTGTGCCCAGGAACGAAAAGTCCTCGAGACGGTTGGCGTGGAGGAACAGCACTACGCCAAAGTGGGCTCGCATAAGAGCTCGGGTCATGGCGATGGCCGTGCAGCCTTCACGCCGGTTCTGCAGAAGCCACCGCACCACGTGCAGGTGGCCGTTTGCCGCGGCTTCGTCGACGGCATTGACGCTGCAGCCTTCCGAACGGTTTACATGCAGCCACTTGACAACGTGCAAGTGTCCGTTCTTGGCTGCATTGTCCATCGCTTTGTTGACGCAGCCCTCGGTGCGATTCTCGTGGAGCCATTGCACGACGTCGAGGTGACCGCCTAACGCCGCCCAATCCATCGCCCACGTCGTACAGCCCTCGGTTTGGTTTGCATGGAGCCACTTCACAACGTCTAGGTGTCCGTTGCGAGCGGCCCAATCCATTGCTGACGTCGTGCAGCCAACGCTACGGTGCCGATGGAGCCACTGCACCACTTCGAGGTGGCCTTCGCGAGCTGCGCCGTCCATCGCAGACGTTGTGCAGTTGGCGTTTAAGTGTTCGTGTAAGTACTGAACGATATCAAGTCGTCCGTTGGAAGCAGCGTCATCCAACCAGACTCCAAAGCAGCGGTCTGTTCGACGCTCGTGGAGCCACTTCAGGACATCCAGATGACCACTGCGAGCCGCAGCATCCAAGGCAGCGGTGCCGCTTACCTGTTCCCCGTGTTCATGCAGCCACTTCACAAGCATTAGATGCCCATGCTCCGCTGCGGTGATCATCGTCGCAGCGTCACACCCGTCACACCCGTTCTCGTGGAACCACTGCACTGCATCCAGATGCCCATTCTGAGCCGCCTTCCGCATCGCGTCCGCGGTCAAATTCGCTCCGAGCTCATCGTGCAGCCACTTCACAATGTCCAAGTGACCATTCCAAGCCGCAGCCTGAAGCGTGAAATACCCCGGACTGCCGATGGAGTGAGCGTGCAGGAACTTGAGAAACGACAGCGCACCGTCTTTCGCTGGTTGGTCCCAGTTGATCCACGGCATCACCAGCTCACCGTGCTCGAGGATCCACTGACTCGTTTCCCACTGCCGGTTGCTCATGGCGTTGGCCAGCGCACTGCGCACGCTAACCTTGTGCTCGTCGTGCAGCCACTGCACAATGCTCAAGTATCCAGCTCCAGCCGCCGCATCCATCACCTTCGTCATGCACTCCGCTCTTGGAACTGCGTGTGTCCGTAGCCACTCGACCACATTCGCGTGGTTATTCGCCAACGCGCCGCACATCTCCGTGTTGCCCCAATATCCTCTGTCGTGGTGGGCCTTATAAAGCCATTCCAGTACTGGCAGGTGTCCATTCGCAGCGGCTGCAGCTACTGCCTTGGTCAGGAACTCATCTGGCAAATAACTTTGCACAAGCCACTGAAGCGCCTCCAGGTCACCTCGAGCCGCAGCCATCTCAGTGGTCTTGTTGAACAGCCAACGGCGGTAGAAGGGGTTCATCTCGTGGGGAGCCTCGCGCGCAGCGACGTATTGCATGAATCGGACGCTGCTTGTTCGCTCGTAGGCGTCGGCGATGGTGTAGTCGGCCGAGAAGTCGTCAAGAAATCCATTCACTTTGTACGCCACATGCGGCAGCTCCCCGTCCGGCAGACAGTAGTTCGCCACGATGCGAGCGCTTGTGAGTATGGGGCAGTCAGTCGCGACTGCTCATTGGCTGACAACTTCAACCTGGTCACGTCAGGCGTAGCAGTGTGCCCCTTAATAACCAATAGCTCTGGGGGTATTGTAAGCAGGCAAGATGGCGACGCTGGTTGATCTCTACATGTACACTCATTATTTACAGGTGATCGGTCTATCCGCGCCTACGCGGATGGGTGTTGATACTATACACAAGCCTTTAGCCTTGCGCAAGTGCGTTTACTTCGCCCATGAATGCCTCCCGCTCGTCGGCGCCAGCCTCCATCTTGAGCCACTGGAGAATGTAAAACTTGCCGAGAGCGTAGATCCGAAGACGGTCGCGTCCGAGCCGCTCGCGGTGGTTAGCGAATAACCACTTGAGGATCTCTAGCTCTCCCGATGCTGTGGCGTTGACGAACGCTTTGGCGGAGCAGCCTTCCACGCGCTCGCACTGCAGGAAGAACATGACGTCGAAATGGCCACCACTCGCCGCTCGATCCATCGCAGCGATGGTGCAGCCTTCCTTGCGATTCGTATGAAGCCACAGCACCACGTCGAGATGGCCTCCTGCAGCGGCATTGTCCATAGCTGCAGCGGTGCAGCCTTCCTTCCGATGTTCATGGAGCCACCGCACGACGTCAATGTGTCCACCAGCGGCAGCGTTATCCATCGCACTGGATGTGCATCCTTCCGCTCTGTGTGTGTTGAGCCACTGGACGATTTCCAAATGTCCGTTTGCAGCAGCGAGATCCATGGCGTCTGTCGTGCAGCCCTCCGCGCGGTGTTCATGAAGCCACTGGACGACTGCGAGGTGGCCATTCTTCGCTGCCAGGTTCATCGCCGCAGACGAGCACCCTTCCGTCCGATTCTCATGCAACCACTGCACAGTCTCCAAGTGATTCGATCGCGCCGCTCCATCCATCGCAGCCGCCGTACAGCCTTCAGCCATGTGCTCATGCAGCCATCGCACCACCGCAAGGTGTCCGTTGGCCGCGGCGCCATCCATCGCGCGCTCTGTGCATCCCTCGGTCCGATTCGCCTCGAGCCACTGAACAACATCCAGGTGCCCATGCTTCGCCGCGCCGTCCATGGCGTCCGTTGTGCAGCCTTCTTCACGATGCTCATGGAGCCACTGCACGACTTCCAAGTGTCCTGAAGACGCCGCGAGGTTCATCGCGTCGCTGGTGCAACCTTCACTGCGATGCTCATGCAGCCACTGCACCACGTTCAAGTGTCCTCTTGCCGCCGCCTTGTTCATCGCGCCATGAGTAGCGTATCCTGAGTGGTCCTGCAGCCAGCGTAGCACGTCCAAGTGTCCTCCAGCCGCCGCGTCGTCCATCGAGATGGAGGACGAGCTGGAGCTGAACAAGTTTGTCCGCAGCCACTGCAGCACTTGCAAGTGGCCTCCTCCAGCCGCCAGCACCGCCGCGTACGGGGACCACTCTCCGCGCACCTCGCAGAGCCACCTGACCATCTCCAGGTCGCCGTTCCGCGCGGCCTCCTCCAGCGTCACAAAGAACATGTGCGTCGGCGGCGGAGAGGTCTCGTCGTGCAGCCACTGGGCCACGTGCAGGTGGCCGTGCTTGCCCGCGAAGAAGAGCTCTCTCGCGCCCCAGAACACGGTGAGCTCGCGCTTCCTGCTCTTGTCCAGCAGCCACTGCAGCACGCGCAGCTGGCCGGCCTTGGCCGCTTCCTCGACTGCGAACGTGACGCGGCACTTCGGGAACATGGCGACGAGCCACTTCAAGGCCGCCAAGTCGCCTCTGGTGGCCGCCGCTGCAGCCGCGCGCGTGAATTCCCATTGGTGGTAGAAGGCGTCACGCTGGCGCTTGGCGCGGAACGACTGCGCGTCGGCGGCGGCGTCCGCGGCTCGATGCGCCGCGATGCGCTCCAGCAACCGGAGCGAAACGCCGCTACTGTTGTGGGCGGCGGCACCACTGGGCCCGCGCGCGCAGGCCGACTCGATGCTCCAGCGCGCCGAGTAGTCGAGGAAGCTGCTCACCGCGGCGGTCACGTGCTTGAGCGGCGCGAGACGAGGCTGCGCGCGGCACACGACGCGCGCCGACGAGAGCGGCGGCGGCGCTGCTGCCATTCTTGCTGAGAAGGTGTCGCGGTGCCTTTTGCTAGTCCGACGTGGATTCTGAGATCAGAGCTGTCAACTCCGAGGACAGCCTGTCTGCTCTGGCGATGCGTGCACACCGACCAATGGTAAAGGCGGCGATGCGGCGACAGTTATGAGCTCCGAGGTCCGGGCGTGACATCCCCACAAAAGTGATTGTACGACATACCGCCGCAGTTGTTTGATCGACCAGATGGTCAATGCAGCTGGGAAGTTTTGACGACCACAGTAGCTCCGGTACCTCATCATTCGAAATAAAAGGAACACGAAAAAATACAGTGGCGAAATCTACGCTTCGAAAAAATTGCTCGAGCAACCTGGGAAGCCCTTGGACAACACTTCATGGCGGCCACGAAGCCACCTCGAAGCTGGCAGCGGCATGGAGCGCGTTCTACCGGCAGGAGCAGCCCCACCGCGTGCACAACGCACAGTTCCCATCTCAGCAAAATACAGCGTTGGCATATCACCGGGGCTATCCTGTCGTGACTCCGTGACTCCGGACACATTCACGGCTGGTCGAGCTCGAGTGCGGCGGACTCGCAGACCCACCACGTGGACGCGTCATACTCGCGCGCGCGGTGCAGCTTCACCTTCTCGCACCACTCGTTGAATCGCCAGTCAGAGGTCGGCACCTCGAACTCGCAGCCGTCGAGCTTGTCCGCGTAGTGGCACAGCAGCCACTGCGCCAGCTCGATGCACGAATGCCGCACGAATGTTGTGCCCAGGAACGAAAAGTCCTCGAGACGGTTGGCGTGGAGGAACAGCACTACGCCAAAGTGGGCTCGCATAAGAGCTCGGGTCATGGCGATGGCCGTGCAGCCTTCACGCCGGTTCTGCTGGAGCCACCTCACGACGTGCAGATGACCACTCGCTGCAGCTTCGTTCATTGCGCCGACAGTGCAACCTTCGGATCGGTTGCCATGGAGCCACTTCACAACGTGCAAGTGTCCGTTCTTGGCTGCGTTGTCCATCGCTTTGTCGATGCAGCCCTCGGTACGGTTCTCATGCAACCATTTCACTGTGTCGAGATGGCCCTCCAGAGCCGCCCAATCCATCGCCCACGTCGTACAGCCTTCGGTTCGGTTCGCGTGGAGCCATTTTACAACGTCCAGGTGTCCATTGCGAGCAGCCCAGTCCATTGCGGACGTGGTGCATCCCTCGCTGCGGTTCTCATGGAGCCATTTTACGACGTCGAGGTGACCTTCACGTGCAGCACCATCCATCGCTGACGTCGAGCAGCTCACATCCACGTTCTCGTGCAAGTACTGAACGACATCCAGTCTTCCGGTCGTGGCAACGTCATCCAGCGCCTGGCACGAGTGCCCAGCCTCGCAATTTTCATGCAACCACTTGACAACATCCAGGTGGCCGCTACGCGCAGCGCAATCCATGGCGATGGTTTTCGTCACTTCGACCCTATGCTCGTAGAGCCACTTCACTAGCTCCAAATGGCCATGGTCCGCTGCGGTGATCATCGTCGCAGCGTCACACCCGTCACACCCGTTCTCGTGGAACCACTGCACTACATCCAGATGCCCATTCTGAGCCGCCTTCCGCATCGCGTCCGCGGTCAAATTCGCTCCGAGCTCATCGTGCAGCCACTTCACAATGTCCAAGTGACCATTCCAAGCCGCAGCCTGAAGCGTGAAATACCCCGGACTGCCGATGGAGTGAGCGTGCAGGAACTTGAGAAACGACAGCGCACCGTCTTTCGCTGGTTGGTCCCAGTTGATCCACGGCATCACCAGCTCACCGTGCTCGAGGATCCACTGACTCGTTTCCCACTGCCGGTTGCTCATGGCGTTGGCCAGCGCACTGCGCACGCTAACCTTGTGCTCGTCGTGCAGCCACTGCACAATGCTCAAGTATCCAGCTCCAGCCGCCGCATCCATCACCTTCGTCATGCACTCCGCTCTTGGAACTGCGTGTGTCCGCAGCCACTCGACCACATTCGCGTGGTTATTCGCCAACGCGCCGCACATCTCCGTGTTGCCCCAATATCCTCTGTCGTGGTGGGCCTTATAAAGCCATTCCAGTACTGGCAGGTGTCCATTCGCAGCGGCTGCAGCTACTGCCTTGGTCAGGAACTCGTCTGGCAAATAACCCTCCACGAGCCACTGCAGCGACTCCAGGTCACCTCGAGCCGCAGCCATCTCCGTGGTTTTGTTGAACAGCCAGTGGCGGTAGAAGGGGTTCATGTCGCCGGGGTCTTCTCGTGCCGCGACGTACTGCATGAATCGGACGCTGTGCGTCCGCGTGTAGGCGTCGGCGATGGTGCAGTCGGCCGAGAAGTCGTCGAGGAAGTCGTTCAAACGCAGCTCCACGTGCGGCAGCTCCCCGTCCGGCAGGCAGCAGCTGGCCACGACCCGGGCGCTGGTGAGCGTCGGAAGGAGGACTTGCATCTTGCGTCGACTTGGAGGAGGATCCGCGAATGCGAGCGGCACCAAAGCTGGGACTTGGAGCAGACGGCTGTCAGCTTCAACTTCAGCTCAGTCATCATGAACGAATGGGATTGGCTGAAATTGGGTTGACACGGCGAAACGATTGGTCGATAATACCACCTGATACCACTTCAAGATGGCGGCGGAAAGATCACTAGGCGTTTGTATGGTGAAGCCATTCTCCTGCTATAGACACGAACATGGAAGGTGCTCAAGATCCCGTTGCTGTGTGAGAGAATACTTGCAGCACACTTGGGCCAAGTGACGTGGTTCACCAACTTCCAGTTGTAGTTGTCTTCCGCCGGCGGTGGAGGTGGCCGCTCGACTTGTCGAAAGCTTTCGCTGTTTCTGCAGCTGGAGAGCTCGTCGCCGTACATAGTTTCCAGCAGCCACGGCTGCATTTCGATCGGAAGGCGCAATGTTGTGTTGGCTGTTTGGCCTAACTGCTTACCGTGATATTATATATATCAATACTGGGTAGACCTCGTCCGTACAAGGATTTCAGCGATGACCTAGCAACTGCAGCACTACGGTAGGTCGGCCTTTGTTGTGAACTCCTACTTAGCTCTGGTGGGCGTGGCTGTCCACTCAGACGCAGCTCAAAGATGCGTAGAATGTTGCGAGAGGCGTTCACATCGCGGTTCACAGTAATAACGCATCCGCCATTGTTGCGAAGACAATGGAGTACACTGTGAATCATACGATTGCGAACAACGCCGTCTCGGCACTCTTGGCGCTGGTACTGGTTCACGAGGTCGCCGGGGTGCGCCCGCCTGCCTGCAGCCGTGGTGCACCTTGCTGGTGCAGTACTCGGATTCCAGCTCCACTCGAGAGCTCGCGCATGAACCGCTTGGAGGGGCCGCACGCCGCCAAAGTCGGAGCAGCTCCAGTCCCCAAAGCCGCTGATCCAGATACCCTTCATCATTGCGGGGATCATTCAGAACGACCCGTCGTACTCGGGGTCGAGAATACCCTTGAGAACAAAGTAGCGATCGCGGCCAGTCCAGTCAGCCCATAAAGGAGTGCAATGTACTACATGGCCCATGAAACTCAGAACCATCTCCAGCTCGACTTCTATCGGCGCATCAAGCAGTACATTACATTAAATGTATAACATTACATTACATTAAATGTACTGCTTGATGCGCCGATAGAAGTTGAGCTGGAGATGATTCTGAGTTTCATGGGCCATGCGCTTGGCTGGCACCTGTGCCCAGCCACGATTGATGCCGTCCCCCCGGTTGGGGATCGGGCTCTCACCTCGCCACGCGCTGCAGATCGCCACCGAGTCGCGCAATTCGTCAGTCATGGTCGTTCGAGGATGGAGCAGACCCCCCCCCCCCGCTCACTGCCGACAAGCACTGCGGTAGAAGGAACGCGCCAAGATGGGGATCTCGAAATCTTGCTCGCAGCAACGAACCGCATGGACACCGGCTTAGGCTTCACCGGGGTCTTGCGCTGGCGCGGTGTTGTCTTCGGCGTGCGCTTCGTGAGGATAACTCCCGACGACATCATGCGCTTCTTCACGGCAGCCTGGTTCCGTTCTCGACCGGCCGTACGCTTCGCCTGCCGCCGCTGGTTACGAAGCGACCCGGTGCCTCGTTTCCTCTTCCCAACTGCGGCGGCGAGCACCCTCGTCGGAACGATCATAGTCGGACGAAGTATTCGTGTGGGGCGAGGTGGAGGAGGGGTCGCTGTGCTCGTGAGAGGAAGTTAGAAAATGAGCACCAAAATCCACGACTAGGCGGCGCACTGCGACCGCTGATGACAGCATTGACTGCACACGCTCCCAACACAAGAAGTGGCAGCAAAGGGATGGCATCCACTCCTAGTATTAACTCAGGATGAGTGGCATGAATTGAAGTAGTACAACCGATATTCTTTAAAGAATCGCGCCGACAGTGTATGCTGTGTGCTCCGACAGATTACTTGCAGTACACTCGGCTCACCAATCCCAGTTGTAGTTGACTTCCACCGGCGGTGGCGGTGCCCGCTCGATTTGTCGAAAGCTTTGACTGTTGCTCGAACACCAGTCCAGTCTCGGTGCTTCAAAATGGCAGCCGAAGAGCTCGTCGCCGTAGTTTGCCAGCAACCACTGTTGCAGCTCCGGCGGGAGGCGCAAGGTTGTGCTAACTGGTAAAAGGAACTCTTTGCTGTGAAGTGTAGGAATAACACCACGTCAAAGTGCCCGCGCATGATGGCGTGGGTCATCGCAACGCTGGAGCAGCGTTCGCTGCAGTTCTCGGTCATCCTCTTCAAGACGTCCAGATGCCCTGACGCGGCCGCCTTGTCCATGGTGGTCGCTGAGCAGCTCACCTGACTGTGAACATAGAGCCACTTTACTATCCGCAAATAGCCGTACTTGGCAGCTTTTTCCATTGCCGCGGGCGTACAGCCTACGGACCGATTTTCGTGCAGCCATTTGACAACAGAGAAGTGACCATTTTGAGCTGCTAAGTCCAGCGCTAGTGTCGTGGATCCTTCCGATCGATTGTAATGCAACCACTTGACGACATCGAGGTGGCCGTTGCAAGCCGCTTGATTCATCGCAATCATCGAGCAACCTTCAGCGTGGTGTTCGTGCAACCATTTTACGACCTCTAGATGGCCAGCACCAGCAGCGCCATCCATAGCCAATTTTGTACAGCCTTCACTTCGGTGTTTGTGCAGCCACTGCACAACATCCAAGTGCCCATTCACAGCAGCTTCGTCCATAGCTCTTTCGGAACAGCCTTCGTTACGAGTTGTATGGAGCCATTTGACCACTTCGAGATGACCTTCACGAGCAGCCCAATCCATTACAGCATACCGGACCAGCGAGGCAGCAGCCATTGAAGGACAGCGAGTCGACCGGCCTTCGCAGCGCTCGCCAGTACGGATGAATCGCACATGCCGCATCTCCTCTCAAAAAGCCACTGCACCACGCCCAAATGTCCATTCTGCGCCGCATCTCGCATCGCATCGACGGTCAAATCCACCCCTTGTTCCAAATGAAGCCACTTGACTACATCAAGGTGTCCATGTGCTGCAGCAGCGAGAAGAGTACCCACGTGAAAACTGCCCAACTCTCGTGCGGTCAGGTACTTCAGGAACGACAGATTGCCGGGGCGCGCTGGGAAATACGTGTCGAGCGGAATCCTCTTCATGCCACATAGCTCCATGATCCAGCGCGCTGTCTCCCACTGACAGCATCTAATTGCAATCTTGACAAGTGCTGTTCCATCAGAGCCACGGTCTTCACACAGCCACTTGACGACATCCAGGTCGCCAGCTTCAGCACCAGCGCGCAGTACATCATTCCGGCACTCGGCTCTAGGCACTGCGTGCTCCCGCAGCCAAGCAACCACACGCTCGTGTTCGTTCTTCACGGCACCGCACATCTCGAGGCCTCCAAAGCACACACGATCTCGGTGCTGGTCATAAAGCCACTGCAGGATCTCCAGGTGCCCATTGGCAGCAGCTTCACCCACCACGTTGTCCACGGACTCAGCAGGCAAGTAGCTCTCCATCAGCCACCGAACTGTTGGTAGGTCTCCGTCCCTCGCAGCGAGCTCGGCGGTGCGATTGAGCAGCCATCGCTTGTAGAACGGGTCCTGGGTCTCGGCTGACTCGCGCGCAGCGACGAATTGTAAAAGCTTCTGGTGCGTTTGTAGGCCGTGATGATGGTCCAGTAAGAAGAGATGGTGCCCAGATAGGCGCTGAGTAGCTACGTGACGTGGGGAAGCTCGCTGCTGCCTTCGGGGAGGCAGTAGCGGGTCACCACGCTCGCGGTTTGGAGCACGTCGGCGAGCTCTGCGGTCGTCATGCTGGGCATTTCCGTTGAGCTCGCAAATCTGACTACCTAATCACATTCGAAAGGGTTTTTGATGGGTACAGAGACCATCACTCCTTTGAAACTCATGTTGCAGTTTGTGGACCACGTAAGCTGGGGGCAAGTTGCCGCATATGGCAACCCTCTGCTTGTCAGCTAGAGGCACAATGCGCTTGGTACTGCTCAGCCAGATTGTTTGACTGCGTTACTGCTCACGGGGCAATGCGTCAACTTCACGCTCGAACAGAGCGTTTCCGACCAAAGGCCGCGTGAGGCCAGCCAGCAACACGCAGAGCGATCCCAGCGCAGGCACCGCGAACAGTGCCGTGCCGACATGCTCCTTGCTGTGATAACGCTGGTGCTGTTCGGGGAACCCTCACACACGGCGCCGTCGCACGCTGCCCGACCACAAGCCGTACTGTCGTAACGCTGGCGGCTGCCCACCAACGCGGCCATCACCCGCTGTATCCTCACGCACTTGGAAACTGAAGAAAGCAGCATAACGTGGCTGCCAGTCATTCCGAAACCGCCCGTGGCTACTAACACTACAGCTCAACTCGCCTCGCCTCCACTAGTTCGTGTGCATTAATGCGGACTAAACCAGCAAGCCATGGCGTGCGTCCGCGGAGCTCCTCACGTGAAGCCATGTTCATCTCCAGCGAATATTGTACGGCGGCATAGACTGCCAGAGCCACACCGAGTCCTAATCAGCCTGCAGGGAAGCCATCTGCCCCTCTGCCCCTCTGCCTCCATGTGGCAGGCACATGCACATAATGTACACTTCCCAACGTTCCAGACGCGCCAGTTGAGCGCGTTCCTCGCTAGTCAAAGCTCGACGTTAGTGGGGCCTCGTAACCGAGGAGGAAACCACTGCCGCCGCCGCTGCGATGGACGACGAGGCCATGGCGGCGCTGCTGCTCGAGGGCCGAGGCGCCGTTTCGGCCTCCTCGGCCTGCGCGCCCGAGGCGCCTACTTCGCCATATTCGCTCAACTCGATGGACCAGGCGGCGCTGCGCGCGCTGCCCAACGCGCACCACGTGGTGGCGGGCCTGCACAGCGTCTTCGGGCTCTGCCAGCAGGTGCGCGACCGGCCGCGCGCGTGCCTCCAGGCGCACGCGCGGCTGCACCAGGCCTTCCTGCGCATCGCTAGCGCGGCCAAGCACGGCTCGCTGGCCGTGGGCTTCCGCCTGTCGGACTACATCGCCATCCTGAGCCAGCTCAAGGCCGCGCTCAAGCAGCACCTGCGCCTGCGCGACCTCGTGGCCAAGGTGGCGGCCAGTCGGCGGCTGCTCTCGGAGCTGGCGCGCGTGCACCACGAGCTCAACGAGCTGCTGGTGGGCAACGCGCTGGCCAGCGCCTCGAGCTCCTTGCTCGAGTGGAAGCAGCAGTTCGCGGCCAACCGCCAGCAGGACGAGAAGGCGCTGCACGAGACGCTCATGGCGCTGCTGTCCACGCCCACGTTCGTCAACACCGAGTTCCCGAGCGAGCGTCGCCAGGCGCTGGTGCTGCTGGAGCTCGTGGCCGAGTTCGCGGCCAATGACCAGCCGAGAGGACACTCGCCGCAGCTGCTGGAGACGCTCAAGATGACGCACCGACGCATCTCCAACCTCTGTGACCTGCATCTCCGTCGCGTGCCTCGCTGGTACTTGCCCGGCTGTGACGTGGACTTTTCCTTCAAGGAGCACGCGATCGGCCACACGCGCGGGTCCTTCGGGTCCTCGCTTCAACGTGGAGAGGCCTACAGATACAGCTACACCAGTGAAGGAACGCTGGCCAGCAACGCCACGTCCACAGTCGCCGTCAAATGCTTGTGGGCGCTGCCCGATGTGCATTACCAGATCGTGGAGCAGCTCTTCGCTCGCAGTGGAGTGTCCAAGTGGATGCGTGTACGACATCCCAATGTTGTCACGGTGCGCGGCGCCTCACACGCTGCCGCGCCGCCGTATTTGGTGCGGGACTTCACGACTTACGGAGGACTCACTTCGTACCTCGCAGCGCTGGAGACAAGAGCGAAGCAATGCGCGGGGCCGGAGAGCGTAGGCAAGATGGAGACTTTGACCTGGCAACTACTCTATGGAGCCAGTCGAGGCTTACTGCACCTGCACGAACAACACGGTATCGTTCACGGTGGTTTACGCTGCAACAACATCTTGGTTGATAAGAAGGGGCGAGCGGTGATCGCGGACTTTGGTCTATACACGCTCGCGTGCGACGCGCGCGACTCGGGACTCACGGAATACTTCCAGCTGGACGTCTTTGATGCAGACGCCGAGGAGCTCATTCGATGGCAAGCTCCGGAGTGTCTTCGAGAGCACGTGGCGTACCGTGAGTCGCTCCGGTCTGAGAACGCGTCGATGCTGGTAGCGAGCGGTGCTAGTGCATCTGCGACGTCGTTTGCCACCGACGTGTACGCATTTGGCATGTGCATCTTGGAGGCGCTCACGCGCACGGTGCCCTGGGTAGGGCTCGATGTTGTTAAGATTCGCACGCTGAAAGGCAACCTGAGCTTGCTGCCTCCTAGACCCAAGAGCATTTCGGCTCAGGCGTGGGCACTCATTGAGAAAATGTGCGTGGCCGACCCAGAGCAGAGAATTACGCTGAGCGAGGCATCGCAGGAGCTCAAGCGACTCGGATACGGCAACCGCGTAACCAATCGCTCACGCAACAACAGCACCAAGGACCTGGAGGCCTTGGAGGTCGATGCAGCAGCCAAGGTAGAGCGGGTAGCAAGCGCACTGAATGAGGTGTCACAAGAACTGAAGCAGGTCAGATCGAGTGATAGCCGCTCACGTGGAGGCAGCAGTGCGTCCGATGTAAGGATGTTGGAAGCTGATGCTGTGGCTAAACTGGAGCATGTGTCGGCATCACTGGAGACTTCCAACCGATCACGCAATGGCAGCACCGCAAATCTGGCTGGTCAGGAGGAAGAAACTACACAGAAGCTGGCGTGCGTGTCCAGCCTGCTCAATATTGCATCTCTCGAGCTCAAGCGGTTGGGTATGGGCGACAAATCCGCTGACAATTCGCGTAATAGCAGTACGCTGGACTTGGTTGCGATGGCACAAGAAACACTCGCCAAGCTCAGCAGACTGTCTAGCAGTGGCTCAAACAGCTCGGCTGCTGCTGCTGGAAGTGAGGAATCCCTGTCGCCGAAACCTCTCAGCGCTGAGAACACGCCGGTGCAAGGCAGTGGCCACGAATTGTCGCCTGCAGCAGAGCTCCTCAACAGTCCAACACCCGCTCAAGTCAAAACTGCTGAAGGTCCTTCTGCGGCAACTACCGACAAGAAGACCGACAGGCACATTACCGACATATCGGCTCCTAGTGATGCCTCGACAGTGGCGCAAACTAGCCGCTGGGTGAAAGACTCGCTCTCAAATCCACACAAGGAGGACACGGCCGATAGATCCGGCAATATTTGGGACGAAGAGGCGAAGGCAATGGTACCTCGCTCTCGCGAAGTAGTGCGCTCACTGCACGGTGCACTCCTGGAAGAGCACGAAGGTAGCAACTCAGCGGACAGCGACTGTGACCACAAATCAACCAGCACGGACGATAGTGCTGAGGCAACGCCTGCTCCCGAGGTCAACAGCAACCGCTCTACCTATGAACAACCGGAGCAAGAAATGGACAACGACACTGGGAGTGTCAAAGATGCTGCTACTGGGGAAGGCAGCCCAGTGTTGCTGAGCAGCGATGAAGAGGATACATCAGAGGAGTTGACTGCCGGTGACAGCTCGACGGACGACGAAGCGTTGATGATTGTGCCTGCTGAATTCCAGACGGCGCGCAGCTTTGAGGACGATTTTGACCCTGCATGTACATCGCCACACCACCCGGTGATTGATCTTCTTGACAGCCTCCGAGCAGAGCAACCCGATGGATCTCGATTTGTCAAGACACTTGAAGCCATGAAGGAGGACCTGGAGTTGTCAACCGCGTGGATTATTGTGGAGCGAGAGGGGCTTCTCACCTTCATGGAGCTCGTGTGGAGAGATTATTCCGAGGCTTGCACGATTCACGCTCTGGAGCTGTTGCAGTCAATCGCTGGTCTCAGTGCTGACTTCGTGACAGCCTTAGTGGAGTCCAAGATCGTGAAAATTCTGCTTGCTGTGGTGAAGCACCGGTCATCTCCGCAGCAAGTCGACTTGGCTGCGTCTTTCCTCCTGGAGATTATCGCCGGCAACGACGAAGCTAAGCGGCAACTATGGAAGTGTCGTGGCGTTGGCGTAATGGAAGATAGCCTCGTCATTGATCGGCGACTTGTGCAGGAGGTGAAGTCCACCATGGCCAAGTTTAAGCGCAGCGAGGGCACCAAGTGCCTTGACGCCGGCGAATATCACCTTGCCATTGACAAGTTTACCCAAGCGATTGCATTGGATCGCAAACGTGCCGGCTACTATGGAGACCGAAGGTAAGCTGCCGACAACGATAATCTCGCTTGTCTTGCTCAGATTTGCTCACTTTTCGTGCTCTTTTGTTGACAGTATTGCATACCTAGAGGCATCGATGTTCAAGAAGGCAGTGGATGACGCCTACCGGTGCATGCGCTACAACCCGTACGACGTGACGGGATACCTTCGCCATGGTTTGGCTCTGAAGGCTATGGGTAAGTACAAGGAGGCGATGGTGTCGCTACGAAAGGGGTCGGAAGTAGATCCCAAGTTCGGCAAGATTCGTGACGTACTGGCCGAGGTCGAGGCTCTCCACAAGTCGCGACTGAAAGGCGGAGATGGCGCTACTGTTCTGCGCCGCATGACAGCCGCCGAGTCCGCGAAGCTCAAGAAGAAGGATGGCGACGACGCTCTCCGTAAGAAGGACTTTGCTCTAGCAGTTGAGTGCTACTCGGAAGCCATCGAGCTGGACCCCAAGAACGACTGGGTGTACTTGCACCGAAGTATCGCGTACGCCGCACGCGGTGACCACGCCAAGGCGATCGAAGACGCGTCCAAGTGCATTCGGATCAACTATCGCCAGGTCGAGGGGTACTATCGACTCGCCTTGGCACTCCACGCAGCGGGCCAGCACGACCAGGCGCTAAACACCCTCTATCGTGGACAGGAGGTGGACCCCCAGCACGCGGGTATCACCCGCTTTATAGGCCAGCTCGAGGCGGAGGAGGCGAAGACGGCGGGTTTGCCCCTTCCTGAGTGGTTCAAGGTCAAGGGCTACCGAGCCTTCCAGTTGCGCTCGTACGAAGACGCCATCAAGTTCTACACCAAGGCCATCGACGCATCAAAGTCCGACGACGACGACGTGGTCATGCACTGCTACATGTACCGATCGCGCGCGCACCAGACCCGCGGTGAGTTCGCCGCCGTGATCGCCGACTGCTCGTACGTACTGGACCGCCATCCGAAGAACGTGCTGGCTCGACTGCGCCGAGCGGACGCATACGAGCAGCAGCGCGACTTCCACATGGCACTCAAGGACATCCGCGAGCTTGTGGCGCTGAATCCGGACTACGAAGACGCGCGCGCGCGACTGCAGTCACTCGAGCACCGATGCCGGCTACTGCCCGGTGCGTCCGAGTACGAAGGTGTCGTCGAGGTGGATCTGTAAGCTGGCTAGTACTTATACTCAAAGGGTAGTGTCATGTATTGCGTACATTACTTTTTTGCTAATAAACCGAGGGCAGCCATGTCGTGGGGGTGCTGCTGTACTTGACGTTTGGGTATGTTGTACACGGTGAGCTGGTTGTCAGGCTTAGGGACGCACAGTGCTCTTGGTGGGGACACTGCGGGTCGGCTCGGGCACGCGGCGGTCCGTGAGCTGCTCCTTGGGCCGGCGCTGCTGGTGCGGGTGGATGCTGGCGGCTGCAGGCAGCGTTAGTTGAGGGTGTGAGTATAATACAGGTTACTAGTAGAAGTTTACGCACCGAGGGTGGCCGAGAGTGACTTGGCGACTGCGTTGAGCGCCGTGGGGGTGTCCACGGTGGCCTTGAGGATGCTGCTGGTCATGCGGAGGAGGGGCATCTTGGCGTTGAGCGGGCTGGTTTTGCCTTTGACTTGTTGCTTGCTTGGTAAATGTGGAAGTGAGGGAACTACTGCGGCTGCTAGAAGTGCTCGATGGACTGCAACGTTCTAGAGCGACCCGTTGCTGTAGATACGCGTAGGGCCAAGAGCTTCAACTTGCGATTATGGCTTTTCAGAATGTTGAATGCTAAATGGCGGCACAAAAGCAGAGGTCTGCTGACTGCTGTCTTGAGGACCATTACCTCGAGACAACTACGGGGCTATACTAGTGCTAACTAATACATGCAGCCAGTGCCTCGAAGGTGTCGCCGCTGCCTGGTTAACACGCTGCTTGGACTTTCAATTTTCACATGTCGCATAAATCGGCAAGTTGAAGTGGTAAGCACGCGCAATGGTGGTGGTCGTCACTACCGGCCGCTGAGAACACCTCGCCTGCTGCGGTTGCTTGCTAGGCGGCAACGATGTGAAGTGCTGGGGCTTCAAGGTGAAGTGATTGTCAAGTATCAACGATCCTGCTGTGCTCGTCTTCCGCCTCGATCGTGTAGTACGTCGCTGGCCAGAGCTCGCACGACACGGTCCTCTCCATGTCGGCCAGTTGTCCACCGACGCGTCGGACAGCAACAGCGACTGCCCTTCCTGCTGCGGGGCGGAGAAGCTGGCCTGTTCTCGAGTATAGATCCGCTCCAGATCCGCGCAGTACGGCGTATTGGACGCTAGGATGGTGGGGATGCCATCTCCTTCGCCTCCGTTGGCGCTCGCCACCATGGGGTCGGTCCAGTTCCAGAAGAAGGAAATGTTCGTGTTGTCGACTCGAATTTTGAAGAGTGGCGATACGTTCTCGATAACCTCTGGGAGCTCCGATATGTGCGTCCCACCAACATGCAACCATTCGTTGCCCTCAATTATCTCTGCAGGGAGCGTCGAGATGGGGTTGAGCGCGAGTGATAGATCAAACGTAGTTAACCGCACTAAGGACGGCGGAATTTCGGTTAAATTGCCGGCCTCGAGGTAGATCGTGGCAGTGTGCGGCCACGTTAAGTCCAAGGCCTCGGGCAAACTACGCAAGTTTGTCACGCAAAACTCGATATCTCGTAGTGTCTGGGACAAAACTTCTCGATACAGACCAGTAGGGAGATTCCCGTCCGTCATGTTGACACGCACGAGAAACAGCATCAATAGGCTCGGGTGACGTCTTTCCGAGATGGCGGCGTCTTCCCCCCAGCGCGTGATCGTCGAGTTATAAATCTTTAGAGCTCTCAGATGCAAATTTCAGTTAACTTTGCCGGCACCTCGAGTGCCGGGCAGTGGCGGATCATCACAGAAGCGATGGTGGCTGGGTCAAAGAGGCTCCACTGGGCGATGACTTCATCCTCAGTACCATTTAGGTTAGACGCGTAGCAGTTTAGAAACAGGAGAGAACACGACGGCTGGGAGCTGAACCAGGGCTTGATCAGCATCTCGCACTGAGGGTACGTTGGGATGGACTCAGCGTACAGATGAACAACTAGAATTAGAGTTCCCCACGAGAAAAATATTATTCGAGCAAACCACGATTCCCACTGCTTAGCCCGCTTGCTTTGATATGCAGACCTTACGTTCGATATGTTTGGACTGAGAGGTACGATCGTTGCAACTCCAATCGCTTTGGATCTGGTGCTTCTCTGGGGCTTCGTTGGCCTCACGCTTAGTAGCTTCTTGATGTTGTTCATGTTGGTTATCAACCCCAGAGCGAAGAACACGCGCATGGCGAAATCCCCCCACGAGGCGACCATCAGAATCTGGAACTCGCTCATGACCTGCACGATCCACACTTCGTCATACCAGTTGTAAGTAGGGTAGCCACCAGCCTCAAAATTGAATTCAGACGCGTAGATGAGCAATAGCGCCGTGGTTATTCCAACGGAGGTCACAAGATCGAGCACACAGTCACACGTCAGTGCCCAGAATCGCCGACTCGCTGTATCCACGTGGAAAACGTGATGAACCAGCGTTGTCGACCAGCAATTGAGTACCAGCAAGGCCACATAACCGTGGTTAATCCATCTTCGTGAGAGCAATAAACTCATCCGATACGCTTGACTTGTCTGTAGCGCAGTCTCTACAGCCTCTCCCCACCCACACTGAATTTGGAGTAGAACGCGCGAAATCTACTGATTATGCTGTTGCTTGATCGTTGGGTTTTGGTAGAACGCCTACTGTAGTGAAGACGAACTTTCTCTTCTTGAGTGACCAGCCAACCATCCAAATGAAACAGAACAAGTGAACACCGGCAAAACACCGGTGCACTATAACGACAACTTGGTAGTGCTCGGAGCCCAACCCAAGACGATAGAAGCTCAGCCAGTTATTCAGCATACTGTGGGGTAAACTTAAGTAGCACCGCGCTATGGTCGCATAGTAGCCCAGGCAGATGCAGTGAAGACCGACGAAAGCGAACCAGCACACTCGGCGCTTGTGAGATGAGAGCCTTGCACGGCAACCTCAGGGTTTGAGCGACTACGACATCTCACATCGTGAGTGGAATGCAGCATGCTCTACACTGTAGAGCAACAATAACGCTGTGATGACGCTCTCATTATAGCGCAGAGAAGTAAGTATTTGGGGCCGAACGCAAGATTAAAGTGGTCATCAAGTAAACGGACAGCGGTGAGTACAGCTGAATCCGAAAACCATGAGAACAAGTAACCGAACGCGCTACCAAACTTTTGCGAACGTGTGGCTGAGGTAGCCTGCCACCCATCGCCAACGCATTGCAGTGTCTACTGCTTACTCTTGCCTTTTTTCTTCTTCTTCGTCTTCTTCTTCGTGGAACTCTCACATTCGTGTCATCACTCTCCAGTGCAGAAATGTTCTCCTCTGCACGGCGCGTCGGGCGCTGGAGTTGCCGATACACTGCTGAGCTCTGATCAGCAGCTTCAAAAGTCTCGGTACTTCCAGCCTCCTCCTCAATTTTACGCGACCAAGCGCGATTCGTCGTCACCGCCGACACAGGATTTCCAGCTTTGTCCTGAATCGTCAAGTCAGGGCCAAACGAGCAAAGCACCTTGAACAAGTCGCGGTGCCCGTTCTTGACAGCCAGATGAGCGATCGTCTCCTTCGTGTGGAACGTCGGCGTGTTCAGGTCCAGCAAGTTGTCCGCTGCTAGAATGATAATAACAATATTTGTGTGGCCCTTTGCCGCAGCGCTGTGGATTGCCATGGCGTTCGGGAAACACTCGCGAGGACACGGCAGATCTTTCTTCCTCGGCTCTGTCCGACAATGAACTGTCGGCTGGAGATGGAGGGCTCCAAGGTGGATCATCCACTCGACGAGGTCGGGGTCATGCGCCGGACCAGCCGCTGCCTGGTGGAGCAGCGTACACACGTCATCCCGGTTGTCCTTGGTGCGCGGCGTGATCATCGCGAGCAGCAGCGGGTCGTTCTTGATCTCAGTCTTGAGATGGTCAAGATCATCTTCATAGAGGTGGCCGGTACTTTGCTCCAACAACTGCATCAACTCGGAAAACACTCGCTCGCGTCCTGTACCAGTCCTCTTTGCTCTAAACGACACAGTGCCGTACTCTTGATTAGCAAGCTTCGACGGGAAAGTAAAATACTTGTGCTCGCAGCTTGCGGTGTACGGCGACGCAAATTTGGCTGACAGGACAGCTCCAGCTTTCTTGCCCATTTCACGAACCCGATCCCCGTTCATTTTGCCTTCCCAACGAGTAGAAAGCCCAAATGGGATAACGTCCAACTTCAGTGATGCGTTTGGCTGCAAAGCGTCCAGCAAGGGCAGCAAAGGACGCATGACGGCATTCTCCAGTGCGTCAGCGGTGCAGTCCTCGTCCGACTGATCAGGGACTAGCCGTTGCTTGTTGATATAATCATCGTAGTATTGCTGCTGGTCCAGCTCTTCACACAGCTTGGAGAATACATCGACGATGTCATAAGTGAGCGCTAGCATATCGCGCGACAGCACACGCGTCTCAAATAAATCTGCCACACAGTCGGTGCCTGCCGAATACAGCGACTTCACCAAGCTGGTGAGCTCAAGACCGGATGTATCGCCTTCAACCAAAAACCGCCAGACCTCAGATACATCGCGCAAGTAGAGCCCATTCGAGTCCTCAGTCTGTGCGGGCTGAAGATACGTCCGATCGTAGGCACCATGAGTCGCAGCAGAGCGTGACGGAGTGAAAATGCCTCTCTCGCAGATCTTCAAGACGTCTTCGAAAAACGGAATGCGCTCTAGAAATCCTTCCGTCACAAGGGCATTGTACAGGTGCCCAAAGGCGCGAAACAGCGAACCACTCGGCAATATCTCGCTACCCTTGCGCAGATAATCGAGATGATGGTCCATCACTTTCAAGCCTGCCAGCACAGGATTGAAGCGCTCAACGATATGCGCTCTGTCTTGCGCTCTGTCTTGCTGCAGCTGGGTGCTAAGAGGTTCCTGAATGGCGGGCAGAATCGTGGGTCTCGCCATAATTTCTTCCATGCGTTCATTCAAACTCATCGCGTGCTTGAACATTACGACGACGTTACGACCCAGCCCTCCATCGCCTTGTAGTGCCACGATCGATTTCATCCAACAAGTGATCGCAAACACCAGCGGGATCGTGACTTGGCGGGTCGTGAAGAATTCGTCCAACAATCCAAGGAACGCCCCCTCCAACTTGGATCGATTAAACGCTGCGCCGCCATTCTTCTCCTTCTCTCTCATTTCGTTGTAAACCAGCGGCAGTTGCTGCATCAGGAACGCCGACACATTAAACGGATCCGAATACACGTACTGCGGCGTGCGCTCCTCTCCATATCTCTCCACCACATTCGTCAAGAAGATCGCCTCCGTCTTGCGCCCCGGCGACGGAAGAGCGGACGCGAAAGTGTTTAAACTGTTGAGAATCATCTGGAAACTACCCAGCAGCTCGAACGGGTAGGGTCTGAACTGCTCCCCCCTCTCGAACTTGTCCCGAAGGTCCTTGCTCACTTTCCGTGACAGAGCGATCAGCCCTGGCGCTTGTTCGTACACGACATCAAACAGCTCCGGCGTCGTTCGGATCTCCGGGTGGTGGCTCTGCAGCTTGGTCGTCAAGTCTTCAGCCGTGTCCATAGCCAACTTCACTGCCACCGTCGCCTCCATCAATGTCGATGTCTGTTCCTTCACAAAACGGTAGCACTCGTGCACGCCCCGCACCAATTGCTCCAAGTCCGAGACGAAAAAGACCACGTCCAGCGCCAAATCGTCCCTAAAAGCCTCCTCACAGACGGATTTAAGCTTTCTAGAGGGATTGGCAGCCAAAACGAAGCTCTCCTCTCCGGGGCAGAAGAAGTCCTCGTCTTCCTCCCACTCGGGGGACTCGAATGAATCAAGGTCATTTTCCAGCGGGACCCTTTGCAGCAAACTGCCCCAAATTTTGAGCAGCGTCGCGAACTGGGACTTGGAGTTGGCCAGGAGAGGCGTGACAAGTTCCCGTAGCTGGGTGGCGCAGTGGAAAGCTTTGAGAACTGTGGGCAGTCGGCGGAGCAGCTCGGGGGAGAGGGAAGAAGGGTCCTTTGCGGTCTGCTGCACGACGCCGCTCAGAGACTTGAGCTGGAGGACGTCGGTGGACGGGCGACTGTGCTCGTGCGCGCGCAGCAGCCAGTCCAGCGCGAACGTGGCGGCGCGCACGTAGCGCTCGTACTTGCCCAGAGCCAACGGCATTTTTGCTGGGGAAGATCGGGAATGCATAAAAACTTCGTTTTAGCACTATTTTTTTGTTTTGTTGGGCGTAAATCTAAGGAGGTTGAGTATTTTTACCGGTGGGTAAAGATAATCTGGGGCCAGTCAAGAGTTTGCACCGGGCCCCAGCAGCCCTGACACGCCACCACGGCACGCTCGACCGCACGCCCGGCGGCACGCACCCGACTCTTCGACACCCACCACAACCACTTCCTAAGGGGGCAGCCCCAACTCGCACTCACTCCGTGAGCTTGATGGGGCTCGCCTTCAATAATCCAGAACGACTGCTGACCCCCCAACGTGCTTTAGTATGCTCAAAGGAAATTGAGGAATAAATACTATCGGCCAGGCAACAGGCACTTACGTAGAGATTTTACCCGACAGATGCCTGGAAAATCATGGCGCAACATGTCGCCCGCAAGGTCAAAGTTTGAACCTTGACTCTGTCACACTTTGCATTCAAGTTATACTTTCGTGCGCCGAGTTGCTGACTGTCCAGAAGCGCTGTACTCCTTACTTAAGTACATACATTTGCCTACTTGCAAGTACAAACTAGGCACTTGGTACATAAACAATCCAAAATACCTAAATGGAGTTTTCAATATAGTAAATAGTGGTCCATTGATGGTTATGTCGTTGGTTCATGTATTTCTCGGTGCTTTTATCTTATCTAGCGCAGTAGCAACTGGGCTAGAACTACTAGAACCACTCATTCCGTCGCCGCTACAATAACCACTGCCACCACCCTCCTCCCGTTACTTTCGTCACTATGCCTTCAAGCTTCGCGCCAATATAATTCGTGCTAGCTCGACCTCCCTCTGCTCTGTGCATTTGGCACGCCAATGAAGCTCTCATACATGACAGCGCATTCCGCGGCAGCCGTACCTGCCAAATTATGAGATGGAGCTGGGTCGACCAGGCAATCGTAACAGACCAATATACCAAAGTAAATATTTTAAATAATAAACTAACTACATGTAACCTGGCAATCGACTTATTATCAAATCTTCGTTACCTTACATTGGCTTGTGGATACCAAAGAACGAGCAAGGAACAGCTACACTGTACCTGCGCTCTGTTGCGCATCATGGAATTTATCAGATATGATGGGTAACAACAGCTCTCTAGCTTGGTGGACCTGGCATCACCACCACACAGACTGAAATTCTTGATCGACGCAGTGTCAGGACTACCCGTAAATTAGTCCCGGTGTGAAAACGATTCACACTCGGCCCCATGAATATATCTCTTGCCAGGAACACAAACACTGTTGATAGCGACTTGTAGAACACATTCTCTAAATCATGTGCTTCACTTGCCATACTAATATATAGATCTTTGTATGGTGCCTAATTCAAGATTTCCAAAGTGCCGATTTCAAGTCCAAATGGGCATTAGGCACAATATCCTAGTTTGTTGATGCCTGCATACCAGGTACAGTGCACTCGTTAGTCTTTGACTCGATTGGCACCAAAGTCAACAGTTGTAGTCCTCCGTAGAACGAACTGCTCAAACTACACTACTGCCACGTTCGGGTAGGGACAAAACATGTACCGGTTGCCCGGTCCAAGAAAACCGCCCGCTTGAATGGCATACTAAACCTACTGGTGACCGCGCGCGGCTTGGTGTGCGTGTGCATCTTGGTGTCCGCGTGTGCCTTGGTGTCCGCGTGCGGCTCGCCGTCCACGGTCACCTCGTCCTTCTTCAACGTGGCTTTATCGTTCCATCGGAAAACATAATTTCCCGCTACACTCGGAAATACACCGAGCAGCAACTCAGAATCCCACCTACCTAATGAGTTTTTCCTTACACTGTTGATGGAGTGATCACACTGCAGGAGCATGATACATGTACAGCAGACAGGTTCTGCTATCGTAGTCTTGACCAAAGTCATCACTCTATAAAACACCGTTAATGCAGAAATAGTGGGGCTCGGACTGAATTTGACAACCATCGTAACTCTAGGAGTCTTAGACTCTGAATTATAGCAGTAACCCCGGAGGGAGTGCTGCTAGGCGGCCCAAGTGAATTACTACCAAGCCCTGCTCGTTGGACCGCATCGTTGAACAGGACTTCAGCTATTGTGCCATTTCGCTTTCTACCACAAAACCTAGCAACCATCCTACGTACCTACCCATCTGTCTGTCTTCAGCTGCACACGAGCTATTGGGGAACCGGGTGGTGGACCCGGGGGGTTTCGCATTTCGAAGCTAGCTTGTACGGATACCCTTACAGGGAAACGATGTACTCGGGCATCCCCTGCGCCTGCTTCGCAGCCGCAGCATCTGCCTAATCTACCACGGTACAACCAAGTGTACAAAGTTTGATCGCTTTTTTCAAAGGCATTGCCAGTTCATATACATGCATCGTCACTCCAACGAATTGGTACTTCAACGATTGGGTTTGACAAACCCACCGTGATGATTCTACCTCCTCCTGCTCGTCGAATGAGGGCTCCACGGATTTAGTTTTAACCTTAGTTCTTTGTAGTTGGTAGACCGGTTATCAACAGCGAGGTAATTAACGTAATTTCCTTCCTTCCTGCTACTGAAATGTGCGCTGATGCCCAGGCAGAATCCTTTATTGTTTAGATTGCAGTGTTGTGCTCGGAAACTTACAGGTGACGATAAAACAAGAAAAAAAACGTGCATTCGAATAATTAGCGCTGCCAGGATAACTGCTCAACCAAACTTGCAGGATAACCCGATGAAGCCAGCAATTTGTTTCAAGTTTGATGAGTTAAAACTGAGGTCTAGCAGCTTTCGATCGCGTGTAGGAGTAGGATACACCGGGTGTTCGTCCTTCGCTTTGACGATGTCCGCCCGGTGCTTCCTCTCGCACAGGATGCGCTGCGTACAGCGACAACGTAGGAGCATTCAAACTCTGTTTGATAAAACATGGTGCAGCCGCACGCATATTTTGTCCAGGTCGCCTGAAGATCTAACAACAACAAAAAACTGTCAGCTTCGATTCGTCCAAGTGTGATATTGCCATTTATCAAGTATTAATCTGAAGGTACTGTATGCATGTAGCATTAGGATGATCTGAACTGATATCGGTAACAATGTACTTTGAACTTGTTTTGACAAGAACAGGATCAAGTAGTAGATCATTCTACACCACCAGTTTGGTGGATCTCTGCGGGTCGTATTGTAGTCTCACACAAGACAAGCTTAAATCATCCTAGTCTTCATAGATAAATGCCTAAGCTAGTGCAGCTAGCCTTTAGCCTTTTTTCGGGAGAAGACGTACCACCAGGTGCAGCTCTTTTTGAGTCTCCGCTGAATGAATTCGTTCGTCTCCGTATAGGACGTCACCGCATTGCCGGCGGATAGAGTTGGGTTCGGATTAAAAAAAAATGTTGAGCGAAAAAAAATCAAGCTATACTTCCTATCTTGGATCGCACAACCTAGGACTTTAAGTAGTTTTTTGCAATGTTTTAGTGGAATGTTTTATCTAATCCATCCGGATTAATTCCAGTGAGTGTGGGGATTCATACAATATCAGCCCGCCGACAGTTTATGTCACGGCAAACCCAGCTGACCACACGATTTTCAATATCTCTCTCTGAGAAACTATGCATGCAGAAGAAAATCTGTGTCTGAAAGAGGAGGGTATAAGTTATGACTCATAACAGATCGAATCGATAATTTTACCGCTAATGGAATGAGTAAGTACTATGTTGAGAGCTTTGAAGCTGCATGTACAGTAGTATAATACGATGCAGTGATGTGGCGGCACCAGTTGTGTCCAAGGTTAGCATCATTAGCACCGATGCCTCATATTGATGGAAAGAATACAATGCTTGCTAGTACACAATACATTGTTCGTCGTAGTAGTCCGCTAATACACAATACGGTGTTCGTCGTAGTAGTAGATGGAGCCCAGAGCTGGAAAAACCTGTTGATTTTCAAAAAATGAATTAGGTTCTGGGTTTTTGGGTAGGTTTAAACTGATTTTACTGGGTTTAAACCAGACATCGTCCACTGTCATACTCACTCTGATGTATCACCCTCTTCACCCCAACGCATATATAAGGTGCTTACCTTACTAATTAATATGTTGTTGTTCGTTCCGATGTGCATCACTGATGCAGCATCCGTTTCTTTAGGTCCGATACGCATGCACGGGTTCGCCTTGGCTAGTCGTGATCGTCACTTCTATTATGTACGACGAACCCGTATGCATCGCTGCTAATGCACTAGCGTCGACTTTGTAAGCCTCGATAAAGGTGCTCGTTGACGCATCGAGGCGCACGCACAACTCATGAATGCCTTTGCCAAATGCAATGGATGCACGCACAGAATGCAATTATTGCTGATTGTGTTCATGGCTGACAGATTTCAATTGAAAATCACCAATTTCCCCCCATATTCCTCTTCATCCAGATTGAGACACAGGTGCGGATGCATCTCTTTAGCCCCGTTCTTCGTTGCTGGTTAAAGCTTTATTTAACTGATAACAGAGTAGCAGCGTCATTCAATCATAAGTCAGGGGCCTCTGGCGTTCTCCCACACAGGGCATACTGGCCCTGTGTGGGAATGGTTACAACCCCACGTCGATCGTAATAAGCCAAACTCGGCTAAAACACGCCCCGCCGCAATATATATGTAATATACCAGAATCCTGTGCAGAAGCAACGAGGAAAAGTAGTAACTATGATGAAGTTGAACCTAAAACCCAGCAAAATTCGACTGGTAGGTTTTTGAGTTTAAACCAGGGAAAAACCTAATGGTTAAACCCAAATTGCCAGCTCTGATGGAGCCCCACTTCCTCTGATGGCATCTGACATCAATCTACAGTAGAAGGAAAAAAAAGAATAGGCATCCAAGTGTCATTCAGACCGATTCGATCGATTGCTGTATGATGTTGTGTGAATGTTATTTGATGTCATCCGCACGGGGGTGAAGTGACGAATGTAGCGTGAATGTCGTTCGATGTCATCAAAAAACCTTCCCCAATCGACAGTTCTTCGAACTGCGAACAACAACTGCCGGAGTACTGCTCCACAGCCCCTGAACTAACATGGAGAGGCTACGATGGGAGGGTTTGACCAAATCTGTTGTTGTCGTTGTGTTTTTAGTGTTGTAGGAGGCTGTTTATCATTACCCATGGAAGGCTCGTGGAATCTCTCGCGGCTGCTTTGCAGCCGTTGTATCTGCCCGAAATAATGCGAAAAAAGTAGATATAGCATGTTTGGAAGAGGTGACAAAAAAGAGAAACTAAAGCCAAACGAACCTTGCTTGAGAAGTAATACGTGCAGCTTCATATTACATCCATGTATATATGGACCTAATCATTTTGCACCGGGTGCCTGTGGTTTATATGCATGGACACGCCAGTGCATCACTCTGTACGCTGCTTCATTAGCGGTATGAGGACAACAGGCGTTTTAGCTGAGAAGTACAAATGTAGCTACAAGATCGAAAGTGTGACCGCATGGAATACATACTCTATGCATGTAGCCCTAAATGCATGAGGCCAACCTCTTAGAGACATTGAGCTGATTTTTGTTTTAAATCCTAAATGTCAAAGTTTCTTCGGGATAAGTCCATACTGGCCACTCTGACACCGAGGCTCCTGCAACGCTTTAGTCTCACTTTGGGAATGTATTCATGCATCCGTCTGCAGGTGCACCAGAAACACCTCCAGACAGAGTATACTAATATTTGGAAACCCTGGTTGCTCCCATAAAATTGCTATCCCTGCCTAAGCGTAGCCCTAGTCACAATCGGGAGGAATGACTAAATCTGAACTCCTATCCAGGAGAGTATTTTGCGGGTGTTACCACAGCATTTACTGTCTTTGATGGCCACACTAGCCGAGCGCCGCCGCTACGCGGCGGTAGTTTTGTGGTTAGTTGTAGTAGTAAGGGCCGCCCACCTCCGCTTCGCTCCGGTGGGCATTTATTTAGTTTAAAAGGTTATTAAATTTTGCTTGTGTGCATGTAAAAAATGTTTATTTGCGTTGAGGTACTACCAGTAGTGTGACGTGACTGAAATCAGCTTAATACATATCCCTACGTCAGAGTAGATGAATATAGTAAGGTAAAACATTCGATCTATCGTACGGTACCCTGTTGTAAACCGGATCCAAACAGGTGCAACTACTTAATCCGATTACAAAGTCCCCGCGGAGTACATACCTTAAGTAGTAATCTGTGTGTTGTACATGTAGTAGAATTAAACTTTGGCATGAGCTACATGTCGTGGTGGGGTAGATCAATACGGTGTTGCTATCTACAGTGTGCTCACTTTGAAGTCTGTATACCTGTCATTTTATCAAGTTATCGCATAACTATAGTTTGTTTCTCTATACGGTTGGTAGGCTATAGCATTTACATTCTGTGATCAGGCGATAAGCCCAAAGTGATGGCTTCGCTATTCATGTTCTCAGCATTACGTTTCGAGCTAGTTTTCTTTTAAAAAAACGTGTATATATCGTGCTGCATCGTTTCAGCATTTTGTACGGCCCTAAGAATGTAATGAGCTGTGGGCTGCGTTAATTTCGACGTATCCCGCTTCAAATCTCATTTTTAATGAGCTAAGGCGTGCGTATCAGTAAATTATTCTACTATGTAATGCACATTAACACTTTTGCGTACTACCTATAGTTGAGTAGCGAAAGTATCGCCGTCGCGTTCAAAATTCATATAGCGTGCAATGCTAATTCGTTAATATATAGGTATTGTACGGCTCATCAGTAGTGTTAGAGTGTGGGGAAACGCGTCAATGGAATGCGAGTATGAACTTCAATAAAACCTCCACTCCAATGCATGTCTAGGCATCTACTATCCCCAGACCCCATTATCTTACCGCTAAATACTAAAAGTTACAGATACATGCCACACGTTTAAGCCAATATGCCTTTATAGATGAGCACTCAGCACCGCTGCAGCTATAATATATCCGTCCCTAAAGCAAAAAGTAACCTGAAACTATTAATCAATCGTCTTCAGCTACTGTACCTCTCGCTACATGTACTCGCACTGCTATCGCTTATTACGTCGGTGCTATCGCTTGTTACGTCGGTGCTATCGCCTTCTATGCGCTTCTATCGCTTACTATACGCTGCTATCATTTACTATCATTTACTATGCGCTGCTATCGCTAAGTATCCGTTGCAATCGTTTTCTACGTGCTGCTATCGCTAACTATACGTTCATATCGCTGACTACGCGCTGCTATAGCTAACTATGCGCTGCTATGGCGTACAATGTGCTTATATTTAACCAAGTTCGCTGAATTAAAATTATACTATGTAGTAGGGCAAGCCCAGCTATCGCTGCCACTATGCACTACTCGCAGGGCTATTATATGTTTAAGCAGACTCTGCTATCGCTGCTACTACGTGGTGGGCCCATTTTAATTAATAGCAGGTGTTCCGAAAAGTATTATATATAGGCCAAGCGTCACGGCGGGGGTGACGTGATCGCCCCCGTTCCGCACGCCTCGTCGGCGCGCTGCACTACTCGCCGTGTTATTAGTACATATTTGTAGGGCGGGCCCTGCGGCCCGCTAGAACGCACGCGGGTGCCGCCTTCGCTGCGCTCGGCAGCTTTGGGTCCAATACAGCTTAGGTACGATTATGTGGACCACCTTATTATGTTGTCACGTGCTACACCGTGACGGACATCGTAGATGGTTTGGTCGGCGTCCAAGGCTGTCTATGTACGATTATGTGGACCACCTTTAAAGTGGACAAAAGCTTCAGACGAACTGACACTCGTAGATGGTTAGGACTAGCCGAGCGCCGCCGCTACGCGGCGGTAGTTTTGTGGTTAGTCGCTGTAGTAAGGGCCGCCCACCTCCGCTTCGCTCCGGTGGGTTTTTTTAAAGTCCAAATGGTATTCATTTCGATTGTGTACATGTAAAATTGTTTATAGGTTTGAAGTACTCTCAGTAGAGTGACGTGGCTGGTAATAGCTATTCCAACGTCAGTGTACTATGAGTAGATGCATGTTGCAGGGTAAAACATACGGTCCTGTGCTCATGTCGCAACTATTTAACCCGAATTACAAAGTGTCCGCACAGTACATATCTCACAATCTGCGTTTACTGTGAGTTTAGTAGAAATAAACATGAGCAATATGCCATGGTAGGGTAGATCGATCTGGTGTTGGTATCTTATGTGTGCTCACATAAGTCTATGTCTTACGTGTTGTTTATTCAGTTTATCATCCCACCGTAGCTCTCTGATTTCAGTTCGTAGGCTATAATACCTTCATTCTACATTGGACTATAAGCCCCAGCAACAATCAAAGTATGGGCTTCGCTCTTCCTGTACTTAGCATTACATTAAGTGCTTGTGATCTTATATAAATACCGAGTGTACATCATCGTTTAGTATTTCGTATGTTCCGCCAAAACGTAGCTGCGGGCTGCGCTAACTACTGCGTGGTCTACTTCAAAACTCATTGTTTTAGACGTGGCTATGGTTTATTATTCTACTACGCGGCGAACATTACCATTTTAGTGTACCACCTGCATTACAGTAGGTAAGGGCCATTCCTAGAGCGGAGCATGATCCGCATTTGCGTGTTTTCATTGGCTACCGAAAATACATATGTTTCCTCGACGCTGATCCGGTGATCCGCTATATGGCTCACAACCCACTGTTGGATCACGAGGTCATCACTACAATCTCAGTAATGAAGGTCCGAACGATTGTCTTGCTTGCCGCTGGAGTTATCGCATCTTCTCAGCATAATGCGCGTCGCTCTCGTGTAGTCCACCGCGACCGTCTCGACTGGGTACCGCACCGTGAGCGACTACTGCTTGAAGAACAGTTCAAGCAGTACTACCGAATGAGCGCTGATGCATTTGACGAGTTGGTGCATCTGCTGACACCGAGGCTCCAGCGAGTAGCCTAGAAGTCCGAGAATCGGACTGCTACGAAGCCTATCGAGGCAGTTAATATGGTGCAAATGACGATTTCGTGGCTTGCTGGTGGTTCTTACCATACCATTCGAGCTCATGCTGGTGTGAGCAAGACAGCGTTTTATGATATCGAAGTGGAGGTGATGCAGGCAATATGTGATCACGAGCGCTTCCGCATTTCTGCCCCTGTCTACGACCATGAAGCTATGCAGATTGCCTCTGGAGCATTCGCTTCAATCAGTTCGAACACTATTATAACCGGTTGTGTTGGCTGCGTGGCTGGCTGGCTGTGTGGTAAGCTGATCTCCGGACGAAATGAACCGTTGAAAGAACTCCTCGGAGAATAACACGTTAATTAATCGGTAGATGCAGTGTCGAGTTCGGCGACCGTCGTCTGACTTGTTGCTCCGCTTGCCTAGTCGTTGCTGCTGCACCAATAGCGCGACTCCCCCCTTGGACGCGTCGTAAGCGTTGAGGATGGCAACGCGATCCTCTTTCTTGGTATTCTTGGCGACCGACAGCTTGCGAGCTGTACACTCGAGCTTCAGTTGATCCACAGTCCAGTCGTTGTAGTCTTCCGATGCTGGAGCTGGTACAACTCGCTTACTGTCTACTTCAACCAAATCTATTTTACGTCAACAATGTAAAAAGACCTCCACAAAAATGTTTTCAATCGTGTTTTAAGCCCTTGTCACGTAAAAATGTGGAAATGTAATTGTAAAAACGCCACCACTGGTGCCGACCCCACGTCCGAGTGCAAGTCAGACGGTCGTTTGGAGGCCGCTGCGGTTTTGTAGTCAACAACATGTTGGCGACGGACACGAACGAGCCGTAGCGTTGCCGGGTTTATTAGCAGCACCACTTCAGCTGGATTGTATGGTGCACTCAGGTTTTTCGTAACGGACTTCGGCAAACCTGAGCGTCTGCGTTGGCATGCAGTGATGACTTCGTTTTGCTGCTCGAGTAGCTCTTCGGGCTCAAACCGGCGGCGTTAACACCACCACCAGTCTGGAGGACGTAGTTTAGCACATCTGCCTTGATGACCGCAGTCGTAGAAAGAAGTGGCAGCCGCGTAGATCCGTGCTGGCGGACGAGATGCAGCGTTGTCTCCGTCGACGCTGTGTAGACGGACACTATGCCGTACGCCCACTCGTCGACTCCGTCCTCAGAGGTCATGACGAAGGCAACGGGGTGGGCGAGAAACGAGCCTGGCCACAAGTCCCCGTTCTTGAGCTGGCACGACTCGGCGGCAAAACGTTGCCCAGGGGATAGACAGCGCTCTCTCGTCGTCATCTCAGTTGAGACCCACCACCTTCATGGAGGCTTCGTCGCCTTCATGAGCCATGAGCTCCACGTACTCGAAGTCCGTCAGCTCCGCAGCGTGCTTCGGGCGAGGTTGCCTGGAACTGGTGAGGACGCCATTCTTGGAGGGCTGGGAGAGGTTGGATAGATGCTTGGGAGTTTCGACTTTCTTGGCCCGGAGAGAGAACGGAAGTGAAGTCTCCGGTGACCCTACAACTATCTAACAGTACCGTGGCTAAATCTAGTGCGGCTTAAGCGCCTTCGTTTCTTGTCGAATCCTCTTGCTCCCGGAAATAGGAGTATCCATCTCACAGGATACTTCTTCCTTCCGCTACAACTGTCGGGAAATGTGGGTGGAATATTGAATCATCTCGCCTAAAAGCAGAGGGGCTGGCTGCGGTTTCCGCCACCTTCTTGAAACTGCCTCAAGATGGATGCTAGCATGGCTGCTAGCATTTCACCTGTGGTGTTTTCACCAAAACACGCAATCCAGACTTGACTACGACTCAATGAACATACAGTGGGTGCCTACCAAAACCGGATATAACTCGACATAGAATGAATCTCTAAATTTGTCTCTAAATATCAAATGTTCAGAGGTCGAAATATGTCAGAGGTCGCCTGATATATGCGTCAGTTGCTAGAAAAAGGCCATCAATAATGAAATCAAGTCAAATCTAATACGTTGCCGTGCAGCGACCCTTCGTTTACTCAGACGTAAAAATCGTCTGAGTAAATATAAGTGGTAGCGAGCCTTCAGTTGATTATTCATCAGGTTGGCCAATTTTTCGGAATCGTGGCCAACGTTCCTTACTTCGACAAGGGAGCAAGGCGTTCAGGTCGCCATTGGTGGATGATATTTCTACCGGAAACTCAAACAATGATTTTCTTAGTATATTGCTACCTTATAGGTCGGACTCATCTTCATTTTGAAACGTTTGATGGGCATCTCAACCGAGTCCTCTGTAAACGTCTCGCAGTGATTATCCAGAATGTCGTTGCATGTCTTCCCACATGGCACAGTGAGGTTTGGGTACAACAGGCATATCCTCAAAAGTAGCAGTCGTCACCATGCTGTTGGCATGCCCTAGATACAGACACATCATTACAGTAGTTAAATTTAGCAGCTTTCAAAATCGCAAGAAATGAAGCACGCACCATCACGGTTCAGCCACCGTGTTATATAGCCCGTTATTTCCTCCGGGTTCACCGAAGTTGGTCACAACGGTTTCTGGCGCTGTGGGTGTGATCTGCTTGTGAACTCGCGTTTGGAGACGCTTCCCGCTAAGCTTCAATGTTGGGCTCCATGTGCACCATGTACCTGTCTGCACGGGTTAGCTGGCGCCGCAGCTCTTGGATAGCCATATCGTGGTCCTTTTGACTGGCCACTAAATGGATCTTGGCGTTCGGCGCATTGCTTGCGCGGCAGAGCGAGCCTTGCCACGTCTTTGTCTTTACGCAGAGCAGACACATATGCGTGTACGCCTTACCCTTGTAGGTAGAAGGTGTCTCCAAGCGATGGACTAGCTCTCACGCCGGGTTGATCAAGTTTGCCGGCGGCTTGTGGATGATGTGGTCGATTCATACTGTTAACGGGCTCTGCGTTTTCTTCGACTTCACCTTGGGCGAGGTCGAACTCGGGCCTGTTGCAGAGATCATCGTTGGACTAGTGGTCCACAGGCCGACCGCACACACTGCACGGCGATTTTTCCCAATAACAGTCTATCCTAGCACAAACTCCAACATCAACGTGCTGGCAGACACTCACGCCTCGCTCTCCATGCCGAAACTACCAACGACCAGCTACATCTGCACCAATCCTGCCGTTGAGTGCATGGGTGAGGTACCAGTAACACCTCATCCAACGTGGCAACATGTGCATGGCGCAATGAAGTCAGCCTACGATGGGGGTTGGCTACGTGTTGCGGCCTTCGTCAACGCTGAGAAGGTTGGCATTTGAGCCGCTGGCACGCATGCACGCGTTCGTGCTCGACGCGACCTTCACTTCGTCAGTCTGGCATACCTGAGTATCGAGAAATGAGCGCGAGAGTGCGAAGCGCGGGGAGGGTCGGAGAACCACCCCTTTTTGCGCCTTTACGTGGTTTAAGTTCTGAAAGGTAGTAGCGATATTGGTGCTGCTATTATCGCTATTAGTGTTTTTTCTCACTACTAAGCGGCTCAGAGCCCAGTGCTATGCCGACATTGACCGGCGAATGGGTATTATACGCTGGAATAGAACTGTTCGTAGCAAAACGTTTTACATGGTTGAGATATACCCTTTCATGTACAAATTCTAGCCAATCAAAAAATGTTCAAGAATAACTGGTGCATTTTAATATGGAAGTCAAGTCTAAGGGGTTGCTTGCAGCACTGCTATACAAATAGTACTAATATTAGTACTACTATCACCACTATTCTGCATACTACTAACAAATCCTAGTCACAATCAATTCCGCATCCTGCCTAAGTAGAACGTCTGTCAATTCGAGCCTATGCAGTCGTCGTCGAGTTCCTGGCCTTCGCACCGCCGTATCCTACTCCTTCGGGCTCAGTATTCTCATGGATCTCCTACCCGGATTGCGTGATGAACAGCCTGGCGCGCCGAAGCGTGGGGGTCCTCCGAGTGCTCTTAGCACAAACTTCTACCGACTGAATGAGAAATGCAGCAAGGCAATGTGGTGGACTGTGTGCAAGTATTGCTACGCGGCGCACGTTAAGGACAAAGCGACGATCCCCTTTCCCACCCATATCCACGGCCGCAAGGAAGCATGGGAGAAGCACTTGTCTGGATGTGGGTACTATGTTGGCGCTACCGGCAACGTTTTCCAGAGTGTCGAGAGTGAAGGTGAACCTGGCGAGCATGGAAGGACTACGAAATCGCAATGCACCTCGCCGCCTAAATTTACGCTAGCTGAAAAACTAATATTTTGGCGGCTGCTGTTGGAGTTTCAAGCTGAAGCCTTGCTTCCTGATTCTTTTGTGGCATTGCTGTCATTTAGGCGGTTACTCGTGTTTTTGAACGCTCGGTGTGGAGTTCCAGGCGCCGTGCCACATCGCCATCTGATTGGTGGTCGCATCCTAGATGAATATGCAGATCTACATTCCGTCGAGCAGCGTGACAACGTGAGATCAGTCCAGAATCGAAGTGGAGGGAGGGTGAATTTTCTGTCGGACGTCTGGGAGACTATCGCTAAGATGCATGTACTGGGTTGCTTAGTCTCGCTATTTGGGCGAGTAATGACTTATGGTTTAAGGCCTGCTGGTGACCGTCACGACGGAATTGCAATTGCGCAGCAAATGGAAGGGGTACTCGAGGAGTTACTTGCGTCGGAATGGAGAGTTGGTGCAGTTGTGACGGACAATGCTGGTCAATGTGGCCGTGCACGGCGCATTTTGGCTCTTCGGTATCCAAACATTGCGTTCGTGCATTGTTTTGCTCACGATATCAATAACCTAGTCAAAGCCGTCCTTAAAACGGTATTTAGACAGGTTTCGGCGGATGCGGCAGGTGCTGCAAGCTTTTTGAACACTTCGACTTCTAAATGGCTAGTGCGAGCTGCTAAGGCGATGGACAAGCGGTATGGAGATCATTTTGCCGTTTTTACGCTGTGTGAAACTAGGTGGAACTCAATGCAGGCATGTTTTGCGTCCCTCCTACGTGCTCGAGGAGCTTTGGAGGATATGGTCTTCTCGTATCGGAACAGCAGCGAGTTAACGGACAAACTTCGTGTTCTTGGTGACGTTTGGATTTTAGGCAAAGCTGCAGAGCGCGGAGAAGATCGTTCGTCCGTTATGCGCTGCCTCGTGTCGTCTTCAAAGGGATGAAAACACGGTTGCAGATGTGGTTGTGTCTTTCATGGAGATTTACCGTGGCTTCGCTTCCACTGAGTTTAGCGACCCGTTAATTGAGCTGGTGGAAGCTCGCTGGAACGCGTGCGAGCAGCCTCTATTCATCTTAGGTTTTTTTCTTCATCCTAAGTTCGTGGTGCAAGCAAGAATGTTTCCTTCAACAGTGATCACCGATCTTGACGATGTGTGTCAATTTGCGCAGTATTACTACCGTCGGTTTGTGGGCAGTGACGATAGTGGGCTACGAGGTGACATGTTCAAACGGATCGAAGGAGCTTACTCGACCTCGTGCGAGAAAGACTTTGACGAAGAATCGGTGTTGACGTTTTGGGATTACGAGAAAAAATCTAAGCCGAACAGCAAGCTTCCGGCGCTTGCACTAACAGTCCTGTCCATTGTGGTGAACACGCAACATGTGAGCGTCTATTCAGCGAGCTTGCTCTCATTCTGACGCCAAAGCAGAACCGCATGGCAATCGAAAAGACAATGAAGCATCAGATAATGCGTCAATACGTTCGAGAAAAGAATCGCCGATAAAAAGTGCCGTCGGTGAGCTCGAAGAAGCTCCTGATAACGATAGACTCACGAGAACGACCGATCATTGCCACGCCGCAAAATTCAGCCCACACTATCCCAGCTCGTGCTACTCCAGCTCGCGCTACTCCAGCTCGCGCTACTTCCGCACGCACTACTCCAGCTCGCGCTACTCCAACTTCTGTTGCTCCTGCTCGTGCTAGTCCAGCTAACCCAGTAACGTCACAAGCTCGAACCTCTGGTTGCGGGTGTTGCAATGACTGTTCGTCTCCGAACCGAACTGGCCAACGTCACCTTGACAACCTCCTCCCGCACCCAGTCACCACAGACGCCTGTTAGCAGTGGCGCATGGGTGAACTTCTATATCGTTTCACTTCAAGGATCAAAGCTCTGGATGAGGTCGTCTTCGTGGGTACAGACGCCAGAGTATGCACAAGTAGGCTAGTACTCGCGAATGCCGCGCTAACAATCAATCTCAGTTCTCAATTTGCAGCACAGAACTCAAGTAGCTTGGCACATTGAAAATTTTCAATTAAACCCGACCTGGTTCACCCGTCGGCCAACTACAACATCGTGAGCCGCTCCAAGGACGACGACAAGGAGCGCTACCTGACCTACTCGATCGTCGTGCGGCAGGCGGACGAGGAGAAGGGCATCAAGGAAGAAGTCGTGACGAAGAAGATGGCGAAGTTCATCGATGGCGGCCCCAAGGAGTTTTTAGAGTGGACGTACCACTTTTTTCCAGCTCGCCAAGCTGAAGGAGTGGGGCCCCGAGGACAAGTTCCGCAACACCAAGATCCTGCTCCAGGGTGATCTGCTGGACGCGTTCAACCCCTACGAAGCAAGTGCAAGCGACGGCGACGTGCGCATGGGGGACGACGACTTCACCAAGGCACTGTATCAAGCCTCAATCGTGGTGATGCCGGTTGACTACGGCGAGAAAATCCAAGAAGACCTGTGAGAAATCCGCAAAGTCCGCAGCGAGACGCTCGCGGAACTCAGCAAGCGCTTCCGGACCTTGGTTCGGATGGAGCAAGTGATGGCAATGCTAACGGGGCAGACAGCTATGCCGGAGGACGCGCTTTGTCGCCTCTACAAACGTGGCCTTCCGAATAAGTGGCAGTCGAGTACGACACCAGCGGCCAAGTGTACACCACTGTCTCATCACTTGTCCCGTATTTTGAGCGCATCGAGCAAGGCGAGCTGCGCCAGCACGGAAGAAACAACGGGAACGAGAACAAGAAGCATTTCCGGCCAGACAATAATCGTGGACAAGGACGGCGCAGTGGCCGTGGCTACCATGGCAACAACAGTAATCGGCAGCAGCAGCGCCGTGAAGGCAACCGTGGACGCGGGGACAGCAGCAGTCGCAACGACAGCCAGAACAAGTGGTGCTCATTTCACCGTACAACAACGCACAATACGCAGGAGCGCCGCTCGCTGCACAACCAGCAGCAGCAAGAAGAACACCATCAGGCCGATGCTCAACGAGGCTTCAGTAGCACTCGTGGCCGTGGCGGTCGCAATGGAGGTGGCCGCCGAAACGAGTTCACCCGCGTCGAGCAGCGCAATCAGAGCTCAAGTGATGACGAATATCTGTTTGTGGGGCTCAATACTGCAGAAGAGAAGTCGACTCCACCCATGCGAGCGATGATAAAACTTGAGCACGGGCGCGAAAAATATTTGGCCTTGTTGGATAGTGGCTGCTCTCGAAGTGTCATCAACGAGAGATTCCTGCAAGTCGCAAGAAACCAGAATAATGCGATGGAGAACTCTACCGTGTCCTTTCATTTGGTGAACGGAAGTGCCTCGAGAGACGGATCCCTCGAGATTCGATTCCGCATTCCGAAACTCAAGCGCGAGTCGGTGATCATTCACCGCTTTGAAGTGCTTCTGTGCGAGATGACATGGTGATTGGTTGTGATCTGATGGCTGCTCTCAGGATTGTGCTGGACTTCAAGAACGGGCGTGTGCTTTGGGATGGCAGCGAGAGGAATATACAGACAGGAGCAACTCGACCTGGACTCGTAGAGGTACCTGAGCCGGACCAAGTGCTCGAAAACGACGACGAAATGCTGGTAGGAGAAGCAACGGCGCTCACACCAGTCGATCTCATGCCGCAGCACATTGATCAGGCCCTGTAGCACTGCTATCTTAAGCTTCTCGAAGAATACTACGACAGATACAGCGGACGGCTCGGCCGCATTCGCCTTCCCGACTACATCTTGCCTCTGAGTGCAGATTATCAGCCTTTCTACACGAAGCCCTACACGACTCCTCGCAGTCAAAAACACGCAGCACGCGACGAAATTCAGCGTCTGCTCCAGTTGGATGTGATCGAGCAGATATACGATTCGGAATCGGCTGCACCAGCATTTTTTCTTGTGAAACCCGATGGATCGCTACGACTCCTGGTTGATTTCCGCTGGCTGAATCGCTATCTGCGTCGCTCACCGTATTTCGTGCCCAAAATCCGGAAAGCCGTGCAGCGACTGCATTCTGCTTGCCGTTCGGTAAGTTCCAATTCAAACGGCTCCCGATGGGAATATCTACTGCTCCCGACGAATACCAGGCATGCATGGAGCGCATTGTTGGAGATTTACCTTCCGTGATTGTTTACCTGGATGACGTGCTAGTGTTCTCGGAGGATGAAGAGGACCATCTCGAGCATCTTCCCATTGTGTTTGAGCGTTTCCACCAGTTCGACATCACGCTCAACGCGAAGAAGTGCCATAACCTTCGTGAAGAAGTCGATTACTTAGGGTTCACGCTGACTCGGGACGGAATCCAGCCCCAAAAGAAGAAGATTGAAGCCATCCAGCACATTGCAGAGCCCCGTATGAAAAAGAGCTCCGCCGCTTTTTAGGAATGATTTCCTACTACCGCGAAATGGTACCAAACAAGTCGGCGCTGACGGCCCAGCTCAACAAACTCACCTCGAAGAACGCGCCATTCACCTGGACCCCAGAACACGCAGCAGCGTTCCAAGAGATCAAGAATGCTCTAGCTCGGAATGTGTGGCTTGCGTTCCCCGACTACAACAGAACCTTTCACGTGTTTGCTGATGCAAGTGGCAGACAAATAGGTGGGGTCATCATTCAGGGCAAGAGGATTCTCGCTTGCTTCTCGCGATCAATGACAGAGACCCAGCAAAAATATTCTACAATGGAGTGGGAACTTTTGTCGATCGTCGAGCTGCTGAAGGAGTACCGCACGATGCTACTCGGATTTCCTGTTGTAATTCACACGGACCACAAGAATCTTCTCTTTCCGCAAGAAAACTCCCTCCGAGTCAAGCGCTGGAAACTCCTGCTGGAAGAGTATCGCCTCACTGTTAAGTACGTCCCTGGAGTGCTGAACGTGGGCGCAGATGCATTCTCTCGACTCCACTACGACTACGTGAAACAGACGACAGAGGAGGAGCTCCTGCGCATCGAGGAAGAAGAAATAGCCATCGACGGTGCGGTGATCAAGCGTCATCAGGCGGAAGACCCCACGACAAAGGAGATTCTAAACCGGTTGGAGTGCCGTGGAGCTGATCCTGATTATTCTCTCCGCCCACCTTTAGGCAACGTATCGCTGCACTACAAAAAGCGTGTTGTCATCCCGTCGTCTCTCCGCCATAGCCTCATCGAGCTATATCATGACTACCTTCTTCACCCGGGTGCGGAAAAGCAATTTCGCAGCATGGCTACATTTTGGTGGCCCGAGATGGAGAAGGAGACCCTGGACTACGTCAAGGCCTGCGTGGATTGCAAACGAGCAAAACTACATGGAGGCAAGCAGAAATACGGCCGCATTCCACCTACACCAGCGGCCAACAACGACAAGCCTTTTGACGTCGTGCATGTTGATCTTGTCGGTCCCTTTGACGGTGATTACTACTGCGTGACTATGATCGAGAGGCAGTTCCGCTGGCTGGAGCTGCTAATGCAGAAGGGCAAGACGTCGAAGACCACTGCGCTAAGCTTCGAGAGAGCGTGGCTGTGTCGCTACCCGCGCCCAAGATTCGTTATCCATGACCTTGGCTCTGAATTCACTGGAGACGAGTTCCAGTTACTGCTGAGTACCATGGCTATCAAGGACAAGCCAATTACATCGAAGAATCCCCAGGCCAACGCGATCTGTGAGCGCGTTCATCTCGAGATCATGAATATCTTGCGAGCCCGACCGGATTTGCACGGCCAACTCGAAGTCGCTCTTGATTATGCAGCGTACGCAATTCGGACTAGCTACCATTCGATTCTCCGGGCTTCGCCGGCTCAGCTACTCTTCGGTGAGGACATGATCACGAGGCAATTGCATTTTGCCAATTGGAGCTTTTTGTCAAAGCAAAGGTTTGCAGCTATCCTGCAGGACAACGAGCGCGTGAACATGAAGCGGCTCGAGTATTTCTACTGCGTGGGAGATCACGTCATGCTTCGTATTCCAGCGCGCGAGCGCAAGAAGACGGACCCGGTTGCAAAAGGACCATTCATCGTGAAGGAAGTGTTCAACAATGGCACTGTCCTACTGGACACCGGAACGACGGAGTATCGAGCGAACATCCGCCGCATTTTCCCGTATTGATTGCCATCTCGGCATGGAGGAGAATGACAAGATCCTTCCGCACCCAGTCGGCACAGGCGCCTGTCAGCAGTGGCGCATGGGTGAACTTCTATATCGTTTCACTTCAAGGATCAAAGCTCTGGATGAGGTCGTCTTCGTGGGTACAGACGCCAGAGTATGCACAAGTAGGCTAGCACTCGCGAATGCCGCGCTAACAATCAATCTCAGTTCTCAATTTGCAGCACAGAACTCAAGTAGCTTGGCAACCTACCGTCGACGCCGTCGGCGCGGGTCCTGTTCTCCGATCAACAAGAGCTTGCGGCTCATGCAACGAGCGGCGTCGATCCTAGGGATTTGGACACGTCGTCGCGTCCATGGGATTCACCGCCCACTGGTTCGCGTACAACTGAAAATCCCCGCCTGCCACCTTCCGCTGATAATGCTGTTGATAGCCTTACTGCTGAACTCGACACGGTTGTTCTTAGTGACAGACAGCTAGATGAGTATCTGGAGCACTTTGACAGGGAGGAAATAGGCGAGTACGGAGACGAAGCGACAGTTGGGCTGTGGAGTAACATTTTAGAGACACCTAGAAGTGCCTCAACTTCCAGCAACACTGCAGAAGGCGGTGATGCAAGTGCTGAAGCTGGTACAAGCGCCGATGCGGTCGGTAATACAAGTGCTGATGCCGGTACAAGTGCCGATGCGGGCGCTAACGACTGCGATCTGGATCAAAACGGCGGAAACCCAGGTGATGGTGGCCCCACGGACAGTACGAACAGCAACGCTGGAAATCACTCGCAATTTACAATGACAAGGCTTGAATCAAGTGCAGACCTTATTGCAGCGGCGGACCGACGGCCTTACCCTCCATGCCTCTAATGACACGCAGCGATCGGCTCCAATCGTAAGTTGTAGTTCGCAGCTTACTTTGCAGACATGATTTACTAGTAGAAGCAATGATTCCATTCTGCATGTCAAGTTGCTCTACAGCATAAGTATAATACAAGTACTCAATGCATAACTTGTTGACAGTTAAATGAACGAGCCATGCATACGACGCAAGCAGATCCAGGTCGTGCGCATTCATGAACTAGTTTGAGAGCTTTGTGATGTTGGCTTGGTCTCGCCGCTGCCTTGTTAGTGTGCTCCACCTTCTACTTCTTGCTCATTTGCGGGTAGACGAAGAGATCGGGCTGGACGCGCTAGGGCTTACCTTCCATGCATTTCAGGTGGAGAGCGAGTCGGCGTGCGCCATTCGTGCGTCTCTGTGCGCCTGCTCTTGCTGTGCCTGTATCTCGTTTCAATTAGCGCAATCTTGGACACCTTGGTCGATCGCCTCTCGCACAGTAGCTGCTTGCTCGAGTAGATGAAGACCTCGAAAACGGCCAGCAACGCCACTCACCTGGATGTCGTGTAGCCGGACGCGCTACAATGGGCTAAGTGCAGCAGTATCATGCCAGCACCGGCAGCATAGCAGTCAGGATAGCAGCAGGGTGCGTGCGCCGAACCGGTCGATGGGAAGGTCAATGGCTGATGAACGGCGCGTGCATCACGAACAGGTGCGAGATGCTGCTCACCACGCCAGCCTTGCCGATCGAGTAGTCCAACGTAGCTGGGCCTCACGTTCTGGAACAGGTAGCTGGGTCTCACGGTCTGGAGCAGGTGAAAGCAATTGATGAAGTGGACATGCAGCAGCCTGACTTACCCAGAACATGCGGGAGATGCTCTTCACGTTCTCGCCCGAAATCTTCCTGGCATGCGGGTGAGGCTTGTGCCAGCGGTGCTTCTGGCGCTTGTTGTCGGCGTAGTCCTTGAGTCAGCGCCGGCTCGGGTCCAGCGCTTCCTCGCTGATCACGTGGCCCTTGACGATGCGCTTCAGGTTCAGTGTGTAGTGGCACACCAGCATGCCCACGAACGCCGACAGCTCGCCGTACCACAGCGCCTGCACGTACCCGCCGAAGTACAGCACGATGGGGGCCACTGTCGCCTTGGCCAGCATCTTGGACACGTTCGTGATGGCCACGCTCACGCCCATGGCGAACGCCAGCTCCTTGTTACGGAACCACGACGCGATAAACGCGCGCGCGCACACCACCACACTGCCCTCGCCCACGCCGAAGAACACGCGCCCGAACAGCGCCAGCCAGTTCTTATTAAGCTGCATGCCCAGCGCGAAGATGGCCTGCCCCACGCAGATCCACACCAGGAAGAAACAGAAGCTGCGGTGGCCGCTCTTGTCCATGAGGCGCCCGCCCAGCAGCGGCAGGAACATGCTGGGCACCGACACGACAGCAGCGCGTCGTACATAGTGTTGGAGATGTAGCGCCTGTGTGCACCGTCGTTTGGCTTGTAGAGCCTGAGTGCTGCGCCGCCGTACCTGATATACCCAGCCTAATTCCACGTTTTTAGTAGGTGTTTTACATTTTTACATGGGTTTCCACTTAATTTAAGTAAAAACGTACGTAAAAAGTCAACACTGGTCGGCACTGCATCGGATCAGACGAGGCCGAATAGCGTGGTAGCCTCAAGGACGATGGGCCGACGCCGTCCTGCAACCGATGACACAAGCGACAATTCCGACCCAGATGTCAATTCGGAGTCGTTGACTATCGACTCAGATGATGAAGATGTCGATGAGATTCGTCAAATGCACAGGCTCCTCGCAAAGCAGCCTCGCGTTGACGCTCGCACCAACTCCCCAGCTCTGACTCTTCTGAAGTGTCCAGTTCCTCCGACGTCTCCAGCTCTTCCGACGACGACGGTACCAACCGCCCCAGTGGCAGCAGAGTACGCGGTGTAGTGTTTCATCCGGCCCCGACAGAGCGCCAGGTCCACGCAAGCATTGTTCAGCAACGACACACAGGCAGGCATGCCGAAAATACGATATATATCGTTTGTTTGCCGGACACCATAATAAAAATTGCATTGCATCCGAGTAGCAGACTGAATAAATAACGCGAGACATAGTGTTGACACAGTAAATTACTGCAATCATGTTACGACTGTACCTACTTACAGGCACTGCTCCACGGTCGCAACATCCCAGTACGAGCTGCTGATCTTGAGGAACAAGATCATCTTGAGGAACAAGATCATCTCTAGCATCATGGGGGAGAGGCGGTGGCGCTCATGGCGCAGCATAGCGCGCGCAATGCTGAAGAGCCTCTCAACCATGTTTGAGGTAGGAGGAATCGCATTACGCATCTCGTACGTGGTCGGCGGAGCAGCTACCTTGCGTCGCTTGAGCGCACACACAGCGAACCCCTCCTTGTCCGCCGGCGTGCAGTCCACGCCTTCCACATGAGCCTGCGTGCGCTTGAACGGCTCCAGCGCAGCGACTTCGTCGTCCGTCAGCAGGGCCGCCTGGTCGTCCAGCACCTTGACGACCGCCTGCTCGAAGACGGCGGAGTGGACTATATCCGCGTCGGTGGCTATGCATAAATAAAAACATATAAAACGCAGTAGTTAAGTAGAAATACCATCAGACGCAGAGTGAGCGATGATCCTTACCGAGATACTTCGCGAACGAGGGGTGGCTCTTGAGGAGCTCGTCGAATAGGACACGAGCGTCCAGCAGCGTAAGGCCGTCGCCCTGCAGGTGCTTGGACACGGACTCGACGTCCCGGGGGCTTGCCAGCAAAGTCTCCAGCTTGCGGTGGGCTGAGCGTGACGGAAGGAAGTCCGCGAGCTCCTCGTCGTCCGCCGAAATGAACGGACGGAGCCGAAAATAGCGCTTGAGCATTGAAAAGGTCGACGACCAGCGCGTGTCCTGTGTGAGGACAGCGGCCAATGACTAATTTCGAACAAAACCCAAAAACAAAGACCAATTTAGTACCGATACAAAAACCAAATAAAACAGCAAACAGAGTACTTACCGCAACTTGGCTGCTTGCTTTAAAGTCCGCAACTTACGCATAAGCTGCTGGGCCTCTTCGAGGATGCTGTCGTGGGGCTCCAAGTAGTCTCGCACCGCCAAGTTCAGGCGGTGGCTGGCACAGCCGATTAGCGGCACACCGAGTAGGTTCGCTAGCCGCTTGTTTACTCCGCAGTTGTCACCAACCAGGAATAGACATCCGGAGATAGACTTACCAAAAAAGGGTAGGAACCTTTTAATTGCCGTCAGATGGCCGTCAGCGCTCAGCTGGTCGTTCGGCTCATCCATGATGGACGCTAACGACAGCAGCGGGTACTGGGAGCCTGTCGCCGTCTCAACGCAGCCATACACTGCCATATAGTGCTCCGTGCCGTGGGTCCACCCATCAAGGACCAGACTAAAACGTTCGGGCATGGCGTCGCCGATCATCGTCTCCACGGCCTTGGTCACGGCCTCCATGATGGCGGTCAGCGTCTCCACGGAGATGGGATTTAGCTTCGTGTATCTACATAACATACGGCATTAGCACACATGTAAATCACCAAAATAGATATGAAAATACGTACTGTCGCGTTTCCTTGGACTCGCAAAACGACAGCGGTAGATTGCCCGTGACGACCCAGCGCAGCCACGCGTAGCGGTTCGAGACCTTCTGGGTGACCCACGGCAGTAAGGCCCCCGTCGCAGCGACACTAGCGTCGCGCATGTCGCTCTCGTAGTTGGGGTGCGCCGCCCGCACGTGCGACACCAAGTTGCTGTAGCCTGACTTAGGCGCGTGCTTGCGGCGCTTAGCGCAGGTCTTGCAGGCATAGTAGCCCGTCGTCTCTCCCTCCTCGTCCAGGCAGGGCTTGAAGTAGAAGGCAGCAATCTGCCTGGGCGAGAAGGTAGGCCTCGGAGCGGGGCCAGCGAGGAGATTGTCGGTCATGGTGCGAACGTCGAGTCGTGATGCGCGTGCTGGGTGGTGCTTGTTTGAAAGTGGGGGCGAACGGCAAAGTTACGCTGGTAGAGCGCGATGTTTGACCACAACTAATGGTTGGAGCAGGATGAGCAGAAGTAAAATACCGAATTTTAGAACTCGGCTACATAAATTTCGGATAAAACAAACGGCGATGCCCTAAATAAAGTATTGTATCCGAAAATACTGTTATATTTTCGGGCATTATTATTTTTCGGGATGCCTGAGACGCTGCTCCAGTCCGCTCAGCAATCACAACATCTCGACTTTATTGGTACCCCTCCGGTGCTTCGTGGAGCTTATCACTTTGGATTTGGCCTTGGTCTCTCCATCATGCATTTTCGCCGCGCGATCACTTCGAATGAATTTGCGACGACGGAATCGGCTGTGTACATGTCAGATTTCTCCTCGAAGAACGCGCTGCCAGCTCCGCCCAAAGCTGCCGGGCTCGGTGATCTCGTCAGCGCTCTGTCATCATTCTACAAGTTTGCCAAGTACTTCTACAACAAGGATACTAAGCGATTTATTGGTGCTGCGCGTGACTTCATCATCGCTAACGCTGACAAGGCCCCATCTGACGCCGCGACGGCTCGCCTCCTGACGCACTGGGTGAATATCAAATTCGGCAAGTTCCGCAGCCGTCTTGTATCGAAAGGGCTGAAGTCAGCTCTTCGCGTTCGCAAGCAGTTCCGCCGCAATGACGACCAATTGGTGGCCCTCAAGGAATCTTACCCGGTCTGGACAGTCACGGGTGAATCGGCTGGCCGTATCAAAACGACGTACGAAGGCAGCGGAAACACGCCTCGGCAGTTCGACCGCCGCCAGACCACGAAAACCCGTATCCCGAACAATGTGCTTACCTCGCTCCCAAAACGTGAGGACGGTCGTCGCCTGTGTCTTCGATTTGTGTCCAAAGCAGGCTCCAATCTCCCGGACTGCCCCCGACCCCATTTCAAACCCCAAGCGCTGTCTGACGAGGCTAAGGCCGTAGTGAATCAACGCTGGAACGGCCTCTTGACAGAGTGCAAGGATTTATGAAGCCAGGAGCTGCAGTCGGATAGAGTTGGTACCAATAGCAACCTCACGAATACACGCACGAACAACATGCCCAACTACGACACGACCGATTCATGGGTACACTGCAACAGATACACACTGCCAATGTCGCCGTCGTGTCGTCTCACTGGCAAGTCGCAGCTCATCAATACGGTATGCTACCGCCGCCAAACCAAGACGCACAAGTGGGTGACATCGATATTGAGCACGTGCAGTTCTGGTCGAAGCTAGCAGTACGAGGGGGCCTCGCCCTGGAGGAGATCGTTAAAATATATCGGGGTCAAACACCAGAGGACACCCGGCCGAACAAGAACCTGTACGAGATTCAGCCTCTCCAGTATCCCGATATTGCGCCCACCGTCACTCTATGGAACCAGATCGTTCGAGACGGCGTGAAGCCCCAATGGCTGTCAGCCAAGCCGCGCCGTCAAGTAAATCGGCCTATCAACCATCGCAGCATCAATGGGGATGACGCTCACATCTGCCGTCACCTCCAAAAAGGTCAACTCGAAGGCCGGTATTTGATTGTGGATGCACAACTCCTCGATCAATGGCCCGAACTAGTTATCAGCCTGCTTGCCGTTGTAGACAAGCCAGGCGTCGTTGCGGGAGACATTCGTCTCATCAACGACTACTCTTATCCGCCCGATGCATCGGTGAACGATTACACAGATCGAAGTGAACATCCTTCGATTTCGTACAATCCACCGAGAGGCATCGCACGGCGAATCCATCGACTGAAAAAGTCAAATCCCACTGCTATCGTCCTTCTCGTGCTAGGAGATGTGGCCGGTGCATTCCGCCACATTCCAATTCACGCAGACGCGGTGACATGTTCTGCTTCCGCTACGAGAACTTCCTCGTCATCGACCTATCCTGTGGTTTCGGCTGGTGCGGATCTCCAGCTTTCTATGCGGTCGCCGGCAAACTGATCAACCACATCTACGAGTTCGGCAACCATCTCACGCGTCAATTCAGAGGCAACGTTTGGTTTGATGACCACACGTGCGTCGAAGTCGACGCGGGTACACGCTGCTTCGATGCTAATCTGTCACTTCGACGTGCTATGGCTACGGTGTTGGGTTCCTCCGCGATAAACGAGCAAACGTTCACAGCATGGTCCACCAAGAACAAAGCACTCGGTTTGCTGTGGGATACAGAAGCCGGATGCGTCTCAATCCCGGCTGATAAGATAAGCAAGGCACTTGGCCGAGCCAGTCGATTGATTTCAGCAACCTCTGCAACAAAGTCTGAACTGCTTAAAGTCATCGGAAGCCTGCGGCACGTTGCTTCCTGTTCGCGTCCGGCACGTGCATTTTTCCAGCGTCTAGAAACAACTGCACATTCAAGTCGTCAATTCGGGCCCCAACCAATACCGCCCGACGCCCTCGAGGATCTACGTTGGTTTAGCTCGGTGCTCAACAGCCCGACTGCTTCAATTCGATCCCTGTGACTCAATTTGCTGATCTCGCGAAATCCGACATTGACTTGTGTCCAGATCCCGTAACCGGGTCGTGACACGCATAACGAACGTCGCCGGATTGGCTAATATTCTCATCACTACAGAGCAGTACTCACTCTGCGGGGGTATCCGGCAGCAGGGTGGCTAAGCCACCAAATACGCCACACACTTAGCGCATCTAGCTGTGGAAAAGCAAAATCCTGCGGCATCCGATGAAAGCGCCCATCTGATTGCCAGTGATAAGCGATGCTGGTTGAACTTGATTGGGCTGCCTCTTGCTGAATGCGCTGCTGCGCCTGCCGCCGAAGAATTCTTCTGCGAGGACGGCAGTCTTAACCTCGGCGTGTTCCTACCTACGCACTTCGAAGCGTTCCAGCTGTGCCTTGCTTCCCTGGTGACGCACGCCGATTTTCTTCGCCAAGGTCTGCTACCGAAGCATGCTTTGCTTTCTTCCTACATCTTTCGCGATTCCAATGTCATGGCACGACTCTCCAGCATGCTGATCACCGGTTGCAGTACGTGGATGCGCCCTACTGGTATACCCCCACACGTCGAGCTTTTTGAGCAGCACATGAAGACGCGACAGGCGCTGAACCATCTACCGGATCTACTGCTGGACGGATTTGCTAAGCTACTGGACGAGAAATGCGTGAGTCAGCAAAGTGTAACGCGAGAAAACCTCAGCTCGACGATCCGTGTACTGCTAGAGGAGGCTGGACTATGTCCTGGCGAGTGGCGCGAACCCAGGTAGATATGCCCTTTAAATAGCTTCGGTACGTCTTTTTCGTGTTGACGGCAGTGCAGGCACTTCGAACTTGGTCTCCATCGAGGCGACCACGGGACGGAGTCTGTAATACAGGTCCAGCAGTAGCAGGGAGGCACAGGTTGCTTGTCATCGTCAGCTGCTTGTTGTGGGTTGAGGGAGTCAAATTGTGAGGGCCAGTGAAGGAGGAGGCCAACGACAGACGCATTTTAAACCAATCAGAGTGGGTAAATAGGTGTAACGAGCACGCGATACGCATTCGTGTTCAAATCTCTTGACGGAGGCTACAGCCATTGCTGGCTGGACATTGGAGAGATCAAAATTTGTTGATTGAAAACGTAAGATGTCCAGGTTACGGGGGCTTTAATTTGTCTATACTGGCGATACTATAATTGGAGATTGGATATTGATTGTCGGCGGGGCAGTCATCACAATCAATATTGCACCAATATCAATATTTGCCCCAATATATTGCCATACTTGCCTTTAGTATGGCGATATATTGTACTGTACTAGAGTATATGAGTACATGCTAACATCATGAATCGTCATGGCAGGGTTTCCTAAAAATATATGGCAATATCAATAATTGCCATAATTTACCTTACAATAATGTATTTTATGGACTCGTGTCACTCCATGCCATTATTTATTTCAGGGCTTTCACAGAATAATGGTTCTATTTATCCAATGTCGTGTATTTTGGCTAATCGGATGGTGCGTAGTTACCATTATTTAATTTTGACTTGTCTTTTAAAGGACCATAATTTATTTCGCTCATTGGCTTCCATATTATGGCAATAGTATTTTAGGAAACCCTACTTATCCCCAATGGTTAGCGAGTCTTTACCCCTAACTGTACGTGTCCGAACATGATTGACCGTCTTCCTAGTGTCTAAAGCGAAAGTGACCAGACAGAAGCATCGACGAGCAATGTTGGAGACTCGGTTGGGGTACCTCTCCCTCTTTCATGACGTCTGTTGCCAAGGACACAAGCCAAGGTATTATCACCGACGTGGGTACCGCAGTAACGCTGCAGCTCTGAGGTCTAAGTGTCTCCCCTTACGCATACGAAGTCTTTTCGCACGTAGTCGCAGTATCTGCTCAAATTTATTACGTATACACGTTGGTGCCATTACGTGGCTGTAAAGAAAACAGAAGTGCAGCCCTGCGGACCTCAAGGCTACTCTCATGGAGAAAACCATAGCTCGATAAGAGAGCAAGTCTACGTATACTTAATTCGGTTGTTCAGCGCCATCGACCCCTCGACGCGAAACGTGAAAAAAACTGGGACTCGATTAAGAATTGACGATGGATTGGGGTCTTATGACCAGCGAAGTGCTATTAAGGCTGTCAGAAGTATTCAATAGGCAACAGCCACGGAAAAAGGAGAGGAAAACTAGCTTATGGTGCTCTTTAATTCGTAAGAGAAGGTAGGGGTAGTTTTTCTTCCTAAACAATATTGACAATAAATAGTGGATATTGATGACATCGCTACAATACAATATTGATGCCCAACAATATTACAATTTTACAATATCAATAATTTTCCGATCCCTGGGTCCCATCTGCGTTGCGCTGTAGCTCCACCCTGAAGTGACTCCCCTCCCCGACCACCACGCACGCAAGATTTACCTTTCGGTTCCTCCTTCCCCGAGTCATGCTCTTTTGAGCCACGAGTCGTGCGCCCTAAGCAGTCGATTGCGGAATGAGCAGAAGGAAAAAAAAAGAATTGAAGTACCCGCGATAATGCGTCATTACCTTGGTAGTTGTTGAAACAGTGGATTTGATGACACAAAAAGATGGTACGGCTAAGTAAACCAAGGAGCTTACCCAGCGATGGTCCCTTGTGTCTATGCTTCTAGCTAGGTAACTAGCTGAAGAAATAGTTTCGCAACACTTTCGACGCAAACACTTTAGCAGACAAGGATTGTATTTTTACTCGCAGCTCGAAGAACTATCGTTTGAGGGGGATACCACCGGGCGGCATTCACAGCTACTCCGCCAGCGGATGACATTGAATGGCATTCACACTACATCACTGCGTTGGGGGATTCACAGATTCTCAACGCTAGGGTGGAGACGTGGATAATGCATCGAAGCAACACACCTATCAAATTCCAACAAAACATACTACAGCAAACAGCAGTTGAGCTTACAGTTGGGCTGATTCTGTAGACAGTTTGTGTCATGGGTAATTCGTGTTGATGGATAGAAAAGGAAAGCATTATGCTAGTTGTATTTTTCATTCAGGTGTGGTATGTTTTATTGATGCAGTTCGCACGCTGCGGGCTGTTATCCCACTCGTCACATGAGCAAACCCCTGGCGTTTGCGTGTATGTGTGCGTATGTGTATGTACGGCTACATCCTAGCAGTCAATTGTAAATTGAACTACGCCCTGATCCCTGAACACAGCCCCCTCTGGAGAAGGAGTGCTGGTGCTGTCGTACTCATTAAGTATGAGACCAAGTTGCTAACCAGCATGCACAAGGCTGCTCATACGAATAAAAGGCTAGCTGACAATCAAAACGTAGTTGTGAGGTTTATGATTTTGAATTTGTTGCGGTTTAGACGTCTAACTACACCCGACACTTCGCTGGATTTTGGTACATATACATACTATTTAGACGACTCGGCGGTGGCGCTGCGTTTCCAGTCATCGAGTGGATGGCAAGCGTATCGTATGCTTCTGCATCCACCACGAACAATGCTGCGGAATACCGAGGGCTATTGAATGGGCTTCGCCAGGCTGCACGTTACCGGCACCGTGGCCTGCACGTCGTCGGCGACAGCAAGCTGATCATCACGCACCTCTCAAGAAGACGACCGCCGAAGGCCCCGCACCTCCGCGACATCTACGAGCAATGTCGTGCTCTTGCTGACCAACTCCAGATCACGTCATGGACACATCATCTGCGCCAGTTCAATAAGATGGCTGATGCACTGGCTAATATCGCCATGGACACCAGAACCAGTACGCAGATTCTCGAGGCAGACCTTGGGGTACTGCCTTCTCTCTGGTTACCCATTGTGGAGTTGCTTCCAGGGGACATCGATCAATGGTTAACCACACACCCGGCCCCAAGCGACGACGCAGACGCCACGGACCGATCAAACTTGCAGGCGCGCATGATAAGCGCGCCTGTGCTAGCACCCACAAGTAGTTAGCAAGCTGGCAGAAGATGTGTAGGCTTCTGCTGGACGGACATTGGCTGAGTTGTTAGCAAGACTAAACGACTGTAATGTACCTCACCAAAAAAACTAAAAAACATACTAACGTTATTTACGTACTTTACTGTTAGCTACTTAGCACGAATCTCTGCTGGAGCAACATTAGCAATGTTATCCGAATGGTGACTCAGGGGCTTTCCTCCATCATTCTGCTCTGCACTGCAATCTTCTCACCCCAACAGAGAAGGCGAAATGCCCGCGCTCGTTTGCCACCTGGTCGGTGTAGAGGGAGCACCTCTCCAAGTGACGGTGTCGCTCAAGCGGTGGGGAGCTGACGTGCTCAAGGCGCTGAGGAAGGCTAACCCAGACATCAACTGCCCGGTGCGGCTAATGCAGCTCTTCCCCGCCATCAACGACGGACGCTGGCTGCCAGACGACGACGACATCGCGCTGCAACTGAGATGCGGAGAGTGCACTGACGAAGTCAACGAGCTGTTGAGTCGCGAGGATCGGGAACTGGATTCGACGCAGACCATCAAGAAGTGGCTTGGGTCATTGGGGATGACCGGGGAGCGGGCCCCGGCGGAGAAAGCCCAAATCCACTTGTTGGTCACGATGCCGCGCTATCAGATTTTCGACCGGCAAGTAGTTGCAGTTGACTATGGCGCTCGTTGGCGCGAGGGCTCGTCGATGGCTCCCAGCAGTGAATTCAAGGCCAGTCTCACGAGGACGTACAGCTGCGATGTGGGGGGCGGGAAGCTGCGTTGCATGCTGCTCAACGGCGCGTTCCCGTCGGAGTTGGTTGTCGCCTTCCACTTGTTCCACCGAAGCAAGCCGGACGTTCTCCACAAGTTCATGGGTTTCGACGACGTTGACGACGTGGGGAACGGTCTTTTGTTGTTCAGGCCGCTGATGTACGTGTTCGATGAGAACAGAGTCAGCTTCATCTACGACGAGGACAGCGACCAGTTCCGGCTGAAAGTCTTTGACAAGTCGTTGCTGGGAGAACGATTGTTTGACAAGCTGAGCTCCAAGCAGAGGGAGGCTCTGCTGGGTGGCAACAAGTTGCCGCAGAACTGGGAGGATGGGGATGATTGGATGGTGCCGGGAACGGGGTTCAATATTCAGACAACGTTTAAAGATGTGGACGGTCGAGCACTTTCCTTCGGAGCCACTTTACAGCGTCCGTACAAGCGCTGCTTGTGCTTGCAAGCCGCTGTAGCGCGAAAGATCGCCGTGAAAATGGAGTGGATCCAGCCCGAGGAGGGCACATTTGAGGACTTCCGACAGGAGGGAATGTCCTTGACTGAAAAGATGCGTGTCTTTCATGCAAGTCAACGCTAAAGCACACCCCAGGCCTGGTGGGAGGGAATGCGCAGAGCTACAGCCGACGTAACTATTTTTTATTCAATGCATTTATTCTTTATCACTTGAGTGCGCATCTGTATGTACTGTATGTTCATTGAGTCGTAGTCAAGTCTGGATTGCGTGTTTTGGTGAAAACACCGGGTGGAATATTGAATCATCTCGCCTAAAAGCAGAGGGGCTGGCTGCGGTTTCCGCCACCTTCTTGAAACTGCCTCAAGATGGATGCTAGCATGGCTGCTAGCATTTCACCTGTACATTTCCCGACAGTTGTAGCGGAAGTATACTTTTTTAGTTAATTGTTTTGTTTTATCACCGGTTGCACTCAGGGACCAACCCCGCTAACCACCTGTGTACGTTGACTCACTCACCTGCAACCACTTTTTTTCTCATGCAGTTCAGGTCACGAATTGGCTTTCTCGATATGGTTGGATCTGTGTCGATCAGATGCACTCGAACCACGGTTGGCTCCAGCGCACCCGGGTAGCTGTCGGCACTGCAGAAGTTTGCCGGGCCGGACCCACTGCATGAGTCCCATACGTCGTTGTAGTACACCAGATAGGTGTTTATTGCGTTCATTGCGCCCGGCGAGACAACCACGCTTCAGCTGCCGTCACGGGACCCTCCGACCAGAAGTCTTCAAAGTCAACCCCCCCCCGAAGTCCCATCCCTCCCGAATCGCCTTCTTTCGTGCCAAGCGCGCTTGCAGGTTCAAACAGCGCTTAAACGGGCGCTTATCGGTCCCGAAGTGAAGCTTTCGGCCGTCGATGGCGCGAAAAGTTGTCTCGATGTCATATCCCTGAGCGCCGTCGACCAGAACCCACTGCTGGCTCTCGGTTAGATGATCAAACAGTCGCTGTTGCAGCAAGTGGTGGTCAAACAACTTGAGATGGAACTCCTTGCTGTTCCTGTCGTAGATGATGCTGACTTGGCGTTTATCGAGCGCCTTCTCCAGCGGCCCAAACAGCAGCAGCCCGTTCTTCAAGTTGTCGATGCCTTCAAAGCCCAGCGCTTGCTGGACGTGCGCCTCATTCTTACGAGGGAACAAGTGAGCAGCGATCACTAACTCTGACGGAAGCATCATGTTCAGCAGCATGCAGCGCGACTGCCCTTCCTCTCCAGCACAGCCGTGCATCCTTTTCAGGCCCTTCTTGAAGGCTGAGCTTCGTTTCGTTTGCGTCGACGACGGCTGCTCGGCGAACCATTCCTCCATTAGCGTATCCTGCAGCCGGTACAACTTCTCTGCTCCAAGATCGAGGTCTACCTCGCGTGATAGCACCACCAGCAAGTGTAGCTGGTTAGCCGCCGGGGCGCTCGTTCCCAGCGAGGTAAGCCACGACCCGAGCTGTTGTGACCTTTCAGCTCCAAATGCTCGGCTTTCATCTCGTCCACTCCATCAGGCAGCCGCCCGTGCCTCAGTTGCACCGCCATGTCGCTGTCCATAGCCAACCAGCGCCCGTCCTTTATAGCGGGGAAGAACCGCACACGTCTGTCCGCGAAGTTGACGTCGGGGTTCTCGTCCTTTACTGCCATCTCCACACCAGTCCCATCTGCGTTGCGCTGTAGCTCCACCCTGAAGTGACTCCCCTCCCCGACCACCACGCACGCAAGATTTACCTTTCGGTTCCTCCTTCCCCGAGTCATGCTCTTTTGAGCCACGAGTCGTGCGCCCTAAGCAGTCGATTGCGGAATGAGCAGAAGGAAAAAAAAAGAATTGAAGTACCCGCGATAATGCGTCATTACCTTGGTAGTTGTTGAAACAGTGGATTTGATGACACAAAAAGATGGTACGGCTAAGTAAACCAAGGAGCTTACCCAGCGATGGTCCCTTGTGTCTATGCTTCTAGCTAGGTAACTAGCTGAAGAAATAGTTTCGCAACACTTTCGACGCAAACACTTTAGCAGACAAGGATTGTATTTTTACTCGCAGCTCGAAGAACTATCGTTTGAGGGGGATACCACCGGGCGGCATTCACAGCTACTCCGCCAGCGGATGACATTGAATGGCATTCACACTACATCACTGCGTTGGGGGATTCACAGATTCTCAACGCTAGGGTGGAGACGTGGATAATGCATCGAAGCAACACACCTATCAAATTCCAACAAAACATACTACAGCAAACAGCAGTTGAGCTTACAGTTGGGCTGATTCTGTAGACAGTTTGTGTCATGGGTAATTCGTGTTGATGGATAGAAAAGGAAAGCATTATGCTAGTTGTATTTTTCATTCAGGTGTGGTATGTTTTATTGATGCAGTTCGCACGCTGCGGGCTGTTATCCCACTCGTCACATGAGCAAACCCCTGGCGTTTGCGTGTATGTGTGCGTATGTGTATGTACGGCTACATCCTAGCAGCAATTGTAAACCCCCTATAATATCCTCTGCCCCACACGTGGCATTCACCCCTCATTAGGCTCCCGTCCTCCTATCCGGACGTATGTACTGTACAGAGTTGTAATCTCTTTTACACTAGCTGCAACTCTAATATTTTCTCCTTGCACTGCAAGTCTTGCACCATCGACGATTTGACTGCAGATACCGTTTATTTATCCCATCAGCGCCCTACTTTGTGAGCTACAGGTGCGTTCGTAGCGTTCATTCTTCAATTCTCCACATCAAGTCGACAACCTCTGCCAAGGAGTCAAGCATACAGTTCGTCAAGATTCTGGTCGTCGCCCTCGTCGTCGTGCTGGGTGTGACCCAAGTCCGTGCCACACCCACGCCTGAAAATCACGGCCTCTACAACCACGTGAGCCCGAGCGGATAAGGCAGATAAAGCGTACGTCGATATCTTCGGGTGTAGGAGCGCCATTCCGGACCAAGAATCTGCTCAAAGATGCCGCTAGTACGGACGCAAATCGGCTTGTAGTGACGGCGGCGCAAGCACTAGATGCCGCTACGGCGCAATAACTCCATTTTCTTAAAGTAAAAGATTTTCGCTCCCAAACTATTACTCGCTGCAGTTGGCTTCACTGCTTTGCTTCTCTTTTAAGAATATTAAAATATTCACGCTAGAGCGTATGCTCGACCACCCACCGAGACGACTTTGCGTTTGTCCTGGAAAAGCAGTTGCGCTGCGTGCAAATTAGTCTCTTTTTATGGTTATTTTACAATGATCATCACCCGAAGGTAAGGCAAATTGGTAGTGAAGTACTGCATCATTCACTGGATACAGATCCCGTCCTGAGCCACGAAAACGATAAAAAATGAATTATTTTATAACTGTAAACTTTAAAGAGGTTTACCAACATATCAACGTTGTTTCTTTTGAACGAATATTTCCACGTGCAATCGCTGCGGTAGATTAATGATTCGTTAGCTTCTTTTCACAAACTACATGTAGTACGCACCAATTTAATTGGATTGTCGACGTCATAGTCATTGCGACTGCCACCATGCCTGCAAACAATCAAATTGTCGCCGCATCAATCACGCCGGCATTTGGTAGACTACCCGTTTTGCCGTTAATTTAATCACGATTGTTCATGTAGCAGCAGTTTGGGCATTCTATCCCCTTCAAGCTTGGCGTTTCTGTCGAGGCTGTCGACACTGTACCTGATGAAGAGCAACTTAATGCACCTATCCAGTTTGGTGTGGACGTGAAACTTGGAGACGATTGCGCTTGTTGTAATTTTGGTTTTGCTACATGTACTTGTGTGAGCCGTCGAATTTTCTTTTATCGGTTGTTGTGTGATAAATGGATAGGTGTTAGAAGGGGACGATCAAAAACGTTAACGTTAAGTACCAACGATTTACACCAAGTAAATGCGGAGTAGACAAGCTGAGAATCCATCTAGTCAACACAGCTTTTCGTGAATGGCTGGCGCCATGAAAGATGAAAATTGGTTGTCGTTTGCATCTTCAGCTCAGACTTAGACGTAGAATGAAAATGAGTGCGGCTGAATCACGAGGGACTACGAGTTTACTTAAGCGTTAGCGTTGCCGTCACCTAAGTTGACTTTCGCGATCGTTTTAGAGCAGATTCTCGACTGGGGGGGGGGCTTTCTTACCCCCCAGAAGATGCCGACGCGCTCTTTATCTGCCCGGGTTCACGCGGCTGTACTGGCCCCGGTTTTCACGCCTGAGGATCTTGGAGAACGGCATGGCTGACTTCTTCGTGCGTGTTGTGGCTCAGGCTGTCGACTTGATGTGGAAAATTGAAGAATGAAAACTGTGAATGCACCTGTAGCTGGCAAAGGGGAGCCCACACGGAATAGATGAACGTCAAATCGTCGATGGCGTAAGGACTTAAGAGTTAGGAACTACATATATGTACACGCACGGCTACGTATAAGACAAATTGCATAGCTTCTGCGCACGATACTGATACTCATTTCAGCACATCGACGAAGTTTTTCGAAATTCGAATCCAGTGCAACACGCACTGTACTGCATTCGCCAACGATACATTGTATGATAGACCCTCCGCTGCGATGCGGAAACTCAAACGGAGCGCGTTGCTCTAAGTCATCATGTCGACAAACAGAATTCTTGCCCGAAACTTTAGCTTCGCAAACTCTGTATTATAGTGCAGTTACCGCCAGTTTTACCCTGCCACATTACGATACATGTATAATAAAGGTGCGTGGTGAGTCTATATATTGAGGCGCAAACCAAACATTTGGGAGGACAACTCTTGAGTATCTCAAGTTGTGATTCACGACCCTCTGGATCATTCAGGACCAGTACTGTAGGACAAAGCATATGAAGCTTGGATAGTCCTAGTCTCATACGATTCGTAGGGTATCGAACGGATCTTGAGCAAATTGCTTCAACAATCCAGTTTAAGTTCAACCAAAATGTTGATTGTCCAAATTCAATACTCCACTTACAGGTAAGCCACGGTTAGCCACCTCCTCAGTCAACGTCCACTTTAGCCGAGGGTGTTGCCGGCCATGGCCCAGTTCCCGCCATCCACGTCGTCCAAGTTGAGGAAGATGCGGTCGGCCGGGAGCTTGAGCGCTTCCGCCGCCGTGGCGGTCAGGGACGCCGCCGTCTTGGTGTTCAGGTCGGGGCCGATGCGGCCGATGCTGCGGATGTGGATGAAGGCGCACGGCTGCAGCAGTGAAACCATTGTTAGGGATTATATCTATCTTAATAGAGTGGGGGGGCTGTTACAGTCAGTAGACACGCACCGCGTCCGAGGCCTGGAAGAGCATGGGCGTGTCCAGGTCCAGCTGCACCATGAGGTAGGCCTCCGGCTTGCCCAGCGCGGCCGACAGCGCCTTGGACAGCACGCGCAGAGCGGCGGGGACGTCCACGCTGGCCTTGGGGACGTTGCTGGTCACGTGCACGAACGGCATCTTGAGCTCGTGAGGCGATTTCCCGAAGTGAGCCAGTGAGCCCTAGGGCTGTTTCGTGCACCAGTTTCGGTAGGGTTATGCCTGTAATTTCAAGAGTTTTAACCCCCCTCAGATCGTTCCTAGGACAAACGAAAGGACCAAAACTTTGGCGCCCTGCTGTCATAAAACGACACATGAATATGAAGTTTTCTTAGCATGGGCAGAAAACCCTTTCCTTAATCTCTGTTGACGCATCAGCTTCACTTAATCGATTGTCCTTGTAGACATAAAGGCAATTTGAAAATTGTCTTTAATAACATATCACTTTGACGAATTTGTCCTAGCTGCTAGGACAAATTTGAAGATTTGACTGGATCTCAGTATGGACACTGCTATTTTTTGCTCCGATACAAATGCGTGATTTGTTAGAAGCGACAGTCTTTATTCTTCATGGGCCATAAGGCGGGCATACAAATGTCAAGTCATTTTTTGTCCTACTGGGCTCGAGGTAGGACAAATCGGCTTATGTACGCCACACCAAAAACCAAATTTGTCTCTATGGGCTATCCCCGTAATAAAGGGCTGATGAATTTGCACGAAAGTACTTTCGTGCACCTTCGAGCACTGCACGAAACAGAGCCCACAAGATCGGAATGGGAATGACAAGCATCCGCCTAAGTACGATGACGTATGCACAGTAAAAGGCTCCAGTCGCAGATTTGACCAGCAAGAGGAGACAGTAAAGAGATCATGCCGAACGTGCAGGTGACGAGCAACGTGCCGTCGAGCGGCGTGGACAAGGCCAAGGCCATGGCCGCCATCTCCAAGGGCGTGGCCACGGCGCTGGGCAAGTCGGAGCAGGTGGTGATGGTGCACCTGAACCTGGACACGCCCATGCTCTTCCAGGCCTCGGACGCCGTAAGTGCTGAACCCCCTACATTCCCCTCCCCCCCTTTATGCTGCCTTCATAATACTCACGGGATTGTCGGTTGGGCGGTTCTTGGTTGGTGTTTGCAGCCGTGCGCCATGATTCAGCTCAAGAGCATCGGCAAGGTGGACGCCCAGCACAACCCGACGGTGCGTGGCCCGAGATGAAGAACTTGGCCTTGTCCCTCGGCTGTACGACATAAATATGAAGCTAATCTAGTGCTGGTGTTATGTTGTAGACGGCGTCGATCCTGACGGAGACCGTGAGCCAGGAGCTGAACGTGCCCAAGGACCGCATCTTCATGAACATCGACGACGTGCAGCGCTCCAACTGGGCCAAGGGCGGCGTGCTCATCCCGGAGCCCAAGCAGTAAAGAGAGAGCACAATATGCTGGCCACTTAAAGTAACACAAGAGGATCGTAGCAGACTTTTTTTCATGACTTGACATTGAAAAAAAAAAAAATGTTTTCACCTATTGCTGTGCTGTTGCTTCCTTGAATATGTGTGCATCGTAGTTAACCCTTGCCAGCGCAGCGAAGATAACGAAAACAATACGGCCGAGCTTCATCACCAAATCCGCCTGAACTCCAGGTCACTCTCCGAGCTCGACTTCTCCACAATCTGCGGTCTCAACGCTCAAAACGTTCTGCGGCAAATCGGGCAGCTTGGAAGCGTGTTGTTGGCCTTGCACTGCTTGGACCACATCTCAGTGCACACGCGGTGGAAAGTGTGGCCGCAGTGCGTCGTAGTAGTCGCGCGGATGGCAGGCCAGCCAAAGGAGGACCAGCAGATAGAGCACGTATCATCTTCGCTGACGCTGCCAGACTCTGTCGCACTCGTCAACCGCGCAGGAGTCGCTTCATCCATCGACTTGACCATGATCACGAGACTCGCCCATTCAATGGAGTTATGGTTTCCGTCAGCATTGAAGCGGTGGTAGACGTAGCCACTGGCCTCCTCCCACACCGAGCTGACAGATACACGCGAGTTCGCCTTCACGCCTTCGTATCGCCAGTAACAGTCGTACAACCCGCAGGTAACAGGCGTCACGTGGACACTGCAAAGTGGGCAGCGGATATCATCATCTCGAATGAGGTTGAACAGCCGAAATCTCTTCCTGTCGATGACCATACAGCGGTAAGCTCGGCACGAGGGATTGCTGCACCGTCCCTCAATGTTCAGTCCTTTGCTGCAGCGGCGCCACTCGGGAGCGTGCGGAGAAAATCCCACTGCCGTGATGATCGAGCCATCCGAGACGTCGGCAAAAGTGTGTGTTGGAGTCGCGCCCTTAAAGCCGCCAAGCAGCCTCGCCGACAGATACACAGTGCTCAAATTCTGGATGTTGTAGGCGGCAAGCGTGAGGTGGTCCTGGAGGCGCTTGCCGGCATGAGTGAGACGTTGGTCTTCAGGCGCGATGCCTTCTTTGTCTTGGATCCTGGCCTTGATGGACGCCACATATCCGTGGGTGTGCATCCAATAGCGTCGATTCTCCCAGAGAGCGTCGTGACAAACACCATCATAGTAGCCCCTTTCGAGCGGCTTGGTCGTGTGTGCATCGTAGCAACGAGCCGAGGACTGCTGCTAATCAGCTCAGGGATGATGTACTCCAAAGGGTAGGTGTTGCCCACCCGCACGCCGTGCAGCAGCATCTGCGCCACCTCGTGGACGACGCTCTCCGTTGGCGCTGCCTTCCGGACCTTCTTGTTGACGAGCTTGATCAAATCTTGCACGGAGGCACCCTCCACTTGGGTCTTGGTGAAATCCGAGGCGCAGATCTCGACTACGCCGTCCAGCCCGTGGTGGTGCGCATCACGCCACGCCACAGGAATCGAAAGGGCCATCGTGGTCGCACTGCCTGTTCAAACTTCTTGAGCTCAGGGTTTCGGAGGACGCAGCAAATTGCACAATGAGGCGAACTCGATCAGGGAGGGAGCGGTCGAAAGCTGCCGTTGGAGTTGTCGACATGGGTTTCGCGGAAAAGCTCGAGTCCGTTAACCCCCCTCAGATCGTACGAAAGGACCAAAACTTTGGCGCCCTGCTGTCATAAAACGACACATGAATATGAAGTTTTCTTAGCATGGGCAGAAAACCCTTTCCTTAATCTCTGTTGACGCATCAGCTTCACTTAATCGATTGTCCTTGTAGACATAAAGGCAATTTGAAAATTGTCTTTAATAACATATCACTTTGACGAATTTGTCCTAGCTGCTAGGACAAATTTGAAGATTTGACTGGATCTCAGTATGGACACTGCTATTTTTTGCTCCGATACAAATGCGTGATTTGTTAGAAGCGACAGTCTTTATTCTTCATGGGCCATAAGGCGGGCATACAAATGTCAAGTCATTTTTTGTCCTACCGGGCTCGAGGTAGGACAAGTCGGCTTATGTACGCCACACCAAAAACCAATTTGGTCCTTTTTCCTAGGACAAATTTGGACTGGGGTTAACTTGTGCGCATTATTCTAAGTGCTCCGACTTGCCTGGGCCGCTCAACATCTGATTGGCTGAAATGCGGAAGGTGGGAACCGCTGACCTACAGTTCGGAAGCCATCAGCAAGAGGCAACATGGTGAAGCTGTTCTGCGCGGTGGTTGGGGGGAAGGGGGGCGCGTTCCCAGTGAAGATCGATGCGAGCGAGACTGTGGGAGACTTGAAGGACGCGATTAGGGAGAACCCCGAGTTCGGCTTTCCCAAGAGCAAGCTGGAGCTCTTCCTCGCTAAGAAGGGCGACGCGTGGTTGAACAAGAACGGCGTGGCAGCTGTGACTCTTGATGAAGAACGACACGCGGTGATCGAGGGCGAGAATGGACACCCGCAACGCCTTGATCACATGGATGAAACATGGGATGTCGCCGACTACTTTGAAGAGAGCTTCAAGCGGAAACGAGGGGAAATCCAAGTGTTGGTGGTGCTTTCGCAGCAAGAACAATTGCGAGATGACAGCGTCCACGATTCATTATCGCTGCTTCACGAATTTCGGCGTGGTATGATGGAACTTAAGGAGCTTACTACCTCTTTACGACACAAACAGCCAAAGTCCTATTCTGATGCGGCATTGGGTCAACTTGAGATGGGAAGATTGAAAAAGGACAACTTGATCATTGATGCCGCCACGATAGGGGATGGAGAAGCATTTTGGTCGAAGGAAGTTCAGATTCAAGCTGATGCCATCACGAATGAGGCTGTTTTCGACGCCTTCATTACTCCTTTCTTCAGCACGATCTTACACAGCTGTGGCCTGGTCTTCGTCAACAGCGAGAGATATCAATGGTTGTCCCAGTCCACGCTTGTGGCCAAGAATACAGATCTCAAACCGGATGGATTTGCGACTCATCGCGGGATGTTTCGTGGCAAGCCAGTACCAAATGATGGAGTGCTACGTCCGAGTGGATTTCGATTTGGAGTAGCTGAGGAAGAATTGTTTGACTGCCTCATTCTATTCGAGAGCAAGCTGACCATAACTGATGCTGCGTTTGGTCAAGTGGCACGATATCTGGAAACTCTTTCCCCTGAGGCGTCAGCAAGCGCAATTCTGTTTGATCGTCGCTCGTTTTGGTTGATCACAAGCCACAAAGCGGTTATTGTCAAAGTCCAAATTGGCATGTGGGCCAACAATGGCTCGAAATCATTGTTTCAGAACTTTATCACTGACAATGTATCTCCATGGGCGGCGCGCTTGACCCTTGCTTGCTCTTGTTTGGGCGTTGATGTGGTGGAAGGCGATGCGTTTCTTGGCCGTGGCGCCCATGGACGCGTGTTCAAGGTCACTCGACAAGATGGGGAGGTTGTGGCGCTAAAGATCGTGGAGAAATGTTCCGTGGGACGTCTTCATCAAGAGGAGAAGGCCTTGACGAGTGCCCAGCACACAGGCTTGACGACTAGACCTGTGGAAAACCTTATCGAAACTCCTGAGAGTGCGGCGTTATTGCTGTCTCCAGTTGGGAAGCCTCTTTCTCGACCAAGTACACGACAGGAAGTACGGAGCCTCTTTGGACTGTTATGGCAGCTCCACGCGAATGGCCTGGTCCACGGAGATCCTCGCGTGCCAAACGTGATCCTTCACGGGGAAAACCTTCTCTGGATTGATCTTGTTGAAGTGATGGAAGCGAGCTCCACTTTGAAGCGATTTGATGCTGAAATTCTCACACGGTCCATCCTCAGCGTTTCTCGAACCGGTGTGCTGGATCAGACGCTGGTGCAGCTGATTGACGAATATAGCGAAAGAGCTACAGGAGAAAATCTTGATCGTGTGGCCGAGGCAGTCTGTCAAAAGCTTGGTGCTTCAACTTAGCTGCAAATTTCTACATTCGTAACCTGAGGCTACTCAAGTGCCTTCGATTCCGCGCGACTACTACGACACACTGCGGCCACACTTTCCACCGCGTGTGCACTGAGATGTGGTCCAAGCAGTGCAAGGCCAACAACACGCTTCCAAGCTGCCCGATTTGCCGCAGAACGTTTTGAGCGTTGAGACCGCAGATTGTGGAGAAGTCGAGCTCGGAGAGTGACCTGGAGTTCAGGCGGATTTGGTGATGAAGCTCGGCCGTATTGTTTTCGTTATCTTCGCTGCGCTGGCAAGGGTTAACTACGATGCACACATATTCAAGGAAGCAACAGCACAGCAATAGGTGTATGCGTAAAACTGATTTTTTTTCTTTTCCTTTCAACGTTTGCCTCAAGTAGACCTGTTTAGTGCAGTGCACGAAAGTCCCCACAAATGCACTAAAGTACTTTAGTGCACGCGCTAATGTCCAGCATCAGTTGTGTGCAGGTGCGCCAAACGTGCACTAATGTACTTTAGTGGGGCTTTCGTGCACTGCACTAGACAGGTCTAGCCTCAAGCCCCACGGTCGAGGTTACTTCCGCAGATTGTTTCTTTTCATTGTTCATTGCACGTCATGAAAAAAGTCTGCGACGATCCTCTTTTGTTACTTGAAGTAGCCAGAAAAATGATCTGTTGCTTGTGAATCACAAGTGCTCAGCATTGAATCGGTCGACTGTCCGTGTCCAAACTGCCGTATCCTCCCAGCGCCTTGTCGCTTTGAATAATGCGCACAAGTTAACGGGCTCGAGCTTTTCCGCGAAACCACCCATGTCGACAACTCCAACGGTAGCTTTCGACCGCTCCCTCCCTGATCAAGTTCACCTCATTGTGCAATTTGCCGCGTCCTCCGAAACCCTGAGCTCAAGAAGTTGGGTGCTAATAAATATCTGTTGCCCAAACACTGACTCACCTGTTGCCGACCTTTTTTGTAGGAATGCCTGTTGCTAGGTCGAGGGGCTGGTAAAAGCTGTTGCTCTCGGTTCCAACAGAAAGTTAGTGCTGAATAGAGGCAACAGCGGGTCAGCGTGTGTTGTATGAATAACTGTTGTGTGGGGAGTGCAGTGGTTGAGTATCATTCAAAGCTTGGTAAAGTTCCCCGACTGTAAAGTGCACTGTCCCGCTGTATTATGCTGGCTAGTACGAAGTATATCAGCCTACTAGTAATTAATAAGCTACTGTAGCGAGCTTTGCTGTGTGTTGATCGGCACATAAATTTTGAGATCGCCATCGTAATGAACAGGGCCTTATCGGGTCTCCCTGGCAGTCTTCACCTACACGACTAAGCCACAGGTAAGCTTTCCAAAGCAACGGTGTGATATCCCTCCTACCATGAAGCATGAAATCCGTCACATGCCACGGACTAATCGACTGCTGCTCAATTATATTTGATTCTCGATGAACCAAGCACGTCGAGCTGCTCACGAAGCTGTAATATCACTGCAAAACTTAAAAAAAATCCACTACATGTATTTATCTCCATAGTGTGCACAGTTGTATGTCAACAGCTTCCTGTCGACTTTAGCAACGGATTACCGTCGACACCGCAAAATGGACTTGCGTATCGCGAATTAAATAAACGCATCAGCCGACAACAACGATGCATTCCGGAGGACTATCACCTCTGTGTCGTGTCGGCTTCGGACACTCGTGCGCTTGAGATGGCCATGTGATCGATGCTGGGCGAGCCCCCTGTGGACGTCTGCTACTGGGCCGTTCGGCAAGCGGTGGTCACGACGGAGCTCCAGATTGACAATGTGCGCGAGTTCGGCGCGCCGTTCGGCCAGATCTCGGACTTCTCGCAGATCAACTGCGACCACGACATGATGTTCACGTGGTAAGGCACCTCCAGCGCGTGCGCGTCCGAACGTCGACTGAATCCCGAACGACCGTAAGGGTCTGGTCTTCGATGAGGCGGCGTCGGCTGCGTTTTCCAAGGAGAAGCCGTGGAACAAGATCAATGTGTGAACGTAGCTGGCAGAAGTGGCTCGGCGGTGAAGGCGCGCACGGTGTCGTCATCCAGAGCCCGCGCAGAGGAGCGCCTGGAGTCGTTCGTGCCGGAGCTCTGCGGCGTGTCGCCTGCAAAATAAACACACCTCAATCCAAACCTCCCGAGGGCAGCACCATCAACACGCTGTCGATGTGCTGTTTGGAGGACTGCCTCGACGGCCTGCGCTGGACCGAGAGCGTGGGCGGCCAGGACGGTCTCATCGCCATCTCGCAGCGCAACCTCAAGGTGGTGGAGGACTTCGCGGCCGCTAGTTCAAGTTCCTCGCGGCCGACGAGGCCATCCGCTCCAACACGTCCGTGTGTCTGCTGAACGACGGCCTGACAAAGGACGAGGTCAAGCAGATGCAGGCGTTGCTCCAGCACGAGCAGGTGGCGTACGACGACGATACGTGCTGGGACGCGGCGCCGGGGTGCGGATCTCGTGCGGCGCCGCGGTGGAGAACAACGACCTGGACGCGCTCCTGCACTGGATCAAGTTGGTGTACCTCGAGGCCATGAGCGCGCGCGACACGTGTTGTTTCGTGTCGATAGCTTCGCTACCCAGGAGTCACGCTGAGCGCCTCTACGATCCCAGTGTTGGTAGGCTCTATTTTATCCTCGTGTGTGTTGCGCTATTTCGGGTTCCCGACAGGACTTCAGCACTGACACTTTGCAACAGGAATTCAGCACTGAGTTTTCTGTTGGTTTCAACAGCAACAGATATGCAGACTCGGCAACAGGTGTTCAGCCTTGGCAACAGATATTCCTACAAAATAAGGGGCAACAGGTGAGTCAGTACCTGAGCAACAGATATTAATATTTTTCCCAAGAAGTTTGAACAGGCAGTACGACCACGATGGCCCTTTCGATTCCTGTGGCGTGGCGTGATGCGCACCACCACGGGCTGGACGGCGTAGTCGAGATCTGCGCCTCGGATTTCACCAAGACCCAAGTGGAGGGTGCCTCCGTGCAAGATTTGATCAAGCTCGTCAACAAGAAGGTCCGGAAGGCAGCGCCAACGGAGAGCGTCGTCCACGAGGTGGCGCAGATGCTGCTGCACGGCGTGCCGGGTGGGCAACACCTACCCTTTGGAGTACATCATCCCTGAGCTGATTAGCAGCAGTCCTCGGCTCGTTGCTACGATGCACACACGACCAAGCCGCTCGAAAGGGGCTACTATGATGGTGTTTGTCACGACGCTCTCTGGGAGAATCGACGCTATTGGATGCACACCCACGGATACGGTGGCGTCCATCAAGGCCAGGATCCAAGACAAAGAAGGCATCGCGCCTGAAGACCAACGTCTCACTCATGCCGGCAAGCGCCTCCAGGACCACCTCACGCTTGCCGCCTACAACATCCAGAATTTGAGCACTGTGTATCTGTCGGCGAGGCTGCTTGGCGGCTTTAAGGGCGCGACTCCAACACACACTTTTGCCGACGTCTCGGATGGCTCGATCATCACGGCAGTGGGATTTTCTCCGCACGCTCCCGAGTGGCGCCGCTGCAGCAAAGGACTGAACATTGAGGGACGGTGCAGCAATCCCTCGTGCCGAGCTTACCGCTGTATGGTCATCGACAGGAAGAGATTTCAGCTGTTCAACCTCATTCGAGATGATGATATCCGCTGCCCACTTTGCAGTGTCCACGTGACGCCTGTTACCTGCGGGTTGTACGACTGTTACTGGCGATACGAAGGCGTGAAGGCGAACTCGCGTGTATCTGTCAGCTCGGTGTCGACAAGGCGCTGGGAGGATACGGCAGTTTGGACACGACAGTCGAGCTGAGCACTTGCTCACTGTCCGCTGGCAGTCTCTGGATCAGTCAAGAGGCTGTCGAGTGGCTTTTGACGGCCAATCAAGTACGCGAAAGACTTCGAAGAGCGTGACCTGACACTGCTGAAGCTGCAGGGGCTGACCGATGCCCCGTACCTGCAGCCAGTCGACACGCTGCAATGCGCGTGATTCACAAGCAACAGATCATTTTTCTGGTCCCGAGTTCTTTTTTGGTCCACCTCCAAGTCTTAAATTGGTCTACCCAAATCAAACAAAATTGGTCTGTCCCCCAAAAAAAACTGCTGAAGCAAAAAAAAGACCCACCCAAAAAATAGTCCTCTCCGTTTTGTGTGCGCCACACCCCTCGCTACTGCTGTGCGGGTGGATCGTAGGCTCAAGCAAGGCTCAAGGCTCAAGACCATGGCGGAGGAGGTGGCGCGCTCGCGGCAGTATGCGTACCAGCAGAACTCCAACCTGGTGCTGCAGGCGGACAGCGAGTCGCGGCGGCGGCCCGACGAGCCCACGGGCGAGGTGGAGTCTCTGGCGGGCAAGATCAGCTACCGCATGGGCGACCGCGCGCAGAAGGCCACGCCGCAGAGCAGCCGCAAGCGCCACGCCGCGGGCGACAAGGACGGCGACCATACAAAGTCCAAGAGGAAGAAGAAGCGGCGCGAGGACGACGCGGACGGCGGCGTGCTCTTCACGGCCGCCGGGGGCCTGGCCGCCGCCAAGAGTAATATTCTAAAGGAGAGTTCGGCCTTCGAGGCGGCCGCGTACCGGCCCAAGAGCGCCGCCAGCCAGGACGCGTACGAGCAGATCCTGGGCGTCGTGGCGCAGCAGCTGGGCGCGCAGCCGGGCGAGATCCTGGCGGGCGCGGCCGAGGAGGTGCTGGCCATCCTCAAGAGCGACGCGTACCGGGACGACGAGAAGCACAAGGAGGTGCAGAAGCTGCTCAAGGCCATCCCAGCGCACACTTTCAGCCAGCTGGTGGCCGCGGGCAAAAGGATCACGGACTTTTCCCCCGAGAATGGGGACAAGAAGGCGGCGGACGACGAGCACAAGGCCGAGGACAGCGACGCTGAGGTGGACAAGGAGATGGGCGTGGCCGTGGTCTTTGACGAGGAAGATGAAGAGGAAGAGTCCGATCTGGATGAAGTGAGGGACGAAGAGGAGGATGACGACGAAGAAGAAGAGGAGGGCGGACAGAACGCCTCGGCCGGACGCGGAGCCATGAAGATGAAGGACGGATACGAGGACGAAGACGACGCCGACGCCAAGTACCGACTGGACGTGCACGCCATCGACGCCTTCTGGCTGCAGCGCGAGCTGTCCAAGTTCTACAAGGACGCCGAGATCAGCGCCAAGCTGGCGGAGGACGTGCTGAGCATCCTGAAGGAGGCCGGCAGCGACCTCAGCGCGTGCGAGAACAGGCTGGTGCTGCTGCTGGACTACGACAAGTTCGACTTCATCAAGCTGCTGCTCGAGAACCGAGCCAAGGTGCTCTACTGCACGCGGCTCAAGCAGGCGCAGAACGACGACGAGCGCCGCAGCATCGAAGAGGAGATGGTCGCGGACGAGACGCTGGATGACGGCGAAGGCAAGACCATCCTGGACCAGTTGCGCTCGACGGCGTCCGCCGACTCGTGGATGCAGGACCGTATCGGCGCCATGGAGACCACGTCCCGCGCGGAGGCGAATAAGCTCCGCAAGCTGCAGCAAAAGTCGGGAGGACAGCGCGGGCAGACTCTTGGCGATGAATCGGACGATGACGTCGACATGGAGGACACCAACATGGAGGCTGTCAAGGCCGAAGGGGAAGGTGCGCCCAAGAAGAAGCCTCAGCATTACGTCGATGTCGAGTCGCTCGCTTTCCAGGAGGGTGGTCACCTGATGAGCAACCGCGAGTGCCGCCTCCCTGAGGGCACCTGGCGTGCGCAGAAGAAGGGCTATGAAGAGGTTCACGTCCCAGCCGTTCGCACGAAGATGGCTGTTGTTGAAGAGAAGGCACGCATCAAGATCTCGACGCTGCCGAAGTGGGCGCAGGGCGCGTTCAAGAACATGGAGTCGCTAAACCGCGTGCAGTCCAAGATGTTCCCCGCTGCATTTGAGACGAGTGAGAACCTGCTGCTGTGTGCACCCACGGGTGCTGGTAAGACGAACGTCGCAATGTTGACGATTTTGCACGAGGTGATGAAGGCTCGTGACCCGGAGACCGGGGAAATCGATCTCAACTCGTTTAAGATTGTGTACGTGGCTCCGATGAAGGCTCTGGTGCAAGAAGTGGTGCTGAACCTATCGGCCAGATTGTCCAGTGCGTACGGCATTCAAGTGCGTGAGCTGTCAGGTGACCAGAACTTGTCTCGGGAGCAGTTGTTTAACACACAGATCATTGTCACGACGCCCGAGAAGTGGGATATTATCACGCGAAAGTCTGGAGATGACCGCACCTACACGCAGCTCGTGCGCCTGGTGATCATTGATGAGATTCACTTGCTTCACGACACACGTGGTCCAGTGCTGGAAGCCCTCGTCGCGCGTACCATCAGAAACGTCGAAGCGACTCAGCAAATGGTGCGATTGGTGGGTCTTTCGGCCACCTTGCCAAACTACGAAGATGTGGCGGCGTTCCTTCGTGTAGACCCCGCGCAGGGACTGTTCTACTTCGACTCCAGTTACCGTCCGGTGCCGTTGCAGCAGCAGTACATTGGTATCATGGAGAAGAAGGCGGTCAAGCGCTTTGCGTTGATGAACGAGATCTGTTACGAAAAGGTGATGGAGCAGGCTGAGCTGGACAACCAGGTGCTGATTTTCGTGCACTCGCGAAAGGAGACTGCGTCGACTGCGCAGGCGTTGCGGGACCTGTTTGTGGAAAACGATACTCTTGCTCGATTGATCCGGCCGAACTCTGCCTCGAGCGAGGTGCTTCTGCAAGAGGCCGAGAAAATCGAACGCAATGACGATTTGAAGGATCTGCTTCCCTACGGTTTCGGTATTCACCACGCTGGTATGAAGCGCCAAGACCGTACACTTGTGGAAAATGCGTTTGCCGATGGACATCTGAAGGTGTTGGTCAGCACGTCGACGCTTGCGTGGGGTGTCAATTTGCCGGCTCACACGGTGATTATCAAGGGCACCCAGATCTACAACGCTGAGAAGGGCGACTGGTGCGAGCTGAGTCCGCTCGATATTCTGCAAATGTTGGGTCGTGCTGGTCGTGTGCAGTTCGACACGCAGGGTGAAGGCATCATCATTACGCAGCACTCGCAGTTGACTTACTACTTGTCGCTGATGAACCAGCAGCTTCCGGTGGAATCGCAGCTGATGGGGAAGCTGGCTGACAACCTGAACGCAGAAATTGTGGTGGGTAGCGTGCAGAACGTGGCTCAAGCGGCGACGTGGCTGGGCTATACGTATTTATTCATCCGTATGCTGCGCAACCCTACGTTGTACGGTATCTCCATCGCCGACCGCAAGGCCGATCCGACGTTGCTGCAGTACCGCACTGACTTGGTGCACTCGGCTGCGACACTGCTAGCGAAGCACAACTTGATTAAGTACGAGCGCCGCTCAGGATTGTTCCAGGTGACTGCTCTGGGTCGTGTGGCTAGTCACTACTACATTGCGCACGATTCGATTAGCACGTACAATGAGTACTTGAAGCCGCACATGTCCGACATCGAGATTTTGCGGCTATTCTCGCTCTCGAACGAGTTCAAGTACGTGATCGTTCGCTCTGAGGAGAAGCTAGAGCTTGTGAAGCTGCTGGAGCGTGTGCCTGTACCGGTGAAGGAGTCGTTGGTGTCCACTGCTCCGGGCAGTGTTGCTGCTGGAAGCGGCTCTGCAAAGGTGAACGTGTTACTGCAAGCTTACATTTCTCGCCTCAAGCTGGATGGCTTTGCACTGTTGGCAGACATGGCACACATTCACCAGTCGGCAGCGCGTATTTTCCGAGCGCTGTTCGAGATCTGTTTGACCCGCGGCTGGGCCTCACTGGCTGAGCGAATGCTTAGCTTCTGCAAGATGGTGGACAAGCGTATGTGGCTTTCTCACTCGCCTCTCCGTCAATTTGCCCCGGGAATCTCGGAGACGATTCTGAAGCGCATCGAAAAGAAGGACATTTCTTGGGATAAGTACAACGACCTGGAGCCTGCGGACCTCGGCCAGCTGATCAACAACCCGCAGTATGGCAAGCAGCTCTACAAAATGATCCACCAGTTCCCGAAGCTTGAGCTCTCGGCTCATGTGCAGCCGATCACCCGCTCTATGCTGAAGGTGGACCTGGTCGTGACCCCTGACTTCGAGTTCACGCGGGAAGTTCACGGTAATGCTGAGGGCTTTTGGGTGTTTGTGGAGGACGTTGACGGGGAGACTATCCTGCACCACGAGTGGCTGTTGATTAAGCGCCGCTTTGCCTCCCAAGAGACCTATCTGAGCTTCACGATGCCGCTGTTCGAGCCTTTGGCACCGCTGTACTACATCAAGGTTATCTCGGACAAGTGGATCCACTGTGAGAGCTCGCTGCCAGTGTCGTTCCACAAGCTTATCTTGCCTCAGAAGAATTCTCCACCGACCGAACTGTTGGACCTTCAACCCCTGTTCGTCAACAACATCCTGCTGAAGCTTGTGGGCGGCAAAAAGAAAACCGCCGAGTCTGTTCTCAAGTCACTGTCGAACGCCCGCCAGGTGCCAAACCCATGGCGGTTCAAGCGGTTCAACCCCATTCAGACGCAAGTTCTTCCACGTTTGCTGGAGTCTGAGAGCAACCTGTTCATTGGTTCGCCCCCTGGAAGCGGCAAGGGCGTGCTGACAGAACTTGCCATCATGAAGACGTTGCTTGCATTGGGCCAGCCTGACCCTAAAAGTGATGAGTTTGGCGAGCACTTGCTTGTGTATCTAACTCCGAAGGAGTCTAGCTGCCATGAAAAGTACGACGACTGGAATGCCAAGTTCGGCGAGGAAAGCTTTTGGCGCCAGAATGTCGTCGAGCTCACTGGTGACTCGACCGCAGACTTGCGGTTGCTTGCAAGCGCAAACATCTTGATTGCCACGCCGACGCAATGGGATGTGCTTTCTCGACGATGGAAGCAGCGCAAACGCATTCAGAACGTCAGTCTGCTGCTTTTGGACGAGGCTCACTTCGTGGGTGGCGGTGAATACGGCCCCACGATTGAGGTTGTGATGTCGAGGATGCGATTCATTGCCGCTGACATGGACAAGAAGAAGAAGGCGGCTGGTGAGCGTGGTGGCCGGATGCGAATTCTAGCTATGAGCAACTCCATTGCGAACGCGCGTGACGTCGGCGAGTGGCTCGGCGCAAGCGCGTCGGAAGGCATCTTCAACTTCCACCCGAATGTCCGTCCGCAGCCGCTGGAGATTCGCGTGCAGGGCTTTGAGATCAACGACTTCTCATCCCGCATGCTGGCGATGGCCAAACCTTTGTACAATACTCTCGCAAACCAAGCGGAAAAGAAACCCGTTGTCGTGTTCGTGCCGTCGGCCAAGCAGGCCCAGCTGAGTGCGATCGATTTGATCACCTTCGCGTTGGCTGAGAACGACCCGCAGAAATTCGTATCCCACTCTGCGAAGGACAAGGTGGATCTCCCTCTGGAAGATGCTGCGTTGCTACACACCATGGAGAACGGCGTAGGCTACTGCACGGATACCATGGCTTCGCGGAATCGTGAGTACGTCATGCACCGTTTTGCAACGGGCAAGATTCAGGTGTTGATCGTTCCTCAGTCGATGGCGTGGGAGCTGCGCAGCGCGCAGATTAATGCGTTCATGGTGGTGATTATGGGAACTCAGTTCTACGACGGCCGGGAGCACCGCTATGTGGACTATCAACTGGCCGACGTGTTCCAGATGACCAAGTTCGCCAACCACGCCGCGTCTCCGGCTGTGAAGTGCGTTCTCTTCTGCCACGCGTCCAAGAAAAAGTTTTACGCGAAGTTCTTGTACGACCCGCTTCCGGTGGAGTCTCAGCTCGAACACTTCTTGAGTGACCACATTAACGCTGAGATCGTTACCAAGACCATTGAGAGCAAGCAGGACGCCGTGGATTACCTCACGTGGACCTTTATGTACCGCCGATTCATGAAGAACCCCAACTACTACAACTTGCAGGGCGCTACCAACGTCCACCTTTCGGACCACTTGTCGGAGCTTGTGGAAACGACGGTTAACGCACTGGAGGAGTCACGTTGTATCCAGGTTGTTGAAGAAGAGGAAGACGACGAGAATGAAGGCGAGGAGCGTCTTGTGCCGCTGAACCTGGGCATGATCGCCGCGTACTACTACATCAAGTACACGACGATCGAGCTGTTCGCATGCAGTTTGAAGGCAGACTCAAAGGTGCGCGCGCTTCTCACGATCCTGTCGTCTGCTACCGAGTTCAGCGACCTGCCGAGCCGCTACGGTGAGGACAAGAAGCTGGAGGGGCTGGCGAAGCACCTGAAGTTCCCGGTGGCTGCTGGAGGCGACTACGGACAGGCACACGTCAAGACGAACGTGCTGCTGCAGGCTCACTTCAGCAAGCAGCACGACCGTCTCAGCCCAGCGCTTCGCCAGGACCTGGACTTCATTCTGCGCCACGCCGTGCGACTTCTCCACGCTATGGTGGACGTGATCAGTTCCAACGGATGGCTCAAGCCCGCTCTGGCGGCCATGGACCTCGCGCAGATGGTTGTGCAGGCTCAGTGGAGCAGCGACTCACCGCTGCTGCAGATCCCGTTCTTCACTCGGGATATGCTCAAGAAGTTAGGCGAGATGGAGTTGGAAGAGGAGGTGGAGACACCGGTGGATATCCTGAGTATGGAGGACGACGCCCGTGGCAAGCTGCTGCCTCTGGACACGCAGAAGATGTCGGCCGTGGCCAAGTTCTGTAACGCGTACCCGGATGTGACAGTGCAGACGAAGGTGCAGCAAGATGGCAAGAACCTCCCGCAGGGCTCGGCTGTGAGCGTCAAGGTGCAGCTCGAGCGCGAGGGTGCCGACGATGAGGACGAAGAGGAGGAAGAGCAGGACGAGTCCAAGGAGCTGGGGCTCGTGAACGCGTGCCACTACCCCGTCAAGAAGGCCGAGAACTGGTGGGTGGTGCTTGGCGACTCCAAAAAGAACACGCTGCTGAGCATCAAGCGCGTGCCGTTCGCGAGTGCGCGGGCGAACGTGGCGCTGCAGTTCGCCGCTCCGGACGAGATCGGCTCGCACACTTTCCAGCTCTACGTGATCTGCGATGGCTACGCTGGTTGCGATCTCGAGAACGAGGTCAAGATTTCTGTTGTCCAGGGAGAAGACACAGACGAAGAGGAGGAAGAGGACGATGACGACGAGTAGTCTACCTCATGGGCACGCATACACTCCAAGGTAAAGGATCAACCAAAACATAAACATTCATTTTATATCTGCCAATTTGTAGTTTGCTGTTCATCTAGGGCGCTGGTGCTGAGACTGGAGGGAGCGGTGGAGTGGCCATGTCAGGTTCCTCTTCTTCTGTCTCGCTGGCCGCCGTCTTCTGCTTGGGGAGATGCGGGGCTCGGAAAGTCCCAGCACGAGACTTGAGCTTCGCTGAGGCGGCGTTGATCATCCCAGCGGCCTTGAACACTCCCGCACGCAGTTGCTGTTGACGGGAAGGCTGCCGCTGCTGCTCGGAGGAGATGGCCATGTCGTACGCGCTGGCGGCACTGATGAGGCTCGTAGAGGAGGCTTCGTCCGAGAAGATGCTTGGCTCCCGATGGATTCCGGCCGGCGCGCTCTTGATCTCCTCGAAGGCTGGGCTATCCAGGAAGCTCTCGTCGCTCATGACGGTGGACGAGGTCGAGCCGGAGCGCAGCAAGTGCAGACCGCTGCCCAGCTTGCTCTTGGCCTCCTGCAGCCGCTTGGTCATCATGGCCGGACTCACACTCCTCACGTTCATGCTCAGTCGGTGGCTAGACAGACTCACGCTCGTGTTTCTTGCTCGTCGCCACTGACCGGCACCGAATGGCTCTGTCTCGGACGCGCGGCGGTGGTGCAGCTCTGGTGTGTAGCCCTCGTCGTCACTGGAGAAGTCTCCGTCGTCCTCGTCATCCACGCTCTGGTTCCGCGACCGAGACAGCGAGCGCGTGCGTGCCCTGAATGTAGCAAGGGACAGCGCCGTCGGCATCCCGGCAGAGCCCGCCCCTGAGCACGTGCGAGCCTTCTGCCGCCTCCAGCGAGCCATCGTGGGCACGCGAGGCAGCAGACTCGGTCGAAGCGCCGACGCCGCGTTGCTCTGTCCATCGCTATCGCTGTCGCTGATGACCCCTCCTACTGTTTCTGACCTGTCAATGCCTTGCTCCTCCTCTTCCACTGCAGACTCTGGCGGCCGGTACGTCGCGAACGGATTTGCTGATGCGCTGGTCGCTGGGGATGCCACTGACAAGACGCTGTTCTTGTCGGGGGCCCAGCACGTCTCCGGGTCGAACGGCTGAACGTCCTCTTCCTCCTCCTCCTCTTCTTCTTTGTCCTGCTCCCCCTGAATACCCTGACGATCGCAACTCTCCTCCGTAGCCTTGACCTGGTCGTTTGAAGGCTCCAGCTCCGGCTCAAAGAACCTCAGCTGACGGACGGGGGACGAGATCGACACCCGCGTCAACGGAGACAGCACGGGCGTCAGTGAGGCCTGTGGAGAGCCCGTATCGGAGCAGGGAGAGATGAGGCTCCACTGCAGTCCAGCAGCGTCTCGTTCCCCTGCATCGCCGACCTGAATGGGGAGCGGCTCCGGCAGCGTCAGCTTCATCGTCGGCGGCGTCTCGCTCTCGTCCTGCTCGTCGTCGTCGCTGTAGCCGTCGCTCGTGGCGTCCCACGAGAGGCGCTCGACCAGGTCCAGCGTCATGACGCCTGCGGTCTGCACGACGGGGGACCGGACCGAGAACAAGTCGTCGCCGTCGTCCTGCGAGCCCTCGAGCCCGTGGTCTCCGTCCAGACTGCCGAAAAGTGCGTCCTCCTCCGCGTCCTCGTAGCCGCCGTCCCCCCAGAACTCGCGGTCCTCGTCCTCTCTTCCGGCACAGAACGCCATGACTTGGTGTGTACTCTCTCCCCAATTGACTCTGTGCTGATCTCTGCTCTGCTCTGCTCTGCTCGGCTCGGCGCTCGGCGGGGGAAGGGCGAATGGAATGGCTTCCCCTGCTTTGGCCCGGCCGCGGAGAGGCCGATGGCGGGGCCAGTTGGGAAAACCGCCCCGTCGATGTCTCACCCCCTGACTGCGCGGCCTGTTGCTGTTGCGATGGCCACCTGCCACTTGCCTCGGGCCGACAGGTGACTCGGGGACTTGTTCAGCGGCCGAGTGTCTCGACCTGAGCTGAGACCTGCGGCACCTGCTCGTGGACGGCGGCCAGCTTGAGGATGCGACCCCGTGACTCACGATTGGGGCGTGTGTGGACACCTCCAGTGCCAATGTGGACGGTGCTGGCAGTGTGAGCTGTTGAGCTGTTGCCTGCAGCTTCTCGGCCGCCGCGTCGTCCGCTAGAAAACGTGCAAGATTTGCCTCCGTCGCGCCGTCGAGGCGATCGAGCGACGTCCGAGCAGCGCTCGACCAACGAGACTTCAGGGAGTGTGTACGGCTCGAAACAAACTGGCAGACAAGTCGTCACACGCGTTCGCTATGGTGTAATTGACGTTGAGCACCTGCGCACCGAGAGCTCATTGCTTCCCCGAAAGCAAGAGAATGCAGAGCGTGCTTCCTCCAAAGCAGCCTGGGTGGAGCAATATGGCTACACGAAATGCTACCGCACCGGCCTGCTGCCAGCCGGTGAAAAGTTGGTATGGAAGTTCTGACACGCTGACGGCCACCTGGCAGAGTTTTGGGGGCCATGCGATGGCCGGCACCACCGCGTATCCAGCAGACTCTACGAGAGCCGCTTCAACCGGGTAATGCGCACGGATGCAGTCGAGGTGTTGTGCGTCTAAATAAATAAGCATGCAAAGGCTACAGAGTACACAAAGATCACTTTTCAGTCGGCACGTTGATCCCGATCTTCTTGAGCAGAGCCGCCGTTCCAGGAGTGGCTACATACCACGGCAGTCAACCACGAACAGAAAATGCAAGAGTTACCGTATTAGCCCTTTGAGCAACTCGTGGAGCCAGCACAAGTAGGGAGCAATACAAGCAAGCAAGCGTACCAGAGACTGGGATGTCAAAGGGCGAGTCCGGTCCACCTAGATCCAACCGCTTCGCACGACGTTGCCGCGTTGGTGTGGAGCAACCACCAGCACTATCCAAGGCCGATGGCTCGGTATCCTTAGATGGTCCGAACATTTGATCACGCTTGGCGATCTGCGAAATAAGTTGTGCAGCGCTTTGTCAGAGCTGATGAGGAACCAAAATCTACATACAGTACATTATTTGCTGCTCACCTCGAACTCCAAGCGGTCATTATCCAGCTTTACTGCTTGCTCCTGCAACAACCTCCGCTCCTTTTCAAGATTTTCTCGCAGCACAGTCAGCGCACTCTTCTGTTGCTCCACGTCCTCCTCGGCGTCTGCATCGGGGGAACTCCTGGTTCCAGCTGCGCGAGCAACACGCGCCTTCGGTCTATCGCGATTCATTTCAATCTTTTGGTTTCCACCACCAGCTCGTACATCGAATGCGGACGACGACAGCGAAGCTTGAAGTAGCTGATCTTGCTCGTTGATAATGGCGTGTGCGTCATCCAGCTTCTGCCGCAGTCGCTTGATCACCTCTTTGTCGCTGCGGGCCTCAGCCGATGGCAGTTCGTTGCGGATAACATGCTCGAGCTGCTTCAGCTTTTCGTCCAGAGCTGCCATGGACTCTGAGATATACTGTGGGATTCCTTCTTTTGTTGCCATATTGAACGGCGTTGGCGTGAAATCATCGATCGGGGCACTGGCCAACTTCTCCAGCTCCTCGGCATCGCCTTCCAGATTTTTCCTGCGAAAGCGCAAGGATCACACACGTTGTGAGCGCCGAAGTCCCGATAATGCTACGGCAAGATGATCAGCTTACTGAGCGAGAAAGAGCTGCACCGCTTTCTTGTACTGCGACGTCAGCGATTCCAAGTGATGCTGCAGCACATCGTAACTCTTCGCCAGCGCTTCGTTGTCAAAGAGCAACTCGGCCTTCTTCCGCTCGAGGTTGTCCATAATCTGCTTCGTCAGCTTGCTCTCCTTTGACTGGTTGGTTGTTGCCACCTGCTTCCGCTCTCGAGGCCCATTCAACGTCTTCGCTATCGCCATACCCTGGGCAACACAAGCTCTTCTGTCAACAAAAACTCCTGACACTTAAAGCATTGATATACACGTAGCCATACCCGCTTCTCCTTCGCAGCGCGTGCAACCGCATCCTGCAGACTCTTCTTCAGACGCGCGTAGTCGACATCTTTCCTCCTCAGCTGCGCCTTGTACGCCGTCTCCACACCTTGCAGTCTGCAGTCCCGACAGGAAAAACATCAGCTCAAAAGGACAAATAACTTTAACAAATGAACGCAGCAGCACTGTCCCACCTCGCGCAGTTGACCTCGAGCGCCTTCTTCTCCGTCTGCAGCGTCTTCCTCTCGCCCAGCAGCGCCTGCTCCTTGGCCTTGAACACGTTCTCCTTCTGCGCGCTGTTCTGCTTGAGCGTCTCGAGGTCCGCCGTCAGCGTCTGCACGATCTGGTTCCTCCTCTCCAGCAGCTTCTCCGTCCTGCCCAAGCTCTCGCTCAGCCGGTTCTGGTGCTCCAGCTCCCGGTCGCGCACGTAGAGCAGGTAGCTCACGAGGTCCAGCAGCTCGCGCACGCCCGTCTCCGCCTCCTGCTGCTGTTCCGACTGCTGGTTGCTGTCCGCCTGCAGCAGCGCGCAGAGCTTGCCCAGCTCCAGCGAGCAGACGCGGTCCACGTCGTCCTGCACGCGCTGCTGCTGGGCCAGGAACCGGCGCGTGCCGTTGGCGTTGCCGCTGTCGGCGGCGCTGCCGGAGAGCGCCACCACGTGCTGCAGCTGCTCGTTCAGGTATCGCTGCGTATCTTCCAGCGTCTGATTCCTCGGTAGTCGCCACGGACTTGATGCCGCAATCGCCGAAGTGGCTGCAGTTGCCGTTGACGTCATCCGCATTAAGTCGCCGAGAGCGTTGTCTGTTCTACCCGGGGTAGAGTCCGGGAACACGTCGTTCTCCTTGCGCTCGCCGTCGCTGGGAGGGTCCTCCGCGCGCGCGCGCTTCGGCCGGTGGAAGCTGGAGCTGAAGTCCATCGCGTAGCCGCTCACGAGCTCCTCGCGCGCCCTGCCGCGTCGCGCGCCGTCCATACTGCGAGCGAGCCTTCCGGGTGAACCTTTGCTGACGACGTCTGGAGACCTAAATCCAATACTGTTTAGCAGAAATTGAATTCATTTCAATTAATTTTATATCTTGTTTTGTTAAATTGTGTATGCCACACCACAGCTGTAATATGCCATGTTTCCTTCAAATCAACGTGGGGCTGCGCACGAATGGCTCCGGGCCAGTTGTGGCCATTTGCTAATTGACACCCACAGAGCAGCGATGGAGAAGGAGATGGAGGCGTTCGTGCAGCAGCACCAGGCGCAGCTGGTGGCGGCGCAAGTGCCCGAGCGACTGTGGCCCGTGGCCTACTACAAGCTCAAGTAGGGACTCCGTACAAGTAATTGCATGTGTAGTGTAGTCAGCCAGCCAGTAGCTAGATAGATAGAGGTATCAATTAGGTGACGATGCTCCAAGTTGCTGACTGAAGACTGGGTGACGACGCAGGCACGAGGTGTTTGACGCCGGCAACTACTTCTTCCTGGCTCGTGACGAGGACGGAGACCTGCACGCCGTTGTGCGCGACGACGTGGACCTCTCGCCCGTGCAGCCCGACGCCGATGAAGCGCTCTTCCTGGTGGACCACGCCTGGACCTTCGCGGCGGACAAGGCACACGAGCAGCTGGAGGCCGTGCCGCCGCTCCTGGAGCGAATGGAGAACCTCATGCAGCTCGAGGCCGGCGATCTCTCCAAGGAAGACCGCGTGGCTGCCGTGGCCGACCGCGTCTGGCGCTACACCAACACGTACCGCCTTGGCAACGTCAAGCCCGAGGACGCGTCGACGATCTGGTACGTCATGGACGAGGTCGGATCTGCCATCGAGCACGGAGACGAGCCCAACGTGCGCATGGCTCCGTTCTACTTCGGCGAGTCGCAGTGCGCGTTCTCGCTCGTGTGGACGGTGCAGCCCATTGAAGGCGGCGACTTCCTCGCTCGCGACTATTTCCCGGAGTACGCGGCGGACGCAGCAATGCACAAGGCGCTGCTGGCTGCGCTGTTCTACGAGCCTGGCAAGGCTGACAGCCCGTACCTCGAAGAGCTGCAGGAGATCGTCGCTGTGCGCAAGAACCAGTACACGCTGGAGAGCGCTCGTGCGAAGTTCCACGCCATCGTCAGCCGTGACTCGGAGACGCTCCCGGACCCGGCTACGACGGTCTCGTCCCCGCCACTCTCCACCATTGTGGCGGGCTCGGAGCAGCTTCGCGTGTGTTCCGGTGAGTGCCATACAATCGCGTGTGTGTATGTTCACCGTCTTACGTGTTGTGTATGATATGTTTCGGCCGGCAGACCTCCAGTTGGTGCACGACAACTTGACCCACCCGCGCTTTACTCTCGTGGACAACGAAGAGGAGGCGCAGGTTGTCTGGTCCACCCGACACCTCAAGGACTTCCCGAAGTACGCCAACAACGAGAACGTGCAGATCATCAACCAGTTCCCGAACGAGAAGGTCCTCACGTGCAAGGACCTGCTCTACGAAATGTGCAAGCTGTACGTTGGAATTACCGTCTACCTATTGATTTACTTGGTAGGATCCTCTAACATGTATTCGCTTTATACAGGCACAATGACGGCGTGCAGCCTGAGTGGCTCGCTGAGACGTACAACATGACGAGCGAGTTCCCCGAGCTCATTTCCGAGTTCATTAGCCGTGACCTCGCTGCTCACGCGAATGGCGATGACGACGATGAGGCCAACCACTGGATCTGCAAGCCCTGGAACATGGCGCGCTCGATCGACACGTGCATCGCGCAGAACGCGCCCCACCTCGCGCGCCTTACCGAAACGGGACCCAAGATCGCGTGCAAGTACATCCACCGCCCTCTGCTCATTGACCAGCGCAAGTTCGACATCCGTTTCCTGGTGATGGTCAAGTTGACGGAGCCCCTGGAGCTGTACCTGAGCGGCGTCTACTGGCTCCGCATCGCCAACAAGGAGTTCACCATGGACAACTTCCAGGACTTTGAGAAGCACTTCACCGTCATGAATTACACGGACTTTGCCGTGCGTATCATGGACAACGCGGAGTTTGTCGAGCGCTTCGACAACGAGTACCCGAGCGAGGACTGGTCCATGGTGTACGCCGAGATCTGCTCCTCCATCAAGAAGCTCTTCGAGTTCGCCACGGCGCAGCCTCCTCCGCTTGGCCTCGGCCGCTGCACCAAGTCCCGTGCGCTTTACGGAGTGGACGTTATGCTGGCGTGGGAAGACGACGAGGAGACTGGCGAGGAGCGTCTGCGTCCGGTGATCCTGGAGGCCAACTTCCAGCCGGACTGCACGCGCGCCTGCAAGTACTTCCCACAGTTCTACAACGACCTCATGAATGTCCTCGTGCTTGATCGCCCGGAGGACACGGTGCACGGAGCCACCCGCCTTTAATCCAATGAATGAAGTACAGCGAGATCTCTATTCGTGATCTCGAAAGCTTTTACAGCTGTAGCATGTTCAATCGATGTAGCTTATTTGTTTGAGATCGTTAAATGGCGACAAGAGATAACCAAAGCATCCAAGAGCAGATCTGCTAATGCTTGATGGGCTTCTTCTTCAGAATCTCCTCGATAGGGTTCGTTGCCGGAGCACCGTCATCGTTGTTCACGTAGGCCATGAGGTTGAACAGCAGATCCTCCTCGGGAGACTTCCCGTCGCTCGTGCCTCCGTACTCCACCGGGATGTTCTCGACTGGAATACGCTCAGACAGCGCCTCGAAGATCTTCTTCTTGCCACGAACAATGATCACCTTCTCCCGAGTGACGTCGTCCACCATGCCCTTCACGGTGTTCCAGATCACGCTGAACCAGGACGGCACGTTGACGACGAAGATGTAGGCACAGCGCTCCGGGTAGTGCTTGCCCGACACGGAGGCAGCCTTGCGGACGTACTCGACCGCCTCGCCAGCAAAGTCCGAGAAGCCGATTCCATCCACATCCAACACCGAAATGCCCTTGCGGTTGTCGTCTTGCTCGATCACCTGCCACAGGAACTCCGTGATCATGAGGTAGTTGTGCATCAGATCGTCCAGTGTAAGTCCCGCGCTCTTGAGTGCCTTCAGGTTAATCTTGCCCGGCTTCTCGTAGTACACAGGCTCGCCATTCTTGCCGCGCTTGTGGTAGTAGTGCGGGTAGTTCTCCTTGATGATCTTGAAGTGCGGGCTGGGTTCCTCAAGCAGCCGATCCACGCCTTCCTCGCGCCGCCACTCCGTTGTCTCGTTATATCGCTCCAGCGCTTTAGCCTCGTCGCCCTTTTCGGCGAGGATAAAGCGCATGGGGACGGACCCAGTAGCGTCTAATGCGGTGACCGAGTGTCCCGACGTGGAGCCACTGGCAGGCTTTGTAGCTTGAGCCGATCCTGGGCGGCTAACGCTTCCGTTGGCGTTGCTGGGTTTTGGTGCGTTGGCGTCGAAGCGGTACTCCGTCACGATGAGCTTCAACGTACCGCTGGCTGAAACATTTGAGTAATCCGTGTCGTCAATCTCGGGCTCGAAAGCTGGCGGCTGGAAGAGAGCCGAGAACGGGTGATCGACCTTCACAGCCACGTAGAAGGCTGGCAGCATCACCAACACCAGGACGACAAGTTCCCGACGCAAGCCATCCTCCATCGTGTTGAGAGCGCCCCAGAGGTGATGCGTGAGCACGGCGTAAAACAGCGCGAAAAGGGGCACGGGCACCATACGCAGCAGATCCGATACCCGGTAGAAGACGGCCATGCCGCGCTTGACCTGCGGCACCCGAGGGTGCTTTGCATTCTTTGCGGCAAGCTTCCCGATCATCTTGCGGGGCGCGACGCCAATGAGCCGCACCACCAGAACTCCTGGGCCGTTTCGCAGCGGCAGCTCAAACACCGACTCGGGCTCTTCCCCGTCAGGCCCAGGCAGTTTGGCGTGCGCCATCATCTTCTGCTGCAGCAGCGCTCCAGGCAGCACTGCCTCCGTCCCGTTGGACAGCTGGAAGAAGATCTCCGCCTGCTGAATGCCGCTCGTCTTGGCGCCCGCGGCCCCGTTGGCCCTCCTGGCCGTGCTCTCCAGCAGCCCCAGGGGCAGCGCGATCTTCTGTCCGTAGTTGTAGGGCGTGATGAGCTTGTTGAGCATCGAGATCTGCTCGATCTTGGGCTTGGCCGGCCAGATCGCGAACCGGAGCTCGGTGCCCTTGCCGTCGCAGCAAATGTATCCGCCGGCAATGTGGCTCGTGGGCTTCTTGAAGTTGCTGAGCCGCTTGTTGAACATCTGCGAGTGGCGGTTGGACTCCACCACTGTGATGGCCACGTTCGAGTCGCCGAAGCACACGGGCCCGGCCTCCGTCTCGACGCTCTCCGACATGGACACGCTGCCCGACGCGCTCAGCACGGAGGCGGACGCCGAGGCCGTGAGCTTCTCCCTGTCCTTGTCCTTGTCTTTATCCTTGTCCTTCTTGCTGCTCTTGGTCACGCCCACGCCCGCCGGCACCTTGGTGAAGCACACGAACATCTCGCCGGGCACGCCGCGTGGCCGCGGGCCCACGTAGCCCGTGATGCCGCCCGTCTTGTTGTTCCAGACCAGGCCGTGCTGGTTCACGAGCACCAGGGGCTCCCCGTACTGCACCTGGTCCCCGTGGGCGCGCTGGCCCGTCGGGTGCAGCACCAGGAACTCGTCCTCCGTGAAGTGCTGCTGCAGCTTGGGGCCCAGCGGCGGCACGCAGCTCAGGATGCCGTGGCGCCCGTTCTTCTCGTAGTAGCCGATGGCCAGCTCCGACGGGCTCGCGGCCGCCGCCTCCGCGTAGGTGGAGCGGGTGGCCAGCAGCACCTTCTGGCCGTAGCGCAGCACGTGAGCGTCGCCCATGGCCGTCGTCGTCGGCGCCGGAGACTGAGATGTCGGAATGAGGGAGCAGTAACTCGACTTTGGCCCCGACGTGGCGACGTTTTTAGGCTGGATAAGGCTGCCACGTTTCATTGGTTAAAAGAAGTGAGACTTGAAGTTGGTAAGGAGTAGTGATTGGACGAAAACTCGTAGAAGGATAGAAACGGGACAGAATCGTGCTAAGTGCGCGTACTTAGCGCCTCTGACGTGCTCGTGCTCGTGACGTTGTTGCTGCTTGGTGCCGTCGACGAACTCGTGACCCCAAGGGAAGGCACGAATGTATCTGTGCGACCGAATTGACGGGAGCAATGAAGCTCGGCAGTTTATTGGCACGTGTCTCTAGAAGGAGAACTCAGCCGACTTCTTCCTGGCAGGCTCAGGCTCGGCGGCGAAAGTGCCTTTACTCTTCTGCTGCTTGTCTGCCGCTGCCTGTTCCTGCTCTTCGTCCTCTTCGTCGTCATCGATGTCCTCGTCTTCGTCGTACGTGGCGCGAGAACGGCCGGCGCTGCTGTTGTCGTTGTCGCCGTCCTCTTCCTCCTGCAAGTCCAGGTCCTCTTCATCCTCGTCTTCTGCGCTCTTGTCAGCCTCTGCACCCGCTGAGAGCTTCTCGACGTTGGATGCCGCCGCGTTCCGCTCTTGGATAAGCGATCGTTCGAACGCCAGCTCCTCGTCCTCTTCTTCTTCTTCCTCCGCAGCAGCTTCCGCCCTTTTCCTAGCCGACGCCGCGCCTGCGGTGGATTTTTGCTTGCTGCTGGACGAACGCCTAGCGCCAGCAAGCTCCTCGGCGTAATCGCTGAGTGCCTGCTTCTTGAGTGCATCGAGTCGCTTGCGCCTTGTCTCGAGCTCGGCCTTGGAGCGGCCAACCATCGCCGCGATGCGTAACCGGATGATCTCGCGCAGCGGCAGGAACATCTGAGTCGGATACCACCCACCCAGCAGCGACGGCGTGGTCTGCCTTGTGAACTGAGCCGTCCACTCCCGCACCTCCTCATCGTCGATCTCCTCGAGCTGGAAGAGTACGTTAGCGCTCGTCAACTGCACGCCGAAGATTTCAAACACCTTCTCGCCGCTTCCCCCTGTGGATTGAGCCGTAGTCGAATCACTGGTAGCTCCATTCGCATTATCTGCGCTGTCACCACTCACGTGAGCATCTTCGTTTTCTCTCTCCTCCTGCTCGTCTTCAGAGTCCCATTCATTCCCTGAATTCGCCGATGATGCGGTGGGGCTTGCTCGAGGGGGCTGCGAGCCTGATGCCGGCGTTGCAGACGGATTGCCCGGCATATTGGGCTCCACAAGATACGAGCGCCGCGTTTCACCCCGAGTAAACCGCTCCTTCCGACGACGCTTACTCGCTTGAGCGTTCTCGAGAGCTGACGTCTGTGTCACCTTGACAATCCTCGGCCCCTTGACAGGTCCACCTTCTCCATTCGCATTGCCTGAGCTGGCGCCTACAAATTTCTTGATACGCTTCCTGCTGGCATGCGTCACCTTCGAATGCACAAGTTCGCGATTATTTCGCAGTTCCACGACTTGGTATTGCGAGGCGGTCTCTGATACTTCAGGTAATCGCGGGTCGTAGCCCATTTTGATCCACGAACCTCGCCATGGACCATCGACAAACACGTAGCAAAGTTTGCGCAGCAGTCGCCTTGCTGCTCGGCGCTCAATTGCGTCCAGCCCGTCGAACAGCTTGGACCGAAGCCACACTGGCTTCTGCTTCAGCTTGTTCTGCAAGACTTCCATGACGTGAGCATCAACACCGTTATCATCCACTCCAACCGATCTTCGTCGCACTACAGGCTGCTCAGGCTTCGGTCCGGCGGGGGCTGGAGTATCATCATGGAAGTTCAGATACGTCATGGTACTCGACGGTTTCTTCGCTGCTGTCGTGGGCTGGTAGCCCGATCTCTGCCGGAACTCGTACTTCAGCGGCAAGTCCACCTTGGAGAACACCTCGGGAATCAGCTCCAACTGCGTTTCATTCTCCACCGCCAGATACGGCCGCAAGCAGTCTTGCAGTTCTCTCTGTTTCACGGACGGTCTCGACAACGGACCGTTCTCCACCACTGCACTATTCATCACCGCCGTCTCCACTGCGTCCGTCGCATTCGCCACCACCGTAAGCGCATCTTTCTCGGGCTTCAACGTCGGGTAGAACGACCGAGACGTGAAGTACTGGAAGTCGGCCATGCCTTCGCACACATACTTCTCCTTGACGAGCCCCACCACCTCTGCCTTAATCCTCGAACCATCGGCTGCAATTGCCTCCGTCTCGTCATTGTTCTCCTCCTTCTTCTCCTCAGCCACTGTTGCTGCCCGCTTCCTCTTACTGCGCTTCACCCTCAGCAGCACCATCTGCGTCTTCGTCAGGTCAGCGAACAGCGGCTTGCATGACGGCTCGTTGGGCCGCAGCTTCACTGGCAGAAATTGGCTCTTGGTCTCGTGCGTCTGCTGCAGATTCTGCAGCCCGTTCACCGTCTCCAGCACTTTGTTCATGTCGGAGCCGTAGACCGGCAGCTCCAGCCCCACTAGCGGCCGAACGCCTTCGCCGCGCAGATTGAGCTCATGGCTGATGGTGCCTGGACGTCTTGGCTCTATGGGGGTCGAAGCGGGGTGGCTGGCGCGCTCTGTGGGCGTTGGATCAGGCGCCGGAGAAGTGTCCACAGCGGGCTGCTCGTCCGCCATAGCTTTTGGCGGTTGAAAAATAACCTTTTGCGGTTTTCAATTAAATTTTGTAATATTTTGCTTAGAATTGTATTTTTATGATAAAAGCACGTAAATAAAAAATCGTAAATAAAATAACACACGCATAAATAACACGTAAATAAATTATATACGTACACATGTGGTACACACGGTATTACGACTATCGAAACACACTAGCTATGGGAAATCGCCACTAAGTACACTACGAAGCCTTGGTTGAACACGCTGCAGCTCGACGACCGGCGAAGGAAACGGATCCGCTTCCGGTGCGACGAGTTAAACAGCTGGGAGGATGCCGACGGCCGCGCCTAAAAGTCCTGGAACTCGTCCGCCCGAGTGACTGGACAAGGGCAGTCGTCGCGTCGAAGGCGCTTGACAAGGTCGCCCGATTGCAGCATGAGGGAGACCACGGGCGCGTTCGTGAAGTCGTCGTCGAAGTTGTCGGTGCAATCGCAGCCGCGGCAAACTGGCACGATGGGTGGGGTCACCTGGCGCTGCATCAGCTCGTCCCAGTTCAGCGACATCTTGAAGAATGGGTGCTCCATAGCCTGCGCGGCAGTGAGACGGCTCGCGGGGTTGACGCACAGCAAGCCCTTGAGCAGCGACAACGCGTGACCCGAAAGATAGGGCGGGTACCAGACGCGTCCCTGCTGGATTATCCGGAAAAGGCGCTGCATGTCGTCGCATTGGAACGGGGGCGTGCCGGTGAGGAGCTCGAAGATGAAGCAGCCAAAGGACCACATGTCCGTCTCCATGCCATGACCGGCCTTCTTGACCATCTCGGGCGACAGGTACTCGGGGGAGCCGCAGAAGGAGTAGGTGCGTTGTCCCGGACTCATGTCCTGCTTGGCGAAGCCGAAGTCGGCAAGTTTCACGTGACCTTGAGCGTCCAGCAGCACGTTTTCGGGCTTGAGGTCGCGGTACACTACGCCGTTGGCGTGCAGCTCGCTGAGCGCCGCCAGCACCTCGGCTGCATAGAACCGGGTGGTGTTCTCATTGAACTTCTGGGAGAATTGCTGCTGCAGGTGGAAGAAGAGCTCGCCGCCCTGGCAGTACTCGAGCACAAAGTTAAGGTCGCGGTCGGTCTGGAAGGCCGTGTAGAGCTTGACGATGAACGGGTGGCCACCAAGTTTCTCCAGCACCTTCTTCTCCGTGAGCGTGTGCACCACCTGCTTGCGCTGCAGCAGCTTGCTCTTGTCCAGCGTCTTGACCACGTACATGCTCTGGGTTTCGCTGTGTCTGGCCAGCGCCACTTGACGCGCGAAGGTGCCGCGGCCAATGACCTTGAGCAGCTTGAGGTCGTGCGGGTCGATGGCGGCGACGGCTTCGCTCTTGGGGCTTACAGAGCCGCTAACGACTGTGGGGCGGGCGTTTGATTGCTTGGGGGTCTGCAGGTCGTCAGCAGATACCTCGGGCACCTCGTCCAGCAGCCGAGTGGGGGACAGCGGGCGCTTCTTGGTGCCGGCGAATGGCTCGGTCGTCTGCACGGTCAGCTCGGCGCCGGGGAGCGACGCGGGGGGCAGCACCGCCGCCATGGTGCACTGGTTAGGAGGAAATTGTGACGGGGCGAGCTCGCGGCCGCTTGTATTGTCTCCGCTCTCTTCAGCTTCAGCTCGGCTTGCGCTCTGCTGGTCCGAAGCTGTTGTGCTGTGGGCAAATTCATGTGGCGCTTGACTGTCTATTGAGCCCCAGCTCTTTCTATGGAGTGCGAACCCACACGTCTTTCCCGCGGTACCTACGGTTTCGATCACCATTGGCTGCGAGAAGGTTTACTCAAGCCAAGTGTGTCAGATTCTCTTTTTTTGGACATTTGAAGCAGCCAATGGAAGTGCGAGGATAGCGCGCGAGCTAGCACGAGTGGTCGAAAATACGCGCTCTATGCAGCGGAAGGGCCATACTGGAGACAAGACGTTTGCGAATACCGGTGCTCTGGGTCTACCATTGGTGGAAAATGCGTGACAGGCGCGAGCGAAACGTCACGTTGAAGTTGTCGTCTGTGTGGCAAACACCAGCACTGCCAGCCAGCCGATGATCGGTGCAGACCAGCCCTCTGCTGCGAGCGACGCGAGGCCACTGGTTACCTCCGGCGTAGCCTACGTCGCGTAGGCTAGGAGAACATCCAAAGCTTTCTTTCCTGCTTTTGGTTTCTGCCACTGACGAGCGGTCGTGGCGTGTGGTGGATCTCCGCACCGTTTCTCCGATGCGCTTCAACGTGAAACGGCCAACGGATCGATGCATCCGTCAACTCCGGCAATACATGTACAAATCGCATGGGGTGAGTTGCAGGTGTATTGCAGGTGTATTGGTGCCTTAGGTAGCCGCTGTCGGCCACAAACTACAGCCCGACGACGTTGCCGTTGCTGGCCCAGCTCTTGACCGAGATGTCCTCAAGGTAGATGCTCACGCGCGCGGGCGGCACCTGGAGCTGCTCGGCCACGGTCTCCGTCAGCGCCGCCACCGTCTTCGGGTTGCGCTCGTCCTCGAGTCGACCAATGCTGCGCAGGTGTACGAGCGCCATGGGCTGTCGCGATGGGTAAGCAGAGCCATTAGAACAAACCCCAAAAAACGACCCGTGCCGAGGTATCAAGGCTGCAAACTCACCGCTTGACTCTTCTGGACCGACATCAACAGTCCCAGCTGCAGTTGCACGAGCACGTGCGGAGCGGGGCGGCCGACACGGTCTTGGTGATGGCGGCGATCGCAGCATTGGCGTCCACGTTACCACTCGCCACGTTACTGGAGATGACCATGCACGGCATGGCAACTAGGTCGGTCGATGAAGGGAAGGACGGAGAGTTTACTTGATGCTGCAGATTGAAAAGTGAACTCGACACCTCCAAGCTCCATGAAAGTCACGGCGTTTACGTATGGCCGAATGTGCTTGCGCAGCTTGACGCCAATGTTCACGAGTAGCGGTCCTACACACGTATTCAACCAAAGCAACGCTTCTGCACCTTCACCAGGAGAAGCACCTTGTACATGTACACGTAATGTCCAGGCAAGAGCATTACGTCCACCACTGTCCTCAAAGTCAATGGTCACTCAAATTGACATGGGATCTACGTCAGATCCATACATTATCTATCTACGGGACACCTCACCCAATATACGGTCTTTCACAATAACCTTGAAGGAAAATCCTCGCCATACTCAGTTTCAGTCAAGAATTCGTCGCCCTTGCAGCATGCTGGCCCGCTCGACGTCCCGCCCGCTGAGCGCGCGCAAGGGCCTGCGCAACGACCTGGGCTCCAACAACTGCTTCCTCAACGTGATCATCCAGAGCCTGTGGCACGTGCGCAGCTGCCGCGTGCTCATTTCCATGGGCGACCACGCCGTGCACCACCGCTGCGGCGGGAAGCCCACGAACGCCGGCGCGCTCGCGGCCGCGCCGTGCCTGCTCTGCGAGCTGGAGCAGATTTTCGTCATGTACCAGTTCGCGGAGCAGCCGGTGCTGGACGTGGACCGCGTGCGCCTGGCGCTGGGCGACACGTTCGCGCTGGGCGCCATGAACGACGCCACGGAGACGCTCGAGGCCATTCTGGACGCGCTGCACTACGACACGTTCAACCGCATGCTGCAGCTGCGGCGGCGCGGCTCAGGGACGGCTATTGGCGGCATCCACAAGGTGGAGGAGATGTCCGAGTCGCTGCGGCAGGACGCGTCCGCCATCATCTGCGAGCCGCAGTGCGTGGCGCACCGCCTCTTCCAGATGAACCTCATGGAGCTCAAGGTCTGCGCGTCCTGCGGCCACACGGCCGAGCCGGTCATGAACACGGACTTCCTGTATCGAGTGTACGCCCAGGAGCTGCTCAACAGTGCGCGCGCGGGGGCGGAGAAGAGCACCTTGACGCTGGAGGAGGTGCTGAGGCTGGAGGCGCAGTCGCAGGACGTGGCCGGGACCTGCGACTCCTGTGAGCAGGGAGGACAGCGAGCTCTGAGTCGGTGGATCTTGACGCTGCCCATGGTCTTCTCCATCAGCATTATCTGGTCCAGCAGCCACGTGGACAAGACGGACATCAAGGACTGGATGGAGCTCTTGTCCTCGCAGAGTCAGGCCGTAACCGATGAGAAGGAGTCGCAGCAGGCGCTGGATCTGGGACGGATCTTCCGTCTGGACAATTCGGCCGAGGTGTCGTCAGTGTACTCGTTCCGGGGGATGGTGTGCTACTACGGACGGCACTATGTGGGGTTCTTCGCCAGTCGGAGTCTGGACGAGGATGGCGTGGAACGTGAAAGGTGGTTTCTGTTCGATGACACGCGTGTGAAGCTTGTCGGGGCCTGGGCGGATGTTCGACTGCGTATCGAGCGAGGAGGTTACCAGCCCACGCTGCTGTTCTACGAGCGCAACGGAATTAAACATGAAAATCTCGAGAAGATTGCCACGGAAATTCACAAGTGGTGGGAGGCAACAGCGGAGGACCCGGACGACGGCAAGAAAGACGAGGTGATCGAGAAGAAACCCGCGGAAAACGGGGTTAAGAAGGGCTTTGGAGCACCGCACGAAGTGGAACTTGGTGGCGGACTGGAGGACGAACTGCTAGCGAAGATGGAGCGAAGCGTTCGCATCACGCAGGAAAACCCGTTGCCTCCGTTGATCCCGACTGCCCCCAAGAAGATACCGACAAGTCCGATCTCGTTGCCCCCGCGACCGCCTCAGTCCATGCCAGCTCGAAACGGATCGCACGAGAGAAAAGGTTGGCGCGACGAGGAGGATATCCATCTGCACATGGCGCATCAAACGGCGCAAGACACGCTATCGCGACTCAATGGCATTTTGTCCAAGGACAAGGCTCCTGTCAGTGCCCCTGTGGATGGTCGAGCTGTACTACGACTGGCGATGTCTCAGTCAATGCGCCGCTCCGTTCGGCTACGTGACTACTCTGTTCACCGTCCTGCTGAAAAGCAACTCGATGTAAATCCCGACAAGATTTTTGAAGACGAATCGCCAACGATTGAGGAAGAGCAGAGTTCTGCCACAACTGGAACCTTGCCAAAATCTGATGAAGAGCCAGCAGCAGAAGCTTCTCAAGCTCCGCTGAAGGTGTATGATGTGCGCCTCAATGCATCGGATGGAGGCATCGGCTTACAACTGGAGGAAAAGGCAAGTAATAACTCGTCGGCGTCGACAGAAGAAACAAGGAAAATATTCACGGTTTCTGGATTCGAGGTGAACGGTGCGGGGGCCAAACTGCCAGCTGAAGCTAGTGGTGCGATCCGTGTGGGCGACGTTCTCGTGGGGATCAACGGCCACATCCTTGAGAACGAGGAGCTGGTGCATGTGCTGGAAATGCTGCTGATGTCGCCTAATCCGGTACAGCTAAAGTTCCATCGTTTCCAGTCGTGGGCGTGTCCTCGCTGCACGCTAATTAACAAATCGGAAGACTCCTCGTGTGCAGTTTGTGGCCACGCACCTGCACTGTAGAGCTCATAGCGATGCTATTGAACAAATGCTTCTCGACTTGATATCGCATCGAAAACTAAACGTGGCAATAGAAGCCAAATGCAACACTAAGTATGTTATATTTTCTTTGCAAGCTTTGTTGGCACATAGTGACCTACTTGTCGAACGAATATGAAAACTCTTCTCGGCTTATGGAAGAGCGGATACAGTGGTCTCATCACGGCTGCGATATTCTACTACGGATTATTGTGGCTTTCATCCGTTTTGGCAAATCGGGTGGTCCAAGATCCGATATATCGGGCCCGATTTGCTGGAGGGCTCCAATTTAGCAGGAGGGGCTGAGGGAAGCAAAGTATATCTGGCCCGATTTGCGTCTGGGGGCTGCGAGGGGCCGCTTTTCGCCGGCAAAAGGGACCGCCGCGAAAACATGTCTGGGGCCCTCTCATATCGGCGTGGCACGAAGTTGTAGCGGCCGTAGATGATCACACAGGTGATTTAGCTGGCCATAGTGCTATGAAGTGGCTATATACAGTGTACTATTGTCCCCAATGTCTTGCAGTTCTAATGCGTCATGAGAGGTGGGGAGAGGTATGGCCAACTTGGAATGCCTCCCCTTTGAGCCTTATGCTATTAACTCAGGTCAGATATAGCTAAATTGGACTAACCGATCATGTAGGAGCTCCATTTTATATAAATCGGACTCCGAGATAACACTCAAATCGGGCGGCAAAATAGTTGAAAACCACAATATATCCGAGCTTGCCAACAAAAATAGTGTGTCGAACTTTAAATATGAATTGAAGGTGCATTGATTCTCACTTTCTACAGTATTCAAAATTGGCTACTTCGAGACAATCGTTGTTCCTTGATGAGCCAACGCATCATCGAACAGCAGATTCTCGATTTCATGCTTTCTCAGAGCCACCTTGGAGTCCCATCCTTTGATGGCCAGCTCCATGATTCCTGGTGCTCGAAATGCCTTGGCTGCTTCACTCCCTTCGTCAGACTGGAATACAGCCAGATAAGTTTCGATTATGGCCGTCTCCTGACCCGAAGCCAACCGCGCGCCACTCCTGACAACGACGCTCATTTCCTCCCGGTACTTCAAACCTCCGAAGAAGCCGATCTTCTTCCCAGCCGGCCTCGACGTCATTTGACTGACGATCACGGTGCGATTTTCTTCGACGAACTTTCGCGCCGCCCCGTGTTCGTGGATGTATGCCACCGTACCTCCTAAGCTGCATACGAAGTGGATATAACTTGTAGCTGTATCTTCGCTTTGGTAATAGTCCTGTGAGTTTTGTACACACGAAATTGTTAGTGAGTTCATTGATTTTATTTTCCGACCAGAGTGTCATTCTTACCTCCGCGTAGACGTGGTCAGCTTCAGGAACTTTTCGATGTCCCAAGCATCTCCAGTTGCTGTTTGCTGTACGCTGAACGGAACCATATTGTTGTCGAGAAACTCAGCGAAGACACCGCTTGTAGCACCTTGGAGTGTCTGGCACACTCAGCCAGGGCACGGGACTTCGTCCATGCCCTTCTCCCGAAAGATCCGACCAACCGAAGCGTACTGCGTATCGCTGTGGCTCAGAAGATTTGCGAAAACTTGCGAGTTGTCGGCCAGTTCGTGGACGTGTTTCGGACGCCTCAGCAATAGTTTGTTGCCCATGAGCTGTCAATGCTCATGCCGAGAAATGACTCTCACATGAAAGCAAACACAAAATTAAGTACACCATAAACCGGATTAAGCCATTCTTATGGCATGGCTGTAAACTTACTTACCTCCTCGTCAATTCGCCGCCTGAACATGCGCTTGAAATTCTTGATCTCGCGCAGCTGAAGCGACTTGATTTGAAGTAGGGCCGCGTTGTCGTTCTCTGATTTCAGGCGTAGCATTTTCTGTCGGGAGGCGACACATTGCCATGGAGACTGCCTGCTCACAGATGTGATCGTCGAGCTGGCCGGAGACGGGGACGATTTTAGCTCCTGAATCTGCTGCGTCAGCATCGCGACCAATTCACGCAGGTCGTTCATCTGCTCCTTGCGGGTCTTTCGCTTCGTATGGACTCTGAATGATCGATGCAAGCTGCACGTATTGCGCCCACTGGCGACTGTCAACCCGATGGGAGTGTCCTTCACTGGAGAAGAGCTTGGACTCTGGACCGGGGTCAGCGAAGCTAGCTCCAGGTTCGTAGCGAGGTCCAACTGGCCGGCCCCACTAAAGTCAGGACTGTCTCGTTGGTGACGTTGGCCAGTCTGCCTCGACGTCAAGTTCGTCCAAGAACTCGACGAGGTCAAGCGGGTACAGATCCATCGTCAGAACTTTGCTGGAATCGAGGCACTAGCTGCACCTCACTGTGAGTTATTTGTACTTGTGGTACGTTGGCCGTTGGTAGAGAGTGGAAAATTCACAAGTGAGCGATTCATCACAGTGATCTTGAGTGGTGTGGTGAGTGAGTGAGGTAAGCCCCTCCCACGCGAATAAAAGCACATGCCGTACCACCGATTACCACCACGCAGTGGACCACTTCCTTGAAGTGATCAACAATGCAACGGGGTCTGGGAATCAACAATGCAGGTATCTCACTTGTTACGCGTGAGTCACACATACATAGCCTGCACGGCGCAGACTGCACTCCGCCCACAATACCGCAGGACGGTCGACCAGAGTCATACTCATTACTGTAGCGGCTATAGTAAAAACGAACTTGCGAACTACTGAGCGTCAGTAGATAAACGCAGGCTTAGGAGTTTCAATAACTTTGTCCTTGCTGCTGGCGCTCTGCGTTGTACTGCATGCAGTAGCCATTGCTGCTATTGATCTTGGATGTCTAGAATTCTGGTACCGGTACTTGTAGCCCGTAATACTACCCTTCACATTTCATGGGAAAAGCATTCCGTCCCAACCCCAGCAGGCAAAACACGAGGGTACCGTAGAAGCAGTTGAGCCTGTACCGGTAGCAGCTTTACAGTGCTCAGTTCTACGTTGACCCTGTCAAGGGCGAAAACCAGCACCCGATGCAGTGTTCTGCGTGGTCTTCAACTCACTACAACCTGAAGAGCAGAGGAAGCACAACAAAAACAGAAGAATGGCAACTGTGAGAAGACTCTGCTATTTGCTGCAAAGCTATTATATCAGCATTTTGCCTTGGTTGATGGACTCATCTAACAGCAAGTTCTCGATCTCTTGGTTGTTGAAGGAAACTTTGCGGCCCCATCCCTTAGCTGCTATATCCACGTAAGCAGGCAACTGATGCTGCACAGCAGACTGGTCGCCTTTGGCACACCTTGACACGGAAATGAGACTCTCAATGATAGTAGTCTCCTGCCCCGACGCCATAGCATCGCCGCGCCTCACGACGACCTGCATCGTCTCAATAAAGCGCAGCCCCACCGACCAGGATGTGCAGGTCGTAGGCTCTGCGAGAGTTCGGCTGATGAATACCGTGCGGTTTTCTTCAGCGTACTTCCGAGTCACACGTCGCTCTGACACATACGAGGTTAAACCGTTTTCGTAGTACGTGAAACCAACAGAACTCTTGCTGGCGCAGCCCGACTGCTTCTTCAACTCCTGATGCACAATAAACACAGATGCATCGCATGCCATTACCATAGTTCAGTACAGGATCGACTATCGTTAGACAAACACACACAACAAGTTACCGATGTGCAGACGTGTTGTCCTGGCTGCCTTTCACGAACTCTCGAGCTCTGCAGGAACGCCCACACGGCGTTTTCTGCGCGTTGTAAGTCGAACGGAACTCGGTTCTTGTCTAGGAATTCAACGAATTCCTCCCTATCCGCAGCGTTGGGGTACACTTGGCGCTCTCGACCTGGACACGGAACTCTCGCCATGTTCTTCTCCGCGAACACTCTATCCAGATTTGCGCACAGCTCGTCAAGTTCTTGCAATAGTTCGTCGAAAATTTCTTCGTTGTTGCTGATCTTCGGGCGCTTAGACAGGTGGATCTCGCCAAGTAGCTACAGGTGCAGATTAAGAAGAACATTGTTAGGGCGGATAGGAACCTCCAATACAATACACGCAGGATCGGCTGCATCTTACCTCTTCGTCGCGACGTCGGCGGATCATGCGTCGGAAGTTACGGGCCTGTTGTCTTTGCTGGTCAAGCAATCCTCGCAACTTGGCATTCTCTTCCTCCGCGCTCTGTCGAAGCTGCAACTGGCGGGCAGCAATATCCTCCCAGATCGACTGCGGCTTGAAGAGAAGCGACGCCACATGCTGGCTTGCGTAACATGATTCTGGTGACGACGGGTCACCAACCGCAAGAGAATTCGGCGAAGCCAACACCCGAATCTCGTCTAATTGTTGGGTGAGCTCTGCTACGGTCCTTGGATCTTCTGCTTGCGTGAAACCCGCCCTTTGCGCTGTCGTACAGCAGGAGAACCCGACACTCTCTTCTGCGGTGCGCTTAGCGTCGCTGGATTGGTCAGAGGCGTATCGAGAAGGTCATATCCCGCGAGCAGCTCGTCAAGCTCAGCGTGGCTGAAGCCGTCGTTGCCAAAATTGTCAGCCTCGAACAGGTTAGTGTTGGCGACATTTGGGGCGTCTTCTTCATCCCTAGAGCTGCCTCGACCCTCGTACACGAGATCAGGAATTTCAAGCGAGTGAACGCGCTTCAAGAACGGCTTGGCACGACGATGCACGTCATAGTTAGCTCCGGAAGCCTCTAATCCGTACGTACTTGGCGATGCCTCTTGGCGGTTCTGGCTGGACGAGGGGGAAATCAGCATGCTGTCTTCAGCTTCATTTAATTCCTCCATGGTCGGCTATGGTACTGAAGGCCAATACGGATTTGAGACGTCTAGTCACCGACAGTGTTGGTGCTGGTGATAGCCTATCGTGTACCTATCACTGATAGGTACACGATTGCTACATGTACTCCAAAGTGGCCCATGACAGCAGCGTAATCAACTCGATTTTCCTACTTGTAATTTATTGTATGCCTATTAGCAGCCAATTACAGCATTTGTATTTATTTGTGCCAATCATAGGGAGGCCACGGAAGAGTTTCGGCCAATAGATTTCGATAGGGTTAGGGAAGCCCAATATCCGATCGGAGGGACTTGCAAAATATGTGAATGTCAATTCAAATTCTTAGATAAACTCGTATCACACGCCTTATCGGACCTGTACCATAATTGAGGTACATATGCAGTATTTGAAACTGAAAATGGCCATCTCGACGTCGTGATGTAGCAATGTATGAGCGTGCATGGTGTGTATAATAGACCACCGGCTAAAAACGTGAAATATTCGCGAGTTATTATTGTGCAATTTAGATACCAGTGCTATTTCCTGGACGATTCTGGCTGGTACGAACCCGTTAGTTAATCTGTTATCTCGACGTAATTAGTCTAAGAAGTGATATTTTCGACTCTAACTCGGTCTTTTCAGTGGAACTGATGTGCAGCAGCACATGTCAGAAAAATTGAATAAATACGAATGATTTCGCATTATCTCCGTCTGAACTCAGTGATACACATTCTGGTCCAAAAATACACTAGTTTCATTCAATGTTAATACGGCCACTCGATATATTCGATCCTGGAGCCTAGTCGGCAAGTTGTAGACGTTCTGGATGAGTTTTTTTATTAGAACCCTAGCATTTGATAGCGTCGCGCATGCTCTCGACGTCCAGAAGAAGTAGCGCTTCCATTTGCAAAATGAACGGGTAGGTCTGATGAATATACTTGCATTTTATAAAGTTACCCTAACCCTGATTAGGCCGCTGTTGCCCTGGTGAATGTGAGGAAATTGAAGCTGCTTCCGGTTTACTTGGGTTTTGTATACATCTTAAGTCAGAAGCAACTTCCGCCTCTAGAAACAACAAAATATGCAAAATCCGATTGCATGACTAATCATCGCGCAGTATCTTCGGAGTATTAACCAGTCATAACGTCCACTTTAGTATCAATTTTGCAAGAATATTTGATAAAACTAAAGACGACGGTAATTATCTTTAGGAGACTTCTGAGGACTTGAAGATAAGGTAACAAGACTAAAAATACTAGGTTTTCTAACATGACCTTAAATACTACGACAAGACATTAAATACTCAACAAGACTGAAAATACTACGACAAGACCAACATTACTTGCATTAATCTCTAAGGTACGCGTGCCTAGACTTCACAAGACGACGTTTACGGTCGAGGCGGATGTATCGGACCAGTGTGTCAATCGTGAGTACATTGACGTCTGAGCTGGCAACGTTCTGTAGCCAATTATCGGTGTAATATGCTGCATAGCCTGAAAGTGAAATGTCACAGAGATTCCGCGGGTTTTGAATCCTCTTTTGGAGAGCAAAGGCCTTCACGTCTTCCGCAATCAGTTTAGCGACGCTTAGTCTGCTAGGCAAGGCTCCACTCTTCTTCTTGTCTTGGGCCGTCCACTCACTAGCTGGCTTGAAAAGGTGGCGGCTCGGATCAGCGTTCCAATACATTCGGTACATGTCTTTCCAGTCCTTGGTTGGTGGGAGGATCGACACCTGCTCCATGTGACTTTCGCTGCTATTGGCACTTGATGGAACTGGTACTGACTGCTGGGACGGTTGCAAGACGGATACCAGCAAGTCAATCTTGTCGTGGAGCGCTTTGACGGAGTTCTCAACAATTTTCAGCCGCTTTTCGATGGCACCGGCCGATGGAGGCTGTCGGACAGGAATCGTTAGGTTACGCTTCCGACCTGAGTACGTGGTAGGACAGCCCGAGTGCGCTTGGCGATCCGGCGCTAAGCAGTCCGCTAATTGTTTGTCTTCGTCATTAGCCGCTTGGTCCAGTAGATAGCGCACAAGCGTCTCGGCCGACTCATTTGGGGTCCATCCCGCCCACCACTTCACCATGCGCAGTGACCACCGACGCTCGGGAACAGCAAACATGAACATGTATTGCGCACCAGCTCGACGAAACGTGTGAGATGTGAACCAGATATCACGCCACTCCTGCTTGACGTAGCCACGCGTCGATTTCCCGTTTCGATTCAGATCCGGGCACAACGCAGTTGAGAAGGGTGATGAATGCCTGCTCAGACATCTTCTTGCCCCATTCTACACGCGCATTTTCACAACCGGTGGATGCAGTGTCGGACTTCAGCACACTTTTAGCCACTTTTGACAGCGCCGGAAAGACGTAGTCACCGTCGCTCCAGCTGTGATCAGTCTTCCCTTGCACGTAGGAAAGCCATGCTGTCAAATGCGTCAATGCGTCCATGGGGTTCTCGCTATCGTCCAAACGATGCAGGTTTTAGCAGCGTCCTTCGGCAACCTCAGTCTTTCTTCCTTCAAGCTTGTAAACTCCAAATGTAATGGAAACACTCGGGTCCGTTGTACTGGGTCGTGTCATTCCTAACGTGAGATTCTTCCACTGAAGACTGAGCACCTCATTGATCCGGCTCATCAGGCGACTGACTTCCGAGAATCCTTTCGCATTTGCCAGGTGGCAGTGTAGTACCCGGAGCATGTTCAATGAAATTGGGGTAGCTTGGCTGTAATGGGCCTACTTTGGCCCACTACTTTAGCTTACACGTGTGCGCGTGTATGTGAGGAAGCGTACCTTAGTTTAAATTAGAGTTAATTATACTCGGGCCTCCGAGTATAGATTAATCTAAATATACGATCGAAATAATGTTTTTGGGTTAAAATGAGAACTGCTATTTTTGTTTTATGTTTCTGACTTCCTCTAAATGTAATATTCTAAGATAGGAATCTGCCAACCAGCCGTTGGCAGAATTCCAATGCTATGCATGTCGCTCATTGGCTAAGAGATGCTGCTCTCAGCCAATAGGAACCCTAAGTCTCTATGGACCACCCTCGTAAATGTATGTAGCCTTTGGTGTGTCTACACCAAGGTCGAGAAAGTCTTTCGAACCTCTAACAGACGTCGTGTCTGTTAGAGTTACAAGTGACTGTAGCCACTTGTGCGTGTAACCCTGTTGCATTGGCGCTGCGAAAACTCCGTGCTCTTCCGCTTCTTTAACCCTCGCATGAACAAAAGCATCTTTGGCAGGGTTGCCCAACCCGTACTTGTTGCCGTTGGCGTCCGTGGCTACCATCCACTTGTCAGGTCCTGCGGCGTCTCGACGTTCGTAACTTCCATAGTAATTGGCGACCGCTGCCCGAATCTTCTCCGCCGTTTGGTTAGACACAGCTGCAGACGCAGACACACTTTCCATGAACGCAGCCAAAAGAGACGGAAGCTCATGGTGGCGCACAGCCACAGGGTCGGGGTATTCATTCGCGATGCAGAACTCACAAAACTTCTTGAAGTACGACGCGTAAACATCTCTTGTCTCCTTCTTAATTACGTGCGTGGCTGTAGCAATTCCGCCTTGCAACAGTTCTTGAAACGAGGTTGTATGCGATGCCATGCTGAGAGTGACGGAGTGCTTCGTGTCCAGCCAAATGGATTGTGAACGTCGGAGCCACTCATTTAACCCCTAGTACTTTGAGTCTTGTTTATTACTTTTAGTCTTGTCGTAGTACTTTGGGTCTCGTTAAAAGTGGGACATGTATTCCAATAGACCTATACATTGTGTTTAGGCATCTTCGCTATCCGAATCAGACCCAAATGTCTCCCTTAACCGTCTCTCGTTCGCCAGCTGGTCTTCCTTGGCCTTCATCTTGACCTCGTATGCGTTATCCTTCTCGATGAATCCAGCCTTGTAAACTGCCTCAAACTCAGCTAGGGTCGCACAAGCTTTACCTTCTCCAAATTGGTCGATCTCCTCCTGGATTGGCGCTTCAAGTGCAATGTTTTTGTTGCGTACCTTCTCGCACAGCTTCATCCACTTCGCGATTTTCTCTTGATCTGCAAGTGAATCCGGTACTTTTGAAGGCGAGCACGCTCGCCGAATATGGTGTTCGTACTTGCTTCAAGCATTTTCGTCTTGTAAAGACTGAACACTTTGCATGTTTTTTCAAGCGCGCTCAGGCCAGGCTGTACTTGAAACTCCTGAGGCACCCAATGGCGCTTGTCAGGGTGGAGTAGTAGATAGGTCTTGTTAAACCATGCCTTTGACAGCAAGTCGACGGTCTCCATCTAAATGAACTCGTGTCAGTACCAATTCATCACTATGAACAATGTCTGTTGTCTACCTGGGAGAAAATGCACTCGAACAAATCCGCATTGCGGCTTAATTCCCCGAGGGGGTGCTTAATTAGCCCCACTGGCTCGGGTTTAAGTGGGAGAGGCACCCTCTCCACCTCGCTGAGCTGCTGCCGAAACGCTTCGTATACAATGGTAAGCTTGGGTCCTCCTTATTAAATTAAAGAATCTTACGGTACCCTCAAGCCGTTGAAATGACTCGGACGCGCGCCGGCTGCGCTGGTCTCCTACGCGCTTGGCGCGGTGCTTGACCTATGAGCGCTTGCGAATCTCGCGCCGGGTGTCGCGCACCTTAATTCCCTTGCATTTCTTTGCGTGCTTGGAAAAGTTCGTGCGCGATATCCCGTTGCCACACTTCTCGCACAGCTTCTTCGCCGCGCTGCCGTGCGGAGCCCTGACCATTTCGGGTTATGATGCAGCGACCAATCGTCGTATGCTTACTGGTTAATACTATTTTTGGACTGATTCGATTTTGATTGGCTGAAATATTTTTGCATGGGATTGTTTTGGGGTTGCGCTGGTGAAAGAAGTAAAAAGTCACACAGCCGATGGACAAATCCTCTATAATTCTATGTGTTTAGGTTACAAGCCTACAGCAAGATTTGAAGGTGTGATTTGACCCGAGACGAACATTTATTCGAAACGACCCTCTCAATGCAACATACCACTCACAAATTTAGATAAAATACAAATAAATAGAAAACTGGGCACCATCCGCTAAGACAGACTTTTTGCGACTGTTATCTATTAGAGCGCGTAAGTGAAGCCGCTAGGGGTGTACATTAACATTACCGGCCATTTGCAACCCAGGTTGTATTTCTGGCGATCCGTGGCCTGTGATTGGCCAGAGGTAGGGTATCGGCCAGGATTTTGGCTGGTACGGCGCCCAATAAGCGGAGTGTCGTTTGCAACTTATGTAGCGCGCCGAGTAGTAAATACTGTTCAGTTTTGCAACCCTATCGCCATACAAAAGTCAAGTGAGGGTAGCAAAACACCACCGTATGAGAGTCCACGCCATACTGCCGAAGAGTTGCGAAAAGCATCCCGGGATAATCAAACACCGCGGAGCGTGGGGCGGCGCGGCGCGGCTCATAACGGCCGTGTCCAGCCTGGCGAGTTGCTGAGCGTACGACCGGTGGGGCTGCGCGTACGACTGGAAGAGGGCGCGCAGGCCCGCGCTGCGACCGAGATCGCCACGTGTTTGGCGGTGAAGTATTCGGCTGGGCTATCTCCGCCCATTTTAGTGCTGCTGTTGGCATGCAGCCCCTCCCTAACCGCATCGTTGCCTGCAAGTTGCTATCAAGAAGCTCATTGAAGGACCTCAAGACGGCATTGGCATGCCAGACAACTTCTCGTGTGCGGGGCTCGTGCTGGCCGTCATCGGCATGTCCTGCATCGATTCGCGAGCGTTTACGCGTTCGTGGTCATCTACCGCGTGATGGTGCCTATGTCCAAGCGCATCATGAACTACAACAATCAGGGCGTGTGGTACATGAGCAAGTGGGGTGGTGGCTCTCGGTCGTCTCGCTGATGTGTGCCCTGCGTGCTGGGCGAGATACTTCTGGGCGGCCTGTTCCCGGACACCTTCAGCACCACCTACAGGATCTTCTTTATGGCGCTCGGTGCCTCCCCGTGTGCCTCACCCCGACGCTCAAGAAGGGCACCGGGCTCGCCAGCGGCGCGGTATGCACATCGTCGACATCATCGGCGTGACCATAGTACGACATGTCTGGGCCGCTCGACTTCACCGGCACCAAGCTCAAGATCTCGCTTGTGCAGATCGCAGATCGCGGGCATGTTTGACAAGCTGTTGCTCGTGTACAACGCTATCCCGGCCGGGCAGCGCACACGGCGTTGCCGAGTCGGCGTTGGGCTGCCTGCTGCGCAACAAGAGCGTGGGGTCGGATCGCTGGCAACTTGGTCGCCATGACCAGCTCTTACCACCAGAACGACGGCTATGACAGTCATTTCTAAGAGCACTGCTGGCAAAGCTACAGCAAAGCGCACCAAACAGCATGTAGCAGTCTGTTAGACTCGCAAAAGTGCACTTCAACACCTAAGTTAATTTTAGCCAATCAACGATCGGTAGCAAAGCAGGTTGCACGCCCTGCTGGTATTTATACAGTAGAGGAGTTTTATTAAATATACGTTTATTATATAACGAATAATCTCATAACAATGCAGCGTGGTTGGCATCGTGCAGCCCGCACGTGCTGCGTGCTCCTGCAACGGGCAGCACGCAGCTCTTAGGCCGAGCAGCATGCCGCCAGCCCTGCCAGGTAAGGCACTAGCACTCGGGGGGTCTTCATGGCGGCGGCGGTGGTGGCGGCTGCTTCTGCAGGCCGCGGGGGGCTGCCGGGAGGGCGCGCGCTGCCGGGAGGGCGCGCGCTGTCGGGAGGGCGCGCCGCAGCTTGCAGGCGCTCACCCAACGGGCAGCCTGCCGGCCGCCCTGCCGGGCAAGCCATCAAGGTTCTCCGGGCAGCCGTCCGCCCCGCCACCGCCCCACCAACCAGTCGCCGTCCTGCTGCTCGCCGCCGCCTCGCCGTCCAGCCAGCAACCGACCTGCATCCGCTCTGCCGACCTGCCGCCGCTTCGCCAGTCCTTCCTACCGCCGTCGTCCTGCTGCTCCGCCGTCGTCCTGGAGCCTGCCACCTGCCGCTTCCTTCGGCGCCACGGCCGCTGCCTCCGGCACTCTGCCCTCCACGCAAGCCCACCACCCAACGCTAGAATAAAAATGAGCTAAAGTGTAATCGGTGTGTGGCTTACAGCATAATACACGAACTAATATATTTCTTTTTAGAGTCCATCCTTGTAGGGTACCATGTTTTTGGTACAGGTCCGATAGGTCCTATAGTCGGATATTTCATGGTATGGATACCACGCACGCGTTCGCTACGCCGGCAACGTCTCTCCCCTTGCATAAGGAACTGGGGCTATTAGTTGATGCAGGACGTCTGCAATACCTTGGGTGCTATCGAAGATTTCTTGTCTTTATTGTGGGGAATCACTGCCTTAGTCGGTCTGAAAGCACGGGTGTCATTTCTAGGAAATCCACACGACACAATATTATATAGTACATACAAACAACCGGACATAATTACCACTTGGTACGAAGTACACGAAGGGGCTATGGAGCAAGTTGCAATATTTCGGCACGAGTTCTTCGCTGGAATTACCGGACGAGTGGGGCAAACCCGTGATGCACTTTGGTGAAGGTGACACACCAACTAAATTTAGATTTGGAGGTGGAACATCAGCTTGAAGCAATAAAAAAACCAGGGTTTGGTAGTAGTCAGCGATAGTAGTGATAATATCACTACTACTACTATAGCACTACTATAGCACTGGGGTCTGCGCCTTATAGTAGTGATATAGCTATAGTAGCGAAAAAAATGTCACTAGTAGTGATAATAGTAGTGTTAATATCACTACTACTATCCCGAACTTCAACCCACGGCAGATCTTCAAAAGGCGCGAAAATAGGTGGTTCTCAGCCCTCCCCTCCGCGCGCTTTGCGCGCTTTGGCTCATTTCTCGATACTCGGGCGGAGGAACAAGCAGTTAAAGCGCGCTAGGAGGGCTGCCATTGGTGGAAGGAAGCAAAGACTTCATCGTGCAGTTTGTATTCACCAGTCGAGTAGTCCGTCGACCTCTGAAAACGGTAGGGCTGCCAGCACGCATCATCTTGCTTGGCTAATACTTCTACCAGCAGGTTCTGCAGCTACCCACGCCTCAGCAAGTTCTTACTGACAGCGACGCAGGAGTTAAAGAAGCTAGGAGCAGAGTAACTAACAGTATCCCTGACTACATCATTCATAACGCACTCACGATCGATCGACTCGGTGTGGAGCTCCTCTAACGACAAGGCCAAGGCATGTACAGTATGCATATTGTTTTGCTGTGTGTGATTCCGGAGATGTGCTCACTACCGTCCTGACTTTAGGGATCATTTTCGGGTGGCATCGTGCGATGGCTGATCCTGGTGCGTGTCTGAATTTCTGTTTTGCTCAAAGCTGCTGAATCTCACTGTATCGTTTGCGGTGATGTCCTCGTCGGCGTTACTGGTCAGCTGCTTAACTTGCTCGAGTTTAGATGGGGCATGGTTGTTCAACAGCATTCCTAGGTTACTTCGTGACTGGCCACTACGAACAAGGATTGACCTTTTACACTGCGGCTTTGGCGTCGTAGTTCGCGCGCGTGGAGGAAAACAGCGGCAGAATGGGTACAGTGTAGATAGTAGTACTATAGTAGTGCTATAGTAGTAATATTAGTAGTAATATCTACTAATGATGTTCTCTAACTACTAATAGTAGTATTAGTGCTATCGACTCTGAGTCGGATAGTAGTAGTAGTAGTATCACTACTAGCCAAAATTCTCACCACTACCAAACCCTGAAAATAACGAAATCAGGGGTCGGTAGTAAAACACAAATACTTGAGGTAAGTATTTTTGAGGCGTACTCCTCCTGCATCTACCGCAGAATACAAAGCTTTCACTCTCGATAGGACTGTACAATAGCAGCTAAATCTACCAACTGCATTATCCAACGAACTCATTTCCTCTCTCGTGTCATTGAGTCATTGGCGGGCGAATTGAAAAAGTTTTCATGACGATCATCAAGGCGAGTCGATACAATTGAAGGGGCGAAGAAATCCGTAAGAGCGAGGCCTATTGCTAAGGAGTTGAAAGACCTGCTGCTCATGTTAGCCTGCGACCTCAGTGGCTGCGGGCCAACGTGAATGAGCTACAATGACATAGGCGTAAGTTCAGGCATTTAAGCTGCAGATTCTTTGGGCCTGAGAGGTAAATCGACAACGCATGTAGAGCGTCGAATCTGCTTATAGATCTTCGCACTGCACACTCGTGTCTATCATCGGTCTGCATATCAGACTGAAGGTGAAAAATATATGGTAGATATGCATGTTACTTGACGACAAGATCCGAACACTATTGTGGCGCTGCTAAGAGCCTAGACGTTCCTGGCATGGGCTCGCGCGATTTTTTTTAATTTCAGCGCCACACATACCATCCTACTACTACGTGGTATTAGTTAAAAAAAATAGAATGTTGTACGCCTATGCTCTTGTTCTTGTACTACATTGTACCACACGAAGTCACTTGTAGGACTCCTTTACTATTTCACGGATTGTAATAAGAATAACATTTAGGAGCAACACGCTGGCTCGCTGTTGGCGCCAAAAGCGAGCCAATAATTTACTAAAAGTACATCTGCTGTTCATCATTCAAAGAAAATGCGAAAAGGTGGTGCTTTCTGTTTTTTTTTTAAATTAGGTATTTTCTACTTCGAGATGGTCATTGTTCCTTTATGACTCAACGCATCACTGAACCGCAGATTCTCGATTTCTTGCTTTCTTTGAGCCACCTTGGAGTCCCATCCTTTGATGGCCAGCTCCATGATTCCTGGCGCTCGAAATGCCTTGGCTGCTTCACTCCCTTCGTCGGACTGGAATACGGCCAAATGAGTTTCGATTATGGCCGTCTCCTGACCCGAAGCCAACCGCGCGCCACTCCTGACAACGACGCTCATTTCCTCCCGGTACTTCAAACCTCCGAAGAAGCCGATCTTCTTCCCAGCCGGCCTCGACGTCATTTGACTGACGATCACGGTGCGATTTTCTTCGACGAACTTTGGCGCCGCCCCGTGCTCGTGAATATACGCTGCTGTACCACCTACACTGCAAACGAAATGAATGTAGCTCGTGGTTGTATCTTCGTTTTGGTGATAGCCCTAAGCGCCGGTGACACAACATTGTTAGGGGGTTTCGTGTTACAAGACACCATATCGCGACGGTTCCGATAGGCAACCCGGAGCGTTGCTCCAGGAGGGTACACAGGTCGACGAATAGTTTCATGGACGATGATAACGGATAATAATTGAGTAAATACCAAAGTTGTTTTGTTTTTAATCCTTAAAAGCACTACCAGCCCAACTCTCTAGTTGATTCTAACGTGGGCATCTGCTTCGCAGCCGCAGCATCTGCCCGAGAATGCGTAATTGAGCAAATAGTTGCGCACATCGAAGTGTATCGATACGGAAATGATGTTTCAGCCAAACCAGTGTGAGGCTGGTAACCAGCAAGCCCCGCTCTTCTTTATCGTGGTGGGTTCTCAGGAACCGAAAGTCGCCAATTGAGGTTGCCTGGTCTGATGAGGCCATCGGTGACATAACACCCTGGTCAGCGTCCAATGGCTGCGTTGGCGCCAGCAACGAGAGAGCTATTTCATTCATTTTGCAGGTAAGGTATACTGTGCTCATTTTTGTACTATGTTGTGTGCTAACGATCAGACGAGATAACTACAGTAGCGGAACGAAGGAGAGACGCATGGTGCGCTGATCTTGACCATTTAACTTGAGGATGTTAGCTAAGTGACAATAATGATCCTCAATTCAAAAATAAAACAAACAAACAAACTTTTAACTTAGGGCTTGGGGGATAAATTGCGGAATGAGATATACGCTAATGGGCCAATTCCTTGGAAGTGCGTGCTTCAACGCAGGGAAAAAAGTCTTGTTCAAACGAACGATGCTCGTGTCACTGTCGAGTTGAGCTGATCGGTTTGGCGACAGACACGAGGTTGGGCATCTTCGGCTAAGAGTGATTGGGTATTGAGCAAATTGACATGTAAAAAAATGCAGCCTGCAGCTAGACAAGTCATGTTGTTCATCTTCAGCTAAGCTTGGTCGATTATGCGCAAATTGATACGCCTTCAGCGAAGCCATGACGCTCTCATGAGCGTTCGTAAGTGTTTGAATGCAGGTTTTGGTCAATAATAAACGATTAGTATCAACCTTTGATAAATAATGTGCATAAATCTTAGCATTTATCGACGGGTACCCGATTCCGGCAGATATTAGCTTAAACATTACAATTAAGAAAGAGAGACCCGGTTTGGTACCCGGTTTTGG